CATGTAAAACATAAATACAGTTTAAACACAGTACAATAAACCCTTTATAATAAACACTTCTCTACACCATTCTTCTCCCCTTCCTCTACCTCCTCTCCGTCTTTGTCCTCCTCATTCTCTTCCTCTATTTCTCCCCCTTGCGCACCTTCTTCTGTTTGATCTTCTGCTCTGTATTCTTTCCCTTCCGGTCCATCCTGGTTGTTGTTATCCTCTTTGTTTTCATTTTCTCCCTTCTTTTTTAAATCTTCCTTTTCATTGTCTCTTTCCTCTGTTCTCTCCTCTTTGTCTCTTTTCTTCATCTTTTCTCTCCTTAGTTTTCTCTCCGTCTCTACCTCCTCTCTTCTTATCTTCTCTAGGAATTCCTTTGCTCTTTCTACGTTCTTAATCCAGTATCTTTGTTCTTTATACGTGGCCATTAGACCTTCTTCTTGTTCCCATCTATACCTTATCCTGTATCTTTTTAACTCCTCTGTTAGGAAATTGTATTTTCTCCTTCTTGAGATTACTGTATTCGGGAATTCCTTTAGTATAATAATTTTCTTTCCTTTGTAGTAGACTGTTCTTCTATTATCTTCAAAATTTCATCCCTTGTTGTCTTTTTTGCAAAATGCACCAGTGGTACATTTTGCAAAAAAGTGGTACCTAATTTTAGTGGTACCTAATTTTTCTACTTACAGCTCAAGCTGTTTTCAAACTGCTTAGGTAAACAATGAGCTGGGCTAACAGTTGAGTGCTCATGCTGACCCGGTGCTTCAAACTGGTAAACTTTCAGTTGGTAGATCTTGGTGATTTACCAGCTGAGCTACAGCAACCGCCTTCACCATCATTTGGGCTGAAATTGTATTTTTGAACTGCAATACCTTGATGGGAATTTCAGTAAGGGAACCTGCTCTGATTGTGGATGAAAGAATGTGAACATTCCAACATATTAAATGCACAGATCATGCCACCGGGAAGACAAACTCCCGTAAAAGTCTTGTTCTTTGTTGTCTGATATTGATAAGCATCTTTATTTTATACCTGCAGCCATTGTTGCAGTTTATTGATTTTATTGATTTTAACTAGTAGCATTTTATTATGTTATACTATTTGTTATTGTGTTATTGTTGATGCACTTTCTGTATTTGTATGTTTGCACTATTGAGTGCTTTTGTGAGCTGCCCTGAGTCCCTTTGGGGAGATGGAGGTGTATAAATAAATAAATAATAATTATCTTTTGATACATTTACATTTATCTCCAGTGTTTTGCAGCTGTGTAAAGCAAGACTTAAAAGTCTGTATGCAAAAGCACCCAGCTCCTAACAGTTCATAAGAAAAAATTGTGTAACAATTTACAGATTTAACTGTGTATAATGATAAATTACTAAATTCTTGTTTGCTTGGATCCTACACATTCCTCAACTTTCATCTTAATCTTAAACCCATGGAGAGGCTATTGCAAAACACAAAAAGGAACAGCAAACGCAGTCAGTAAAGTCAGGATTTTTTTTATTACCTTTTATCTTTTTCACTGTAAAGCAGGAGCTTTATCTATCAAAGATGGTCACACTTCCAAAATTTCACTACAAAATGTAAGATCTGATTCTGCTCTAATCACCAGGAACTCCCACTAATTCCTATCATTCTCAAAGCACCAAATATAGCTTTTAATATTGAAACCTGATTGAAAGGGGACTGACATACCAGTGGGCTCATGGAATGTGGCAGAAGTGTCGACAGGAGAAAAATGAATCCAGCAACGATGAAAGCACAACCTGTGCTATGGAATTAAGGCTGTTGCATCCTGTTTCAATTCTACTTTCTCATTTCCTGGGCTTCGTTTACAAAGATTAATCTACACCAGAGGGAATTATAAACATCGAACAGTGAAATCATTTAAGTGCATTGATTAGACTTAAAAATGACCCCAAAGCTCATATAGAAGATACTGAGTAGTTAAAGGTGCACATTTTTTTCTGATTTGCAGTCATTAATGGGCAGAGATAAATCCATTTTGAATACAAGGCAGCACATTTTCCTTCAAAATCTCCTTGACAAACTGGTCAGAGTTGGACCTTCTGTCCACCACTAATTTTGGACTATCTATACTAAGTGGCTTGTACTACTTTACTCTTAACTTCCAGTCACTCCTCCATAGATTTTATGTATTTCTCATATGCTGCTTCACTCATGAGTTCATCACATTCTGAAGGATTATCCACAGTCATCTTGATAAGCCAGCCTGTAAGCAAGAAGATAAAGATATGTTTCAAAATACAGCTCCAGTAAAGGAAGATAGATGCTTATGAACTATGGTGTTGGAGGAAAGCTCTGAGAGTGCCTTGGACCGTCAGAAGATCTAACCAGTCCATACTTAAGCCCGACTTCTCAATGTGGGGAAGGATATTACAGGCAAAGACAAAGTAAACATCGAACAGTGAAATCATTAAAGTGCATTGATTAGACTTAAAAATGACCCCAAAGCTCATATAGAAGATACTGAGTAGTTAAAGGTGTACTTTTTTTTTTCTGATTTGCAGTCATTAATGGGCAGAGATAAATCCATTTTGAATACAAGGCAGCACATTTTCCTTCCAGACCTCACCTCTGAGGATGCCTGCCATAGATGCAGGTGAAACGTCAGGAGAAATGCCTCTAGAACATGGCCATATAGCCCGAAAAAACCCACAAGTACTGAAAGACAAAGTACTTTGGCCACATAATGAGAAGAAAATAAAGCTTGGAGAAGGCAATGATACTGGGGGAAATGGAAGGAAAAAGGAAGAGGGGCCGACCAAGGGCAAGATGGATGGATGGTATCCTTGAAGTGACAGGCTTGACTCTGAAGGAGTTGGGGGTGGTGACGGGCGACAGGGAGCTCTGGCGTGGGCTGGTTCATGAGGTCACAAAGAGTCGGAAGCAAGTGAACGAATAAACAACAACAAAAGGTTCTCTCCTGAGCTTAGCACTTTCCATTTACGGTAAATGGTCCTATTGAAAATGTTTCACTAACTAAAGTTAAGAAGTAAGATAATTATGCCTCTACTAATAAATAGATGCAGATAATAACAGTAATGACAACAACAACAAAAGTTTATTTGTAGACCGCCCTATCTTCCCAAAGGTACTCCACATATATGGCAAACATTCAATGCCAAAATGGAAAAAAAACCCATATTCAAACAAATTATATCAGGACAAACTATATTAAACAATATAAAAGCAACCCAACTCTAAACTTATTAATAGACAAAGTAACTGGCAATAAGAACTTAAAAGCAACTAAGAACGACAGCTAAGACCTTATAAAAAGATGACATGTTTGTGCAACAACCAGCAGGCTGAAGTCAGTTCCAGTCTCTAGACTAGGTTTAACATATCTAGGTGAGAGTATAAGTCAGGCACATTAGTCTTCCTCCTCTCCATATACCAAAGTCCATAGATGGGTGTTCAGCAGTTTTTTAAAAGCGAGGAAAGAGGGAGCAGTTTTTAATTCTTCTGGGAGGGAGTTCCAGAGGTGGGGAGTGATCATGGAGAAGGCCCCATCTCTCATTCCCACCAGCCCTGCTTGAGATGGGGGTAAGACCGAGAGCAGGGTCTCCTCTATGGATCACAAGGCTCGGGCCGGTTTGTATATGGAGATGCAGTTCCACAAATTGTCTGGGCCTGAACCATTTAGGGATTTATAGGTCACTAGCTGTACCCTGCCACGCGTTGCTGTGGCCCTCAGATAAGAGAGGAATTCCAGTTGAAGCAATAGACAGAAGGGACAGATGGAAGGGACATTGATAGATGGAACAGAAGGTAGATGGATAGAACATAGATAGGTTGGTAGGTAGTAGGTAGATAGATATGTAGATGGAGTGATTGATGGATTGAAGGATGGATGGACATACAGACAGACAAAGGGGGTTGGACTGGATGGCCTCTGGGACTCCCTTCCAACTGGTTGACCATCTGTCGGGAGGGCTTTGATGGTGTCTTCCTTTACTGTAAAATGAGGTTGGACTGGATGGCCTTTGGGGCCCCTTCCTATACCTCAAAGGGTTTCCCGTGCCTGTCCTTCCGTGCGTGGTATCAAAGGGTCCCTTCCCCGGCCTCCCTCCCTCCCTCCCCGGCCTCCCTCCCTCCCTCCCCGGCCTCCCTCCTAGCCACTCGTTGCTGTGGCCTAGCTTGGTGATATGGAAAATATTTGAAAAGTAAACAACTAAATATTTTTTTAATTAAAATACTAACAGTAAAATATTTTAAAGTTAATTAAGTATTTTTAGATTTAAATTTTGTAAAGGTAAACAATTTAATATTTTAAAATTAAAACATTAAAGTTAGATAATTTAAAATTAAATAATTATTTTAAGAACAAATTATTAAGTAATTAAATATTTCATAATTAAACCAAATAAATACATTTAAATAAAGTATTATGATATGTAAATATTAAAAATGTATAAATTATAATATTAAAATTAAAGGAATAATATTAAAATTAAACAATTTTATATTTTAAATTTGAAATATTAAAATAAAATAATTTAATGTTTTTAAAATCAAAATATGTAAATGAAATATTTTAGAACTAAATAATTAAATATTTTATAATGAAAATATTGAAATATGTTTAAATTAAACAAATATTTTAAACTTAAAATATCTAAATGAAATATTCAAAAGTTAAATATTTTTAAATGAAAATAATTAAATATTTAAAATTAAATAAGTATTTTATAATTAACATGTTATCAAAAATATTTTGAAAGGATTATATAAATTTATAGATATATATTGCCAATTATTACATGGCTGTATGGATTTGTTTGGCCAGTTCAAATTTTTTGTAATTCTTTGGGATAGATTTTTATGTGTCATATCATTGACTTAAAGCCTATTAGAGTTGATATATTTATTATTTTGGATTATTATTATTATTATTATTATTATTATTATGCTATTTGATCCTATATGCTTGGGATGCTATATCTGTAAAATGAATGGTGTCTTCCTGCCTGGCAGAATGGGGTTGGAATTGGATGGCCATCTGTTGGGAGGGCTTGAATGGGGTCTTCCTGCCTGACATGGTTTCTGTATTCTGAGCCTGGGTTATCAATGGATTTGCTCTGGGCTTGATTGCTTTTGCTTCCGCAGAGATTCCATTCTCCCGATTAGTCTGGAGAGATATTTTAAGGCAGGCCTGCGGGGATGAGGGCTTTTCCTCCAGCTCCTGAACAGAGAGCCTCCTCTCGTGGGAGCCTGCTGGCCATGCATGTGCACTCCTTCCCTCCCCCCTCCCTCCCTGAGGCTTAAGTTGGATGTCTTTCTGAGGGGGAAGGGGGGAAAAGTGTTTTTTTGGGGTTTTGTGAGTGGAGAACATAGCTTGCTTGAGATAGTGTCTAGTGTCCAAATTTGGTGTCAATTCCCCCAGTGGTTTTTGAGTTCTGATGGTATCACAAACGAACATTACATTTTTATTTATATAGATAACCAGCATCTTGTATTTAGCCTGGAAGCAGATCAGAGCCAGTGGAGCTGCCGAAGCATAGGAGTTGTCTGCTTACGGTATGGCACTCCAGTTAACCATCTGGCCGCCAATCTCTGCACTAACTGCAGTTTTCAAATTATCTTCAAAGGCATCCTCACATAGAGAGCATTGCAGTAGTCCAGATATGAAGTAACGAGGGCATGGACTACAATGGCCAGATCTGGGGTCTCAAGGTGCGGGCACAGCTGGCGTGCTAGTTTTAATTGTGTGAAGGCGCTCCCGCCACCACCGACACATGGTTTCAGGAGTCAGTGATGAGTCCAGGATAACTCCCAGACTTCAAGGGGAGCGTGACCCTGCCCAACACAGGCTGTAATCTCACATCTTGGTCCACTTTCTGACTGATCAGGAGTTAAACAGAATTATGAATGCATGCTAAAGATGGCCAATCAGTCCCAATGTTCACAAGATGACTTTCCTGTAGTGAGACAGTTTTCTTCTGGCTGATACCGCCTACGTAATTTTTGTTTGTTTTTCTTTTAAACTATTCAGTCTCATGCCTAATTAAAATTTATTTCCCTCTTTCTGTGTAGCCAGGAGGGACAAAGGTTCATCTTGTTTTCATCTCCATTCTCATTCTTTGAGTCTTTCTTCCTTCTAGGAAATCCAAAAGACCTGTCCCTTAGAGAATTAATGTTTCCTCTGCGCTTCACACTTCCAGAGTATGAGGTCAGAAAGGGATCTGGGTTGCTGCTGTTCCGGTGAACAGCAAACAAGATATGAAAGAAAGCATCAGTATCTTCTCTTCAAATAAGTCATCAAAGATATACTGTCTCAAAGGCTAAACCACAATGATGCAGAGTCTTACTGCTCACATTTCTTTTGGATCTACAATACAGCTTCCCTTGAAAAGTCACCATTCTTATTGTGTCAATGAGAGTCGTGCTAGTAGTCAATCATGTTTAACATTTTATATCTGCTATGACCTCTCCAAGACTGTAACAATTTTGCATCTTCCAGATGTACTGGACTACAATTGCCATGATTGCTAGGCAGGAAGGTCGACTACACTGGAGTTGTTGCTTTGTAACTAATGGCTATACTGGCTAGGAGTAGGAGCTGTGGTGGCGCAATGGGTTAAATCCTTGTGCTGGCTGAACTACTGACCTGAAGATTGGCGGATCGAATCTATGACATGGGGTGAGCTCCCGTCTGTCAGCTCCAGCTCCCCATGCAGGGACATGAGAGAAGCCTCCCGTAGTATGGTAACACATTGCATCCCCTGGGCAATGTCCTTGCAGACAGCCAATTCTTTCACACCAGAAGCAACTTGCAGTTTCACAAGTCGCTTCTGACATGAAAAAAAAACTGGCTGAGAGTGATGTGAGTTCCAGGACAATGCATCTGCGAGTGTCAGGCTGAGCCAAAATCTCCAGCAAGCCAATAAATATCATTTAGCTAACTTTCAGCTGCACCTTGTTTCCACTGACCTCATGTAAGATGCCACTTATCTGGAATATGAGGTAGTGTTTTCTTTTACAGCTTATTCAGAGATACTGTTATATTAAACACCTTCTACTGAATGAACAGCACTGAAGCTTTCTTTATCACTTCTGCTGGGTGCAGAATATCAGAAGGGGCACCATGACTGGCTGTGCTCATCCAGTATCATGGCATTAAGTCACCAGCAACTAGGGATGAAACCAAGGAAACATCAGCTCCTACAAAACTGCCAAAATAGATAAGAAGCACCATAGTCCCCAGCCAAACTGACAATGTTTCTCTTCTTCAGGAAGGGAGATTCTGGCCATGACATGCTTAAAGTTGCTTAGCCAATGTTTGACATTTAAGTATTGTAAATACAATAGAATCCTAGATTTATCCCAGTGTTCTTGTCCTAACTATCCACTTAGTGATAGCAGAAACAGTTTCAAGAAGGAAAAAAACCTAGTCTCTTACCATCTTGGTAGCAAGATTTGTTGACAAGTCCTGGATTATCGGCAAGGGCAGTGTTAATTTCTGTTACTTCTCCAGTGAGTGGGGAGTAGAGTTCACTAGCTGCCTTCACACTTTCCAAAGCACCAAACTCATCTGAAGGACAGAAATGGGGAGAAAAAAGCAGACAACATATAAGACAGTATTTATCAAATAGAGGCAGGGTGCTGATTATATTTTTTTGGCTGTTGACCTGCTTGCTTGAAACTTGGAGAGACTTGATTGTCCAGCTGTTGTTTCTTTTATTGTTACTGGCCATTTTTTTGCAGTTTGGGCTAATGTTGAGCATCCTAAAATATTTTAAAAGGGATAAACATTTTATATTCAATTCTATGAACATAAAGTTATAACCAATGGGGTTTTCTCATCCTTTTAAACACTGAATCGGGGTACAAGGCAGGGATGTCCACTGTAATATTCAATTTGAGCTTGGAACCTATTAGACAGAATTCTAATAGGTTCCCAGGCAGGAAGGAGCCAGGCTTTGAAATTGCAAAGCCATTCAGTGCTAATCAAAGTGGCCAATTGCAACATTTACACTTGCCTCCAACTGACAGGACTTCTTTCTTCTACCCTGGGCATTATTCCACACTTGCCTAGTTTCCAACAGGCTTCACAACCTCTGACATGCCTACCATAGATGTGGGCAAAACGTCAGGAGAGAATGCTTCTGGAACATGGCCATACAGCCCGGAAAACTCACAGCAACCCACTAAAGGAGTACCTATTTATCTACTCACATTGCTGTTTTTGAATTACTAGGTAAGCAGAAGCTAGGGCTGATGGCAGGAGCTCACCCCAACCCGTGGCTTTAACTGCCAGCCTTCTGGTCAGCAATACAATATAATACTACTAATAATAACATGATATTATAATTATACGTGCCAAGAGGAAGGCGCGTCAAGCCAACCCCAGCCGAGACCGCCTTCCACCTGGAAACCAATGCCCTCACTGTGGAAGAAGATGCAGAGCAAGAATAGGGCTCCATAGCCACATACGGACCCACAAGAATATTGGAAGACAATCATCCTCGGAAAGCGAGGGATCGCCTAAGAAGAAGAAGTAAGAGAATTATAATTATAATATCTCTCGTGTCCCCCCTCCCTCGCAGGCGCGATTGGTGGGGACGAGGGAGAGGGCCTTCTCCATGGTTGCCCCTCGACTCTGGAACTCACTCCCCAAGGATATCAGACAAGCCCCCACATTGGCAGTCTTTAGGAGGAGCCTGAAAACGTGGCTGTTCTAGTGTGCCTTCCCTGAATAAAGGAAACAATCCCCTGCAAATACTCTGAGAGGCACTTTAATTACCCGTTGGGTTGCTCTTTATTTTTTATTTAAAACCCTCCTACTAGATAGATCCTCTGTTCATGTCCAGCATTTATTTTTAAAGTTTTGACTATTACATCTGGCCCAGCCATAGGTTTTTAAATTCTTGTGTGTTATTGTCTAATTGTGAGTTATATTAATTGTATTGTTTATTTTGTTTATTGCTTGTTGTTTTATTATTGCATGTTGTTTTTGATGTGTTGTTGCGCTTGGCCTCATGTAAGCCACTCTGAGTCCCTTGGGGAGATAGTGGCAGGGTCAGGAGAGAATGCCTCTAGACCAGTGGTTCTCAACCTTCCTCATGCTGCAACCCCTTAATACAGTTCCTCATGTGGTGGTGACCCCAACCATAAAATTATTTTCCTTCCTACTTCATAACTGTCATTTTGCTGCTGTTATGAATCGTCATGTAAATATCTGATACACAGGGTGTATTTTCATTCACTGGACCAAATTTGGCACAAATACCCAATACGCCCATATTTGAATACTGGTGGGGTTGGGCGATTGATTTTGTCATTTGGGAGTTGTAGTTGCTGGGATTTATAGTTCACTTACAATCAAAGAGCATTCTGAACTCCACCAGCAATGGAATTGGGCCAAACTTGGCACACAGAACTCCCATGACCAACAGAAAATACTGGAAGGGTTTGGTGGGCATTGAACTTGAACTTTGGAGTTGTAGTTCGCCTACATCCAGAGAGCACTGTGGACTCAAACAATGATGGATCTGGACTAAACTTGGCAATAATACTCAGTATGCCTAAATGTGAACACTTGTGGACTTTGGGGAAAATAGAGTCCTGTGGGAGTTGTAGGTGCTGGGATTTATAGTTCACCTACAATCAAAGAGCATTCTGAACTCCACCAATGATGGAATTGAACCAAACTTGGCACACAGAACTCCTGTGACCAACAGAAAATATTGGAAGGATTTTGGGGGGCACTGACTTGAGTTTTGGAGTTGTAGTTTGCCTTCATCCAGAGAGCACTGTGGACTCAAACAATGATGGATCTGGACTAAACTTGGCACGAATACTCAAGATGCCCAGATGTGAATACTGGTGGAATTTGGGGGAAATAGACCTTGGTATCTTGGGAGTTGTAGTTGCTGGGAGTTGTAGTTGCTTTGTTCACCTGTAATCAAAGAGCATTCTGAACCCCACCAATGACAGAATTGGACCAAACTTCCCACATAGAACCCCCACGACCAACAGAAAATACTGTGTTTCCTGGTGGTCTTTAGTGACCCCTCTGACACTCCCTCGTGACCCCTCCAGGGGTCCCGACCCCCAGGTTGAGAACCACTGCTATTGACCATGGCCATACAGCCCGAAAAAACCTACAACAACCCATTATTATTATTATTATTAGTATTACTAATAATATTACAGTATAATGCTATAGTACAATGTAATCTATATAAATAAAAATGTAATGTTAGTTCGTGCTACCATCAGAACTCAAAAACTACTGGGGAATTGACACCAATTTTGGACACAAGACACCTAACAGTCCAATTTATGTCCTCCACTCAAAAACATTGATTTTGTCATTTGGGAATTGTCGTTGCTGGGATTTATAGTTTACCTACAATCAAAGAGAATTCTGAACTCCAATGATGGAATTGGGCCAGACTTAGCACACAGGGTTCCCATGACCAACAGAACACACTGGAAGGGTTTGGTGGGCACTGACCTTGAATTTGGGAGTTGTAGTTCACCTACATCCAGAGAGCCCTGTGGACTCAAACAATGATGGATCTGGACCAAACTTGACACAAAAATTCCATATGCCTAAATATGAACACAGATGGAGTTTGGAGGAAATAGACCTTGACATTTGGGATTTGTAGTTACTGGGATTTATAGTTCACTACAATTAAAGAGCATTCTGAAAACCACAAACGACAGAAATGGAGCAAACTTCCCACACAGAACCCCCATCCATGACCAACAGAAAATACTTAAAGCCATCCAGTCCAACTCTCTTCACCAGGGCAAGAAAATGTAATCAGAGCCCTCCTGACAAAGAGCCATCCAGTCATAAATATAGATAGATAGATTTGATTCTCTCTCACACACGCAGATATAGTATCATAGATTTGAAAGAGACCCTTAAAGAAGGACTGTGATATGTTGCATATTCCAGAGTAGGTAAACCAGACACTCTCCACATCAACACTGACAAAGAAACAACAAGAAATACTGTTTACTCACAAGCAGAAAGGAATTACATAAATTAGAAACTAACACTTTCTTATTACTTTATTTTCCAGATCACTAGACTGGGCCACAGCAACGCGTGGCAGGGGACAGCTAGTATATAATATTAAGATTGTGCTATGGTAATAATATAATATATTGTATTTACATTTTACTTGTAAGCTGCTCTGAGTCCCCTTCAGGGGTGCGAAGGGCAGCATATAAATGGCGTAAATAATAAATAAATAAATAAATAAATAAATAAATAAATAAATAGCTGGTTGTTTAACACGCTGTGCTAACCGTGACTTTCAACAGCTGTTTGTGCCACAACATGGCATGATGGAGGGAGAATTCTACTGATCATAATTGCAAAAGAAACAAAACAAGCTATTTGGCAGTTCCAAAGCTGTGAAAAATCATATGCAGTAGCTTTGGGTATTTTGGTCCAAGAGTGGCATTACTGTTTAACTGAAAACCGCTTGTTTTCTGGCAACGTTTTATACTATTCATCAACAAAAAACAAAGTCAATTGAGGGAGGAAAGTGCTTACCCTGTTTGTTCAACTTTGTTCCGATTTCTGGAAGACTACAGTAAACAACGTCTCCTAATGCTTCCTGAAATGAAAATTCAGGCATCAGAAACAGAGGAGGAAAATAGAGAAACACCACCATCAATGATGCAAGCTGCTAGAGCAGGCATAGGTAAACCTTAGCCCTCCAAGTGTTTTGGACTTCAACTTCTACAATTCCTAACAGCCTACCAGCTGTTAGGAATTGTGAAAGTTGAAGACCAAAACACTTGGAGGGCCAAAGTTTGCCCATGCCTCTGCGAGAGCATAAGTCACTTTGTATTTTCTAATGCCAGAGGCTGTATTCCCACATCTGTTTTTCAGTAATTCAACTGGCAGGATACTAGCCACACCATAAAGAAGCTTGAGATAGGCTTGATGTCCCCTCCATAGCAAGGTCATAAAGGGGAGCAAAGAGCAAAGCAGCTAGGAAGTCTCTCAGCTGCATCCACTTGGCTGTTCGTCTCAGACCCATCCAGCCATTCCTCCACAAGCTGTTTGGAGAGTAGCTTTCTTGGGCTCCCCCCTTCCTATGTTTATATTCTCAGTGGCCCAAGAAATGGCATCTTTCATTTGACAGATATGACCAACAATGTAATGAAGTTACTGGCCACGTTTTCTCAAAACGCATGGGGCATAACTAGTTTTAATAAAACCCTCCTCTGCAATGCTTTCAGCTCATTTAAACTATTTACCCTTTCTAATTTGCAAACCATTTATAATGTTTTTAGTCTTATAAAAAGTTTTTAATTATTTATACCATAATAAATTTGTATATAAAAGCAGCGTCTTTAAGGCTAACTCATTTTTGTTTTTGGATGAGTGTTGGTGGATATAGCCGCCCTGAGTCCCCCCAAGGGTTGAGAAGGGTGGGGTAAATTTATTTATTTATTTATTTATTTATTTAGTACACTTGTATACCGCTAATATCTCAGCCTAAAACGGCGACTCATTGCGGTTTACAATATTAAAAACAACAATATTCCGATTAAAAATATAAAACACATATATATATGTGTTATATATATATAAGTGTTCAAAATAAAATAAATATAAACCCACTTCTCTGAATGCAGTACAGTGATAATAAAATTCTGTATATTGGTTGCCACAAAGGCTTTCTGTACTGCACTTACATATTTTAATTCATAAATAAGTTAAATGAGTCAGAATTGACCAGAATTCTGACTTGCCAGTGATCAGCCCATGTGCACTGCTGATATACACTACCTGATAGGGCTGTACATTTGGGGTTTCCTTTACTGGCTTTCAGAGGGGGCCCCAATCCGTTTTTTGGGAACCTCCCATAATCGGGAAGACAGATATCTGTTTTTGCTCTCTAGTGCTAAAAAATCTGTTTTCTATTGATCCATTATGGGGGTGGGGGCTCCCCACCCAAGCTCCCCACCCGAGCTCCCCTTCTTGACACATGCTTTAAGGATGCTTCTTTTTACATGCTGTTTCTACTCTAGAGGAGGCGCTTATCTGCAGGCCCTGGCAGGTGTGGGAGCTCCTGCACATCACACACATGAACTCTTTCTGGAAAGAGTGTGTGTGTGTGTGTGGGGAGTGCAGGTCCAGAAAGTGTGAGAGTCTGCCAATGAGGAGGCGCTCGGCTGCAGGCCCTAGCAGGTGTAGGCACTCCTGCACATCACACACACACATACTTTGGAAAGTGTGTGTGTGTGTGGCGTGCAGGTCCAGAAAGTGTGTGTGCCTGCCAGTGCCTGCAGCCGAGCACCTCCTCTAGAGTAAGAGGCGCTCAGCTGCAGGCACTGGAAGGCGTGTGCACTTTCTGGGCCTGCATGCCACACATGCACTATCTTTCCAAGGCACAGAGGCAAGTTCTGGAAGGTACCTGGCTGCAGGTATGCATGCTTTCTCTCCCGAATTACACCATGCCAGCCAGCCACACACTCTCCAAGGCATTTTAAGGCGGCTTCCCACTTCCAAGTAAGGAAGAGCGCTGACCTCCTGGAAAAGGAGAGTAGCTTTCAGGGAATTGGGGTTTACTTTTTGTTTGCTGGGGAATGAATAAATAAAGATTAAGCTGTGATGCCAAAAAGTAGGCCAGGAGCCAGGACCCGCTCCCACTTGCTTTCGTGCCAAGCTAATTTTTGTGCAGGGATGGGCCTTCCTGTTTCGTGCTCCCAAAGTACCAAAAGAAACAAAGGAAACAGGAGAAATTAATTTCACACACAACCCTACTCTCCGAGTGCTCATGTTTGAGTCCTTTTAAAAGTGGGAACACCAAAGCTAACCAGAAAGTTACCAAGTACAGAGTGGGCACTTGGGAATCTTCCAGCTTTGTACACAATCAAGTATTTGGAATTATAGATGTTTGCATTAGAAGTATGAATCACAATTAAACAAACAAAAAGCTACAAATGTGTTGAGTCAAAAGATTCTCAAAGTCCTAAGTATACTTGTATAGAAGCCAAATTGGAAATACGTTGAAGCTGGGAAAGGATTGTTAAAGCAACCAACTATGCTCAGACAGGCTTTGAGTTCAAAGTCTACAATCAGGCTCTGTATATAGAAGATGCAATCAGATCAATAAAGAAAGCAAAGGTCAAGGCCAATAGTAGGTTGATATCTATGATCGGACAACAAGGAGAGGGATGTTACCTGTGCAAAGTTGCTGATCCCTACGGTTCCAATACTGTTTTCTTTTATATATATATATATATATATATATACATATACATACATAATCTTTATTAAGCTTTCTTATTACATAATTAAAACAAATAGATAGAGTAGAAAAATGGAAAAAGGGAAAAGGGAAAAAAGTAGAGACTCAGTTTAGAGACAGTGGGATGGGGCGGTAGGGATGGGGGTAGGGGATTGAGGGGTTGAGGGGCTGCAAGAAAGGGGAAACAGAAATAAGGATAAAGTGTGAAAGTGTAGAATCTTAAAAGCACAGGTGTGAAGATTGGGGATGTCCCCTTCGTTCGGTTCGACTTCCTGGTGTTGTTGAAGAAGTTTCCTTTTCTTTCTTGTATGTGAAATTTCAATTTCTGTTTATCACTATATTGTTCTTGGCAATGTCTCTCTTTTTGTGTCTATCCGTCCCATGCAAAGTAGTCATTTATTAGAGTCCAGTCCGTTTCTTTTCCTATAAATCCTTTGCTTTTCTGTATTAAAAAGCTTAGTCTGTCCATATTTCTTATGTCTATAAGTTTGGTTTCCCATTCTTCTATATCTGGTATTTCCTTTTTTCTCCATTTTTTGGCGAAGCAGATTCTTGCCGCTGTTGTGGCTAGAAAAAGAAGTTTGTCCTTATCTTTATTTAATTCCGCTTTCTCATCTGTGAGTCCCAACAGAAAGATTTCTGGGTTCAGTGGTATATTTATCTTAAGTATTTTCTATAATTTTTCCTGTATATTTTTCCAGTATGTTCTGGCTTTACTACAGTTCCACCACATGTGGTAGTATGACCCTTCTTTTTGTTGTTGTTGTTCATTCGTTCAGTCGTCTCCGACTCTTCGTGACCTCATGGAGCAGCCCACGCCAGAGCTCCCTGTCGGTTATGCTGGGGAAAGTAGAAGGAAAAAGGAAGAGGGGCCGACCAAGGGCAAGATGGATGGATGGCATCCTTGAAGTGACTGGAATAACCCTTCTACTTCTCCACATTTCCAGCATTTGTTGTTAAGATTTTTATAATATATTCCTAATTACTTTGGCGTCATATGCCATCTATATAGCATTTTTAGCCAGTTTTCTTTCAGGTTGTATGCCTTTGTGTATTTCAATTTTCCATTCTGTTAGAGATATTGATCTTCCAATATCTCTTGCCCATCTTATCATTCCTTCTTTGATCCTTTCTTCTTCAGTGCTCCACTCCAAAAGTTTTTTGTATATTGCTGATATCGTTTTCTTTTGCAACCTAATTATTTTGTCCCAGGTGTTCTCTTCCATCATAAATCCTAGCACTTTTGTCTTTGTTATAGTATTCTTGTATTTGCCTGTATTGAAGCCAGGTCAAGTTCGTATAGTCTTGTTTTATCTTCTCTTGTGACTTTAGTTGGTATTCTCGTCCTACTTTTTCTAGTATTTCTTGGTAGTTAGGCTATTTCCTCCATCCTGCTTCTCTCCTTTGGCAGGCTTCCATAGGTGAGACCCATAATGGGGTCAGAGTATAAATTCTGTCTTTATATTTTTCCCACGGTTTTATGATGGCCGCCCTAATGAAATGATTGCTGAAATTTTTCTCTTTTTTTTGTACCAAATATAGGTGTGCCATCCCCTTCTCAAATTGAATCCCTCTAGTTCTAATAATTTTTCGTTTTTTAGTTTAATCCAATCAAAAAACCAGGTTAGTGCACAAGCCTCCGCATATAAACCTAAGTCTGGAATGGCCAAGCCTCCTCTTCTTTTTTCATCTGTCATGTTTTTGAAATTTATTCTGGGTTTTTTGTTTTGCCAAATGAATTTTCTAATGTCTTTGTTCCATTCCCTAATTCCTTTTTGATTTCTTATTATTGGAAGGTTTTGAAATAAAAACAGCATCTTAGGAAGAATGTTCATTTTGACACATGCTATTCTGCCCATTAGCGATAATTTCAGGTGTTTCCACTTCTCTAAGCCTTTCTTTATCTCCTTCCACTTCGCTATGTAATTGTTTTGTAGAAGTTGCGCATTCTTCGATGTTATGATAATTCCTAAGTACTTTAGTTTTGATACGATCTTTATATTCCATTTTTCTTTAATCTTTTCTATGTTTTTCTTTGATATATTTTTTGTTATTGCCTCTGTTTTATCCAAATTTATTTTGAAGCCTGCCAGTCTGCCAAATTCGTTGATTTTCTCCAGCCAGTTTCCTAAATTCTTATTCGACTCTTTTATAATACAGATAATGTCGTCAGCGAATGCTCGACATTTATATGTGTTGTTTCTAATTTTTGCTCCTTTTAATTCATCCGTTTCTCGAATTGTTTCTAATAGTACTTCCAGTGTTAATATAAATATTAATGGGGAAAGGGGGCATCCTTGCCTTGTCCCTTTTTTTATTTCAATTGTTTTACTTTCATTTCCATTGATTACGATCTTTGCTTGCTGGTTCTTGTAGATTGCTTCAATTGAATTTTGGAAATAGAAGCCCATGTCCATTTCTTTGATTAATAATTTGAAAAAATTCCAATTGATGTTGTCGAATGCCTTTTTGGCATCTAGAGCCAGGAACATGACTTCTTTTTATATATTTCTTTCATAATATTCTATCAGGTTGATGATGGTTCTCACATTTTCTCTTTGGTGTCGGTTGGGTAAAAATCCCGATTGTTCTTCTTTTATCCTTTTTGTTAATACAGTTTTAAGTCTCTCCGCTAATATGGTGGTGAATATTTTATAATCGATGTTTAATAACGAAATCGGCCTGTAGTTTTTAATTTGTTCTAAATCTTTATTTTCTTTTGGGATCACACAAATCGTAGCTTGTTTCCACGTGTCTGGGATCCTCTGATTTACTCTTATTTCGTTCAATACCTTCCACAATATTGGTGTTAGCGTGTCTTGTAAGGTCTTATAATATATAGCCGTTAGCCCGTCCGGGCCAGGGGCCTTATTCCCTTTCAAATTTTTAATTGCTAGTATTATCTCCTTTTCTGATATTTCTTTGTTTAAAGTTTCTCTATCTTCTTCTGATATTCTTTGTATTTTCTTTTTTCCTAAGTATTGTAGAATGTCTTCCTTCTTGATTTGTTCATCTTGGTATAGTTTTTTGTAGAATTTTTCAAATTGGTTCCTAATTTCTGTTTCCTGTGTGTAGACTTTCTCTTTCTCTTTTATTTTCATTATGAAACTTTTTTCTTTTTTCTTTATTAGTTTCAGCACTAGCTACCTCCCTGGCTTATTTGCATTTTGAAAATGATCTGCTTTGATAAACTTCAATTGCTTTGCTTTTTCTTCTAGTTCTAAGTATTCTCTTCTCTTCTGTAATAGCTTTTTTTTTGCTGTTTCCTTATTTTTTGGGTCTCTTTTTAGTTCTATCTCTTCTTTCTTTATTTCATCCATAATTTCTTTTATTTTCTTTGTTTTCTCCTTCTTCCTCTGCGATTTCTGTTGTATGAAGTGTCCTCTCAGGACCGCTTTGCTTGCTTCCCACACTGTAAATATATCCATGTCCGGGGTTTCATTGATGTTAAAATACTCTTTCAGTATCTCTTTGTTTCTTTCTATATCTTCTGGTTTCCTTAACAAATTCTCATCTAATTTCCATCTCCAATTTTTTTCTTCATTTTTTATTTCCATTTCGATAGGGCAATGATCGGATACTGTTCTTGCTATTATTTTTATCTTGGTTGTCCATGAAGTTAATGATTGTGAGGCCCATATCATGTCGATCCTCAACCAGGTTTGATGTCTGGCCAAGAAGAATGTGTAATCCTTAACATTTTCATTTTTGTTTCTCCATACATCCTCCATTTTTAAAACCTTTTTTATATTTGTTAGGAGTTTTGGGAGTACCCCAGCTGTTTTGTCTTGTTTTTTCCGTGTGGTTCTGTCTAAGTCTTTGTCCAACACCCTGTTGAAATCCCCTAATATTATGATCTTATCAAAAGTTTGGTTTAATATGTATGTTTCTAATTTTTTGGCAAATGTTGATTTTGTATTGTTGGGAGCATATATATTACATATTAATATTTTTATATTTTTCCAATTTATCAGTACTCCTACCATCCTCCCTTCTTGATCTTTAAAGGCTAGTTCAGATTCTATTTCCTCACTGATATAAGTGACTACATCTCTTTTTTTCTATTGCCAATTAGTAATAGGTTTTACCCAATTTCTTGTTTTCTAAGTGTGCGACATGTCTGCTGGCTATGTGAGTTTCCTGAAGAGTAATTATTTGAAACTTCTTTTTCTTTAGATCATTGAAAATTTTATTTCTTTTATAGAAGATGCAATCAGATCAATAAAGAAAGCAAAGGTCAAGGCCAATAGTAGGTTGATATCTATGATCGGACAACAAGGAGAGGGATGTTACCTGTGCAAAGTTGCTGATCCCTACGGTTCCAATACTGTTTTCAACCGATACCCATTCATGCTTGTCTGTGAATCTGCGGACTAAATAAAAACACAAAAGGGAGGATTTTCAGTAACTCTTGCTAGTCTAATTTCTATTCAATATTCAATATTCTATGGGCATCGGCACCATTTAAACATTCTGAACTACTATTTATCAAGCAACATTTAGACAGCAAGTGTCAGTGCCTTCTTTTCTTGCTCGGTTCACTTGTTGAGTATGCTAACCCCACAAATGTCATAGGGATAGTGTCATATTTACTTCATCCACATGATGTTTAAAAACTATGTAACAAGGTAGACATTTGGATAAAACTACTGAAAGTATCTCAATGTTATTCCTAGGCTTGGTTTCATTTTCTCAGTTCTTTATACAGGAATAACCCTAACTGTGTTGCTGTGAATTTTCTGGGCTGTATGGCTTCTCTGTGTAGTCTGACATGTGGTTGTTAAGAGTGCAGCATCTCTGTGTTCTCAAATAATATGCTGTGTGCAGGTTGGTTTATCGGGTGCTCTGCTATGGCTGACTCCTCTGGTTGAGTTAGGGTCCTTCCACATAGCCATATAACCCTGAATATCAAGCCAGGAAATCCGATAATATCTGCTTTGAACTGGAATATATGGCAGTGTGGACTCAGAAAACCCAGTTCAAAGTAGATATTGTGGGATTTCCTGCCTTGATATTCTGGGATATAGGGATGTATGGAAGGGCCCTTTAGTCTGAAGTGCCTTTCATGTTCCTTGATCCATGTTTGGGCAATGCTGTGTTTGGTGGTCTCTATGCAGCCTTGTCCACAGCTGAAAGGTATACAGTAGACTTCTGAAGTGGTGAGAGAATCCCTCTTGTCCTTTGTTGAATGAAGCATTTGTTGAAATCCACAAGCATGTTGACAATTTCAACAGAAAAGAGGAAACCATGAAAATGAACAAAATCTGGCTACCAATATTAAAAAACTCTAAAATCAGGACAATAAATATGGAGTGACACTAAAAGAACAGGGGAATTCCAGACAGGAATTCCAGATAACACCTCCCAATAAAGGATTCCCAAAAGGCAGGAAGCATTCAGGCTTTGAAGCTGCAAGGCCTTCAATTCTAATCAAGGAGGCTAATAGCAACATTCACACTTGCCTCAAACAAAAAAGAGTTCTTTCTTCCACCTTGGACATGATTCCACAGATATATAAACCTCACTCGCCTAGTTTCTAACAGACCTCACAGCCTCTGAGGATGCCTGCCATAGATGTAGACAAAACATCAGAAGAGAATGCTTCTGGAACATGGCCAGACAGTTGGAAAACTCACAGCAATCCAGTGATTTCAGCCATGAAAGCCTTCGACAATCCTAACTGTTTGCTTTTTAAAAACCTGAACAATGCAAATACGTAAGAAATTATGTAGTCATTCAAGAGCATCAATTGAGATGGGGGATAGTAATATCAGAACAGCGAACATGCAATATTTTACGTCACTCAAATATTGACCAGAATCTGATTGAAATTCTAGAACTGCTTTATAGTATACTAGTCGTCCCCTGCCACGCGTTGCTGTGGCCCAGCCTGTATATGTGTTTTGTGTGTGTGTGTATATTTATGTATATGTGTACATATGTGATTTTGTGCATGCGTTGTAATGTATTATTTATTTTTTGGCTTTTTAAGTCTCTTCTGCTGTGTTTTTCAGTGTTTTATGAGTGATGGTCGCTCGTTGGCCTGATATGTGTATTGTGTCCAAATTTGGTGTCAATTCGTCCAGTAGTTTTTGCGTTATGTTAATCCCACAAACATTACATTTTTATGTATATAGACTAGCTGTCCCCTGCCACGCGTTGCTGTGGCTCAGTGTTTTGTGTATGTGTGTATATATTTGTGTATTTGTGTATATGTGTATTTGTGTATATATGTGGGTTTGCGCATGCATTTTAATGTATTTTTTGGCTTTTAAAGTCCCTTCCACTGTGTTTTCCAGTGTTTTTATGAGTGATGGTCACTCGTTGGCCTGATAGGTGTATTGTGTCCAAATTTCGTGTCAGTTCGTCCAGTGGTTTTTGAGTTATGTTAATCCCACAAATGAACATTACATTTTTATTTATATAGACTATGTCCTTTACAAGTGGGGTGAATTCTGAGAATAGAATGGAGGGCTATGGAAAGCTCTCTATTTCCCTATGTTAATGCTAATAGCAACACTGGTAAGTCAAGATGAAAGAAAGGGCTCTTTGAGAGCCATAGATCATATATAAAGAAAAATGGATTTCTCAAGTTCTAGTCTAGCTATATCACAATGGCTCTTGTGTTTCATATGGGAACAAGTCTCACTGAATACTTATTTCTGAATAAGCATGCTCACAAAAATGTGTTGCAAAATTAATAGACAAATCTGTGAACCTGACTTTAGAATTTTTTTTAGCAGGCAGAAAACATTTTTTTTAAAAAAAAATTAGGTCACCAACCTTTCAAAAAAAACAAACCCTTATTCCATCAACAGCAAAATGCAATAAGCAATCCTTTCTAGAATGGCCTGAAAGACTGACCTTTCCCCTTAGAAACAAATGTGTATTTAGATATCCACATACTGATAAAAGCCCCGTGAAGAAATACTACTGATAAGAGCCCCATGAAGAAATATTATCCATGTGCCTACTACCATTTGTAAGCAGAAAGAGACAATTCAAGTTATAGTTTCCATCTCTAAATAAGATGGGAACAGAATCAGCACTGATGAGGAACACTTAGGGAAAATGCTCCCGTGTTTTTGAATGAAATGGCTGATGCCCACAACTAAGCATCAAAACACATCCACAAAAGCCTTAGGTTCATATGCTTCCCATGCTTCCTTCTTTGATACAGAAGTCAAAAGCTTCCAATTTTGTTTAGCCACAGTTTAGCATGATGTCCACTAAAATAAGCTTGCTTTACAAACAAAGACGAGAAACTGGCTTGTTAGAATATGCCATAAGATCAATCATAATTTCCTCGGTTCACAAAAAGCTATGATTTTTGATACAGCGATAATCCTGAATCCCTTCTTGTGAAAGCAAAAGGACTATAATAGATTGTAACTTAGTTTCAGTTTGGCAGTTATTTATTTACTCTTTCAGTTACCTGTTTATATTAACAACTCTTTTGTTGACTGTTTACACCAGGGTCCTCAAACTTTTTAAACAGAGGGCCAGGTCACAGTCCCTCAAACTGTTGGCGGGCCGGATTATAGTTTAAAAAAAAACATGAATGAATTCCTATGCACACTGCACATAGCTTTTGTAGTGCAAAAACATTTAAAAACAATACAATAATTAAAATTAAGAACAATTTTAACAAATATAAATTTATTAGTATTTTAATGGAAAGTGTGGGCCTGCTTTTGGTTGATGAGATAGGATTGTTGTTATTATTGTGTGCTTTAAAGTAGTTTCATACTTAGGTTGACCCTGAGCGAGGGCCGGGTAAATGACCTTGGAGGGCCGCATCCGGCCCCCGGGCCTTAGTTTGAGGACCCCTGGTTTACACTTTTCAGTTTACACTTTAAGCTACTGGCCATTAGAATTCAAGCAAAATATGACCTGGGTTGTTGTGAGTTTTTCAGACTGTATGTCCATGTTCCAGAAGTATTCTCTCCTGACATTTTGCTCACCGCTAAGGCAGGCATCCTCAGAAGTCTGTTGAAAACTAGTAGGAACCTCATCACACTAGAGCAGGGGTCCTCAAACTTTTTAAACAAAGGGCCAGGTCACAGTCCCTCAAACTGTTGGGAGGGCCGGATTATAATTTGAAAAAAATAATGAATGGATTCCTATGCACACGGCGCATATCTTATTTGTTGTTCAAAAACACTTTAAAACAATTCAATAATTAAAATGAAGAACAATTTTAATATAAACTTATTAGTATTTCAATGGGAACTGTGGGCCTGCTTTTGGCTGATGAGATAAGGTTGTTGTTGTGTGCTTTCAAGTCATTTCAGACTTAGGTTGACCCTGAGCGAGGACTGGATAAATGCCCTTGGAGGGCTGTATCCGGCCCTCGGGCCATAGTTTGAGGACCCCTGCACTAGAGAATGAATCCACTTTAAATCCAGTTGCTGCCTCCTGCAGAATTCTGGGGTTTGTAGTTTAGGGAGGAGCCTTTAACAGCCTCACTAAACTATAAACCCCAGAATTATACAAGAGGCAGAAATCGGATTTAAACTGAATTCATTCTTTAGTGTGATGAAGTAGTAGGCAAGTGAAATTTGCCACAATTCAGTGGCCCAGTCCAGATTGTGGTTGTGATTACATGAACATTGGACTCACAATACTGAAATAAGGCTTTGTGTGCACTGTTAAGTCTCAAGTCTTGAAGACACTGCAAGCAAATTTAATGAAAAAGTGGGCTTACTGACCACAGGCAGTTAATGACATGTAAGTACTTGGGTGAGCAATTGGTACTTTCTTTTGGCAACCCACAGGAAGGCCTTTATAATTCCAAAGCTGATAATCTGCTAGGATCAAAGAGGCTAGAAACATTATTGGGAATTTCAACTTCAACTAGGGCAAGACTCTAGCAATTAAAATATATCCTGCTAATATTTTGTGCTATAAGACCATCACAGTATAGTTTGCATGCAATAGCATGTCTTTTTCTTAGCAGCATCATTTCAGGCAAAAAAAAATGCTCTGACATTGGGGGAGATGTTACACTGTACAACATTATTATTATTATTATTATTATTATTACTTTATTTGTACCCCGCTAGCATCTCCCGAAGGACTCGATGCGGCTTACATAGGTCAAGGCCTCAAACACAATACAACAATACAATACCTAAAGCAAATTAAAACAGTTAAGCAGTATAAACAACAAACAATAAACAATACATCAAGACACTATAAAAACTGGGCCGGGCCAGAGTAATGGGTACAAGATTAAAAGTGCTGATGTGGCAGGAGGTATGTAGGATTATAAAGTAAGTGCAGTGTGCGGTGTGCAGCAATCTTAGTTCTACTAAAGTGCTTCTAGGACTTAGTATTGGAGATTCCTAATCTGGGAAGGCACATCGGAACAGCCAGGTCTTCAAGTTCTTTCTGAAGACTGCCAATGTAGGGGCCTGTCTATATCTGATATGATCCTGTCCCTGAAAAGAGTTATCATATGCAAATATTTTTGCATATCTGAACCTGATATTTCTTGAGGTTGTACTGAAGTTAACATACCAGAAAACCTACAATATATAGTCAGCTTTATGTCTATCTCATGAATAAGTTGAGGGTAGGTTTTGGGTCAAATGTGACAGAATTTGCTATGGCCTTGTGCATAAATCGATAGTAAAATTCCAGAATGCTCATGTTCACTTGAAATGCTGGATGGATGAGAAGGGAACTAAACTGTAGCTGTGCAATGTGTGAGAGTCCGACTTTGGACCGCCTACATGCGGAAGAACAAAAAGAGTGAGCCCAGCTCAGGAGAGAAGGAAGAAGCTCTATTGAAAAGGCCCTAGAGCAGGTGTGGGCAAACTTCAGCCTTCCCTCCAGGTGTTTTGGACTTCAACTCCCAGAATTCCTAACAGCCAGCTGTTAGGAATTGTGGAAGTCCAAAACACATGGAGAGCCAAAGTTTGCCCAAGCCTGCCCTAGAGCCTGCTATTCTTCCCCAGAAATGAGGGAATCACAAAGCACTATCCAAAAAGAGACTTGGCACCTGGAAGTCAATTCGCTCTGCTGCTGCCCAGAAGCACTCCTTTTTTGCACAGTGATTTGTGGACCCCCACAACATCCCGCACTGGACTTCGCCAGGACAAATCAGGGTTCAAATCTCCACTTGAACATGAAACTTACTGAATGACCTTCACTATTACTCCGTCTGGTTCACCTGGGAATGACTGTTGTGAGTGAACAAGTAAAACAATTGAAATGGTTTCTAGGTAGACAGGAGCACCAGTAGATGTAGCGGCAAATTACTGAAGAACAGCCTGGTGCCTGCTTGTTTGGAGGAAACTGTTGGGAAATGCTTGAATGTTGGACCTTGACTAGATTACGTATGTCCACATGCTTGGGGATTTCAATGGATTCCCTGTGTAGTCTGACATGGCGGTTGTTAGAGTAGTCCAGCATTTCTGTTTCCAGGTTTCTTCATCAGGTGCTCTGCTATGGCTCACTTCTCAGGTTGAATTTGTCAGCAGTGCCTTTCATGTTCCTTGATTCGTGTTTGGGCATTGCTCCTGCGTTTGGTGATCCCAGTTTGTCCACAGCTGCATGGTATACGGTTGACTCCTGCAGAGGTGAAAGGATCCCTGCAGAGGCCAGCTAATCACCTCCCAACAAAGGATTCCCCCAGGCAGGAAGCAGCCAAGCTTTGAAGCTGCAAGGGCATTCAATGCTAATCAGGTGGTTAATTGCAACATTCACACTCGCCTTCAACAGACAAGAATTATTTCTCCCACTATGGACATTATTCCACAGAAATATAAACCCCACTTGCCTAGTTTCCAACAGACCTCACAACCTCTGAAGACGCTTGCCACAGATGTGGGCAAAATGTCAGTAGAGAATGCTTCTGGAACATTGTCATACAGCCCGGAAAACCCATAGCAACCCAGTGATTCTGGCCATTAAAGCCTTCAACAACATATAGCAACTGATTATTTAGCAACAAATCTGCCTTATTCACAGCCTCCAGTTCAAAAAGACTCTCTTTCCATGAAGCATCTTTAGGCCTGCAGTCTTGGTCTCCCTCAACCCACAAGGATAAGAAATAATATTATTATATTATTCATTGATCTTCAAATGTGTAAGACTCATGATTTTGCTGCAACATATACCAGATTGAGGTGCTGTTAATTTATGGGAAAGAAGAGCTCTTGCACCTTTCTTGGACATGTAGAAAAAAGGATTTCAGCTTGCACTACTTGTCACACAACCACCTAACAGGCAACGCCTGCTGAAAGTCCCTTTTTTACACAACCAATAAAATAAATCTGAGGAAAGAGACTTATGTATGTCTGGGAAAGCTTATGCTACCAACTTCTTTGTTTCAGTTAATCTCAACGGTGCTACAAAATCCCTTTTTGTACTGAAATTCCAGACCAATATGGGTTTTGTCCTTGAATAAAGGGACAGCAGCACTTTCCACTTTTAAGCCTGCCCAGTTTACTTCTGAGTACAGCTGTGTACTTAAGATGCCTGCCTTGCTTGTATTTACTTCAGTGTAATTTAAGGGAAGGGTCTTAGGTGTGAATGTTGTTACATCCCGAATATATTATTGCAACGCGCTCTACGTGGGGCTACCTTTGAAGACTATTCGGAAACTTTAACTAGTCCAACGAGCGGCAGCCAGATTACTTACTGAAGCGACATACAGGGAGTATACCACCCTCCTGTTATGTCAGCTCCACTGGCTATCTGTCCAGTTCTGAGCACAATTCAAAGTGCTGGTCTTGACCTATAAAGCCCTATACAGTTCTGGCCCAGCTTACTTGTCCGAACGTATCTCCTCTTACATCCCACCTCAAAATTTACGATCTTCTGTGGAGGCCCTGCTCTTCGTCGCAAATGCGCTTGGTGGGGACGACAGGGCCTTCTCGGTGGTGGCCCCCTGCCTAAGGAACTCGCTCCCCAGCGAAATTAGGTCAACTACTTCCCTCCTTTCCCTTAGGAAAAAGTTGAAGACGTGGCTATGGGACCAGGCATTCGGATAAGCATTCGGATAGCAGGTTGACAATAAAAATGATGACATTGCAATGGAAAACGGACTGTGGACCGACTTTGGATTAAGTGTTGATTGTTGCACTTGGACTATTTGTACTATTTTAAATGGTTTTTTAAAATCTAACGTATTGTTTATTTATTAGATAACCATTGTTTTATCTGTTGTATATACGGGGCATCGAATTGTTGCCAACTGTAAGCCGCCCTGAGTCCCCCTTCAGGGGTAGAGAAGGGCGGGGAATAAATATTTGAAATAATGAATAAATAATATGCATTCCATAGTCTTGGGGGCATATGTTCACTTCCACAAGGCGGGGGCTTGCTTGTTGGGTGCCTTTAAAGTGTTGTTTTCCTGGGCTGAGAGTGTGTGACTTGGCCAAGGTCACCCAGTGCGTTTCCATAGCTGAGTGGAGATTTGAACTCTGTTCTCCAGAGTCGTAGCCCAACCAATACACAGATGCTCTAGTGCAAGCATGGGCCAACTTCAACCCTCCACGTGTTTTGGACTCCAACTCCCACAATTCCTAACAGCCTTCGACAATACAGCCTACTGGCTGTTAGGAATTGTGGGAGTTGGAGTCCAAAACACCTGGAGGGCCAAAGTCGGCCCAAGCCTGCTTTTGTGTGATGAAGTCCTAAACTTTTTGCCAACTTCGTGAAACTTTGAGTGCTCTACACCGTAGGAGACCACTTTGTTTTGATGCTGGGTCTCAATGTTTTGGAATCCTAAGAGCTGCAGTTTGTGGAGTTAAGACAGAGAAGGCAAAAAGATCTTGACAAATTGCAGCTCCCAGGATGCCATCGACTTGAGCTTTGGCCTCCCTCTTGAAGTCGAGACGCCTGCACTTGGCTCCCTTCTTCCCTCCCGGGCTGAGTGGGGTGATGAGGGGTGGGCTTCCCTGCTTGGCCCCCCTCCTCCTCCTCCCTCCCCAAGGCTCCCTTCCCCTTCCTTCCTGCCTTGCTTCCACCTCTTTGGGACTCACCGGCGGCGAGCTGCAAGGCGGCGCTGGTGCTGAGCGGCCGGGCCCAAGGCCTCAGAGGCGGGCAGAAGCCACGGCAGAAGGCCCCCGGGGGCAAGGAGCCCGGCAAGGCCCGCTGCAGCGCCCGCCAAGCCGCCGCCACTGCCATCGCGGGCCGGGCCAGAGAAACGGAAAGCCGAGCGAAGAGGCGGCGCTTCCCTGCCGGAGGGGCCGGGCCTGGCGCGCCTCGGTGGGCGTTTCCATTCTGGAGGAGGAGGAGGAGGAGGAGGAGGAGGAGGCGCTTGCCTTCCTCCCGAGGAGGCGTGCAGTGGGGCGGCCTCCCTGGTTGGGCTCTTGGGGAGCCTCATCTTGAGATCATCTCATCATATGGATCTCCTGATCAAAGGCCGCCTTCTGCACAGTAGCAAGGACTAGAGCAGCGTTTCTCAACCTGGAGGGTCATACCAAAGCTGACTGGCACAACCTGGGGATCACAACCAGATACAGTGAAGACAATTGCCCTTGCGCTTTGCTACTCTGCTGCTAGTATTTATTTATTTATTTATTTATTTATTTATCGTGTCAGGAGCAAACCAAACAGTTATGTTGCATTTTTTTAACAAACAAACAGACAAAAGCACAAAGTTTGCAAGCTTGGTAGTTGATTAAAATGTCCTTTGACCAGTAGTTGCCCACTTGGAGTGCCTCTAGAACAGTGGCTCTCAACCTGTGGGTCCCCAGATGTTTTGACCTTCAACTCCCAGAAATCCTAACAGCTGGTAAACTGGCTGGGATTTCTGGGAGTTGAAGGCCAAAACATCTGGGGACCCACAGGTTGAGAACCACTGCTCTAGAATCATAGAATCAAAGAGTTGGGAGAGACCTCATGGGCCATCCAGTCCAACTCCATTCTGCCAAGAAGCAGGAATATTGCATTCAAATCACCCCTGACAGATGGCCATCCAGCCTCTGTTTAAAAGCTTCCAAAGAAGGAGCCTCCACCACACTCCGGGGCAGAGAGTTCTACTGCTGAACGGATCTCACAGTCAGGAAGTTCTTCCTCATGTTCAGATGGAATCTCCTTTCTTGTAGTTTGAAGCCATTGTTCCCTGTCCTAGTCTCCAGGGAAGCAGAAAACAAGCTTGTTCCTCCTCCCTTTGACTTCCTCTCATATATTTATACATGGCAATCATATCTCCTCTCATCCTCCTCTTCTTCAGTTCAGGCTAAACATGCCCAGCTCCTTAAGCCGCTCCTCATAGGGCTTGTTCTCCAGACTCTAGTGTTACTATAAGAAGGTGCATGTAGCAGGGCTCAGGTTGCATTGCAGCAGGTGGTCTGTAGTTTGCTCTTCTCCACACTCGCATGTCGTGGATTCCACTTTGTGGCCCCATTTATTAAGGTTGGCTCTGCATCTCGTGGTACCAGAGCACAGTCTGTCCAGCGCCTTCCAAGTCGCCCAGTTTTTTGTGTGACTTAGATGTGGCTCTGAGACATGCCGCATTATCACGGGGTGTCTGCGCCCAACACCACTGGAGAAATTACATTGTTTAGCTGGTATTGCACCACCTGACATCCGCTGGAAAGTAGCAACCAATAGTGAAAGGACCAAGGCAGTGACATCTCCAGCTCATCCCTTGTTTGGGTATCAGCCAGCATGCCAGCGACTTAAATCAAGAGTTTTCTAAGATCTACAGAGACACTCTCTGGAACACCTCAGCAAGCGAGAGTCCAAAAGTGGCAGGCTCAAACCCAGAGCCTCAATCAATGGCTGATACCAAATGAGAGACTGCCCCCTGGGCACACAGAAAACTGGGCGACTTGGAAGGCGCTCTGGCACCACAAGATGCAGAGCCAACCTTAAGAAATGGGACTACAAAGTGGAATCCACGACATGCAAGTGCGGAGAAGAGCACACCACTGACCATCTGCTGCAATGCAACCTGAGCCCTGCCACATGCACAATGGAGGACCACCTTGCAGCAACATCAGAGGCACTCCAAGTGGCCAGATACTGGTCAAAGGACATTTAATCAATTACCAAGCTTGCAAACTTTGTGTTTTGTTTGTTTGTTTGTTTTTAATGCAATACAACTGCTTTGGTTCGCTCCTGATACGATAAATAAATATCTTGAGATCATCCCATCACATGGATCTCCTGGTCTAAGGCCTTCTTCTACACAGCAGCAAAGACTAGAGCAGCGTTTCTTAACCTGGGGGTCAGGACCCCGGGGGGGGGGGGGGGGTCGCAAGAGCGGTATCAGAGGCAACACCAAAGACAATCAGAAAACACCATATTTTCTGTTGATTATGGAGGTTCTGTGTGGGAAATTTGGCCCAATTCTATCATTGGTGGAATTCAGAATGCTCTTTGATGGTAGGTGAACTATAAATCCCAGCAATTACAACTCCCAAATATCAATGTCTATTTTCCCCAAACTCCACCAGTGTTCACATTTGGGCATATTGAGTATCCATGCCAAGTTTGGTCCAGATCCATCATTGTTTGAGTCCACAGTGCTCTTTGGAGGTAGGTGAACTACAACTCCAAAACTCAAGGTCAGTGCCCACCAAACCCTTCCAGTATTTTCTGTTGGTCATGGGAGTTCTGTGTGCCAAGTTTGGTACAATTCCATCGTTGATGGAATTCAGAGTGCTCTTTGATTGTAGGTGAACCAGCAACTACAACTCCCAAATGACAAAATCAGTCCCTCCCCCAACCCCACCAGTATTCAAATATGGGCGTATTGGGTATTTGTGCCGAATTTGGTCCAGTGAACGAAAATACATCCTACATATCAGATATTTACATATCAGATATATACCATGATATTTACTATTATGATTCATAATAGTAGCAAAATTACAGTTATGAAGAAGCAACAAATATAATATTAGGGTTCGGGGTCACCACAACGTGAGAAATTGTATTAAGGGGTCACAGCATTAGGAAGGTTAAGAACCACTGGACTAGAGCATCTCTTCCAGGCATGGGCAAACTTCAGCCCTCCAGGTGTTTTGGACTGTAACTCCCACAATTCCTAAGAGCCTACAAGGAGTTGAAATCCAAAACACCTGGAGGGCCAAAGTCTGCCCATGCCTGCTTTAAAGCGCACAGCCAGAGAAGTCCTGGACCTCACTACTACAAATCCCAGAACTCTGCAGGAGGCAGCAGCTGGATTTGGTATTGTTCCATTATCTGGGCGGAGGCTAGACAGAGAAGGATAGTCCAGTTTAGGGGGTTGAAGTTATTAGAGAATTTATCTGTTTTCCTGTTATTCCCCCTACTCATGTTGCCATCGTCAAAACAACTATCACTCATGGTATAATATGTAAATATTTGTATTTGTAATAGTAAAGGTAAAGGTTTTACCCTGACATTAAGTCCAGTCGTGTCTGACTCTGGGGGTGGTGCTTATCTCCATTTCTAGGCCAAAGAGCCAGTGTTGTCCGTAGACACCTCCAAGGTCATGTGGCTGGCATGACTGCATGGAACGCCATTACCTTCCTGCTGAAGCAGTACCTATTGATCTACTCACATTTGCATGATTTCAAACTGCTAGGTTGGTAGAAGCTGGGGCTAACAGCGGGAGCTCACGCAGCTCCCTGGTTTCAAACCTGTGACCTTTTGGTCTGCAAATTCAGCAGTTCAGCGGTTTAACCCACTGCACCACCAGGGGCTCCTGTATTTGTAATATGGCATGGAAATTTGGAAAACTTTATGACCTCTGAGGCTGGATTTACACTGTCATATAATCCAGATTATCCCCATTACCTACTTTGAACTGGATTATATAAACATTACCTACTTTGAACTGGATTATATGAGCCTACACTGCCATATAAATGCATTCAAAGCAAATCATCTAGATTTTATATGGCAGTGTAGAACAGGCCTTAGTTCTTTGCATGATAAGCCACACCTGCTGAAATTCCCTCCTCCATAATCATGAAGGATGTAAGAGCCCCGTGCAGTATTTGCTTGGTAACCCTAAGACTGCTACAAGGAGATCCGGGTGGTGGTGGTGGTGGGACGACAAATCTTGATTCAACTTCAAAATGATAGAGCTTATTTAAAGCAGTGGTATCCAACTTTAGGTCCTCCAGATGTTTGGGATTCCAACTCCAGCTTACCCAAGTCTCGGGAATTCTGTAAGGTTAAGCCCAAAACACCTGGACACCACTGGTCTAAAGTTATCTCCATACAGAAACCACAGAGACTTTCTCAAGAGACTAAATGTATTCTTAGAGCAGGCATGGGCAAACTTTGGTGCTCTCTCCAGATGTTTTGGACTTTAACTCCCACAATTCCTAACATTGGCTGTTAGGATGCCAAACAGCTAGGATACCAAAACAGTTCCCTGACAGAAGTGCATTGTAACTTCAAATGGAGAAAGTAGATCTATAAAATAAAGGACTCCTCTGACACCCTGCTATGCAATAACAATGCAGAATGCATGGAGGCTCTAAAATGAAAGGGCAACCTACATTTAATACACAACATTCCCATTTTGTAAGAAGAAACTTGTTGTGTCCTCCTCTTCTGAGGAGAAGGAGGTAGAACAGGAGGATGAAGGTGTAGAAGTTGGCAATTTGGGGCCAAGGGTTGAAGAGAAAGAAGGGGGCAAGGAAAACATACTGCCCATTCCTACGTTTCAGGAATGCCAAAGGGCGAAATAAAAAAGGTGAGCTAGAATTGCTGCATAACGCTGAGGAATCAAACCTCACCCTAGGAACACCTGTGCTGGGAGCTGAGGGCTATAAATCACAAGTAAAGCAAATGGTTAATGCTGGCAGCAGTTGTTCTACTTAGTGCTTCCTTGCTTGCATCTCCAGCGTTTGCAAAGTGCGTTGCAAAGATTTTTTGCCAAAGACTCTTGTTTCATGTCTGATGTAAGACTTTTGCTTTGCTTTTGGGATTTACCTTCTGATCCTTTGCTGCTGTTTGTTACATTATTATCATTTTGCTGAAGTAAAGCTTTTTAAAGTTGCTTTAACTCTTGTTGTAAGGCTGTTTCTGGTGGAAAACAGGACAAAACTACAGTATTTCATTGATCTGATAGCCCCATGACACATTGGTTGCTTTATTATATTGTGTAGTATATCACACTGCAGACAAAATACAGTAAAGTGGAGTAAGGCCAGCCATTTGATGCTGTGACACTTATTTCTACATTTTTCAGTACAGGATTAAGGCTAAAGTCTTAAATGCAACAATTTAGAGCTCAGAGTCTGAAACGTTCTTCAGGTCTAGCGTTTCACAAACACAGGAATCATGATACTGAAAGGCAGCTGTAAACTGAAGTGATAAGCAAGGCATCCTTCTGGCAGTGTTCAGTTGCGCACAAGTTCTTCCAGTGGCTTATCTTGGCCCGTTTTCTGATCATTTTTGCATCGAATGCCAAGGAAACTCGACATTTTCTTCAACATTAGATCGACTATCTCTTCCTCTTCTGAAGCCTTAAAAACCACAAACACATGCACATTAATGGATTGCTGCACAAACAAACATGATAATAGATATCATAGAGTTGAAGGGTATGGGTTTGCCATTGGGTTCCCACAAGTTGGGAATGATTTGGAGACACAACTGTAACAGCAGCAACATACAGAAAGCTATACATGTCATGGCAGGCTGGAACCTCAAAAACTACAATTCACAAAATACACCTGTGAACAAACCTGATAATGTTTCTGCTCCTCACTGAAAGCGACAAGGATAACTGAAATGAAGAGATTCAGCACCACAAATGTCATGAAAATGATGCAGGAGCCAATTAAGAAGGAGCCCAAAATAGGATTGTAGTCCAAGACCTGAAATATATACATAAAATAGCAATCAGGTATTTCCTATCCCAAGGAGCGGAAAGAAAACTGTAAAGGATCAAAAACTTACAGGAGCTCATGCCTCATGTAAACATAAATGCTGCAGGCTTAATGCTGAACAAGATATGATAAATATTTCATATAAAAGTATTTATTCTGTAGCTAAGTAAAAGGGATGTGCTTTTAGGGCACTTTAGTAAAGGTAAATGTTTCCCCTTGATATTAAGTCCAGTCAAGTCTGACTCGGGGGGGGGGGGGGGGGGTGTGTGGTGGTGGTAATCACCTCTACTTCTAAACCGAAGAGCCTAAGTTGTGAGGCTGGCATGACTGCATGGAACGCTGTTACCTTCCCGTCAAAGTGGTACCTATTGATAGACACACATTTGCATGTTTTCGAACTGCTAGGTTAGCAGAAGCTGGAGCTAACAGCGGGAGCTTACTCTGTCCCGTGGATTCAAACCGCCAACCTTCCGATTAGCAAGTTCAGCAGCACAGTGGTTTAACCTGCTGCACTTCCGTGGCCCTACCTGTAATGATGCACATTACCATCAGCAAAATAGAACAATGAACAACATACTAATGTAAATAACAAGACAGCAATGCTATGCTTATTGCCTTAGAAATACCATAAGCCCTACTGAGTTCAAAGGATCTTTCTTCCAGGTAAGTGTTAGGATTGCAGACTACCATGTCTTATCTTTAAAACATCCCATTCGGGGAGTATGTGATCCTTCAGGGGTCTTTAAACAAAGGTTGGTCAACTTTCAGGGGTGATTTAGTTGCATATTTCTGCATGGCAGGGAGACTGACTAGATTACTCTTCTGACCATTCCAACTCAAGATTTTAAGGTTTTTTTTAATTCTAAAAGAACATATCTAGACAGTACTTTTTGGACTACAACTCCTAGAAACATTTAGCCAGTTGATTGGAGGAATCTGGGGATTTGTATCTAGAAATACATTTATCTATGTTCTGCATAGGATCCCCTAGTGGTGCAGCAGGTTAAACCACGGAGCTGCTGAACTTGCTGACCAAAAGGTTGGCGGTTCGAATTCAGGGAGCAGGATGAGTTCCCACTGATAGGCCCAACTTCAATAAATCAATAAATCAATAAATACTGTTCCGACGGAAAGGTAATGACGCTCCATGCAGTCATGCTGGCCACATGACCTTGGAGGCATCTATTGACCACCTCTTCAGCTTAGAAATGGAGATGAGCACCACCCCACAGAGTCGAACACGATTAGACTTAATGTCAAGGGGAAACCTTTACCTTTATGTTTTGCATAAGACTGGTCTCTTGGTGAGCTTCTTTTGGAAAATTATTTGCAGAGTGGTAACAAGACACCTTCAGCAGTGAAAGAGTGAGAGGTTTAAGGAGAAAGGACTCCAATTATGATCATAATATTCTTTTGATATTTTTAAATTGCCTATGTTTGTCTCTTCCTGAGAACCGGTGTATTTATTTTTGCTCTGGTGACGCACACATTCTTGTTAATTGGTCACTTATTGTTATATTGTTTTAGTAAAATAGTTTGTTGGCTACTAAGCATGCTTCTGGAATGAGCTTCATGTATTCCAAGTAGACTGGAACGTAATTAATCATAATCTTTTTTATATACATATACGGGTTTTAAACCACGTCATTGGATTTTGTAGTAGCAGATTCCTAGCATAGTTTAGTGTTACACTTTTTTGTTATTTAACATGCAATGTTACTTTTACTTAAGTGATATTTGTCTTTACCATTCTAATGTAGCACAAATCCCATGTAAAATCATGCTGTGTATTTTTGACATTAATATTGAAATATTAATATTAATATTGACATTAATATTGAAATCTGAAATATACTCAGGAAATAATACTACATATTTTTGACATTAATATTGAAATCTGGAATATATACAGAAAGTCTGTGACCTGCCTTGAGCAATGAGGAGAGGCGGGTAAGAAATGAAATTTCTTTTGCCTGATTCTACTAAAAAAAGCACCCCAATTCCGGCCCAGCTTACTTGTCCAAATGCATCTCTTCCTATGAACAATCTAGAAGCTTAAGATCATCTGGGAAGGCCCTGCTCTCAATCCCACCTGCCTCACAAGTGCGACTGGCAGAGACGAAGGACAGGGCCTTCTCAGTGGTGACACCCCGGCTATGGAACTCACTGCCCAGGGATATTAGATCAGCCCCCTCCCACCTGACTTTCTAAAAAAAGTAAAGACCTGGCTCTTTGAGCAAGCTTTTGAGAATGTAGTGAAATAGATAACACAGGACTATGAATGATGAACATGGAATGGCTAGACGATGTTACTAGATAACGGTTTTAACAGAATGACACTGATGATTATATGCTTTAACGGTTTTTATATAAGTTTTATATTGTAATGCTGATTGTTTTTAATAGCACTTTTATGAATGCCTGACATTGAATTTTACCAATCTGTAACCCGCCTTGAGTCGCTGTATGGCTGAGAAAGGTGGGCTATAAATATCGCAAATAAATAAATAAAGGTTTTCCCTTGACATTAAGTCTAGTCATGTCCGACTCTGGGGGGTGGTGCTCATCTCCATTTCTAAGCCGAAGGGGCCAGCTTTATCCGTAGACACCTCCAAGGTCCTGTGGCCAGCATGATTGCATGGAGCCCCGTTACTTTCCCACCAAAGCAATACCTATTGATCTGCTCACATTTGCATGCTTTCTAACTGCTAGGTTGGCAGAAGCTGGGGTTAACAGTGGGAGCTCAACTCACTTTGCAAAATCAAACCGCTGACCTTTTGGTCAGCAAGTTCCACAGCTCAGCGGTTTAATCCACTGTGCCACCAGGGGCACTACTAAGAAGGGCCAAATTCTCCCTTCTCTGCTGAGTTAAATGAGTTCAAATTATGTTTGCAGCACCTGAAGAAAGCTAGTGGGAAGGTTGGTGGCAGAAAGAGAAACTAGGACATTTTAAAAGAAAATTGGGAGGACTTCTCAAATCAGAACAGTTGGGGGACACAAAGGCTTCCCGCTAACAAGTCCCTGGCCTCCATCTCACCACTGGCCAGAGTTAAAGGAGTCGATAGAGGCAGCTGCTGGCACAAAGGCCAATAAGGGAAGTGAAATAGAGCTGATGGAGGAGGGGGGGGGGGACCTTTGAACATTGGTGGTGGAGAACTGGAGGAGCAAAGTTTATGTGAGTAGTATCTAGATAGCAGAGTGAAAAGATAAGCCAGGAGGGCAAGGGCATTTAAAAGTACTGAAGGACAGGAAGTTTGTACTGTATAGGATGCAGGAAGTTAGTATCATTTGGCTCCAAATTGTTTTATTTAGTAGATGCAATAATTTCATTAATGCAATGTTTTTCATGCGAGCTTGCCTTTAAAAGCTTTCTGGATACACTTGCTCTGACTAGCCATAGGGAACAGTCTCCCAGGGTGCAGCTACATTGTAGAATTAATGCATTTTGACACCACTTTAATTGCCATCACTCAATGGGATTTTTTTTCTTTTGTCATGTCAGGAGCTACTTGAGAAAACTGCAAGTCGCTTCTGGTGTGAGAAAATTGGCCGTCTCCAAGGATGTTGCCCAGGGGATGCCCAGATGTTTTGATGTGTTACCATCCTTGTGGGAGGCTTCTCTTATGTCCCCGTATGGTGAGCTGGAGCTGATAGAGGGAGCTCATCCACGCTCTCCCCGGATTCGAACCTGCAACCTCTGTCAGTCTTAAGTCCTGCTGGCACAGGAGTTTAACTCACTGCGCCACCGGGAGCTCCTACTCAATAGGATGGAACCATGGGATTTGTAGTTTGGTGAGGCACCAGCACTGTTTGGCAGGAAAGGTTAAAGAACTTGTATTTATTCCTTTGACCAGAAACAAGCAACTTGGAGTGCCTCTGGTATGGCTGTGAGAAGGTCCCCCATTGTGCATGTGGCTGAGCTCAGACTGCATTGTATTAGGTGGTCTGTGGTTTGCTCTTCTCCATATTCGCATGCTGTGCATTCCTCTTTGTGGCCCCAAATCTTAAGATTAGCTCTGCATCTCATGGTGCCAGAGTGCAGCCTTTTCAGCGCCTTCCAGGTCGTCCAGTCTTCTGTGTGCCCAGGAGGGAGTCTCTCATCTGGGATCAGCCACTGATTGAGATTCCGACTTTTAACCTGCCACTTTTGCTGAGGTGTTCCTGCGAGTATCTCTGTAGATCTTAGGAAGCCCTTTCTTGATTTAAGGCATTGGCTTCCTGGCTGGTATCTGAACAGAGGATGTGCTGGAGATGTCAATACCTTGGTCCTTTCATTACGGGATGCTATTTCCCGACGGATGTCAGGTGGTGCAATACTGGCTAAACAGTATAATTTCTCCAGCAGTGAAGGGCGTAGACATCCTGTGATAATGTGGCAATGTCTCATTAAGAGCCACATCCACTGTTTTAACATGGTGATATGTATTCCACACTGGGCATGCGTATTCAGCAGCAGAGTATTTCTTGGGAAGACAGGCAGACAAATGTCAGCATACTGGAAGGAGCAAAGACCACCAGCATTGAAGCGATGGTCCTCCGCCATCAACTCCGCTGGACCGGCTACGTTGTCCGAATGCCCAACCAGCGTCTCCCAAAGCAGTTGCTCCACTCTGAACTCAAGAATAGAAAATGAAATGTTGGAGGACAGGAAAAGAAATTTAAAGATGGGCTCAAAGCCAACCTTAAAAACTGTGGCATAGACACCAAGAACTGGGAAGCCCTGGCCCTTGAGCGCTCCAGCTGGAGGTCAACTGTGACCAGCAGTGCTGTAGAATTTGAAGAGGTACGAATGGAGGACAAAAGAAAGAAATGTGCCAAGAGGAAGGCATGTCAAGCCAACCCCGACCGGGACCGCCTTCCACCTGGAAACCGATGCCCTCACTGTGGGAGAACATGCAGGTCAAGAATGGGATTCCACAGTCACCTACAGACCCACCGCCAGTACACCAAACTTGGAGGACAATCTTACTCAGACAACGAGGAATCACCTAAAGTAAAGTAAGCCAAGCGCAAGGGCAGATGTCTTCACCGTGGCAGGTTGGGCTCATCAGTTTCCATGATTCCACAGGACACTAATCTCTTGGTGGCCCGATTAGTACCAGCATTGCTATTGTTCAGGCACCAAGTGAAAACATGAATATTCATGAAAACTTTAGGCCCTTAATCGCTTTTATACAAACCCTTGCATGCATAGGGTTTTAAATCATTTTAAACTATTTTAAATAGTTTATATCTGCCTTTCTGTTCTATTTGCTAATATGTTTTTAGACAATTCCACTATTCACACTGATGAATTTTTATTGCATGTCACCCTAGGATCTCTGCATGGAGCAGGGATATAAATATTTTAGTAAAATAAGCCAATTGTTCTGGCTTCATCTCTGCCACTGCTGAGGAAAGAAGTGCTCCCTGCTCAATCCTTTTTCATGGAGAAAAGCTCACAATTTGGTCCAGCCCAGCATTTTAATTGATGCACCCTGATAATGAAAAAATCCCGTTAGTTTGAACACTTTCGTCACTTATACACAATACATTGATATTTTCATATAAATCAATTATTATAACATCTCTGTGGTTTCATTTTAATAATTCAACCACAACTACAAGAGAAAAACATCTCTGTACCTCTTCGTAATTGAAGATTCCTAGTTGAAGGCTAACCATTGTCTCTGCCGAATCAAACAGGGTCTTGTAAGAATTTAGCTTCCAGCCATAGATCAAGTTTGTCTGCAAATTCAAAAGAAGAGGAGGAGAGATCTTGCATTTAGGTCAGTTAGGGTTTTTTTATATAATACTCATTGCTTATTTTTCCTCTTGTCTTGGAATGTTGTGACGTTTCCAAACTACTTTAGAGACCATGGGAGTACTTTTCAATTAATTATGGTTGGAGACAGACTATATATTAAACAGAGCTCATAGCAGATTGCTGAGCAGGGAAATGAGCCCAACTTTAAGATATAATTACTGCTATAGTCAATTGCTTCATTCCTCTCCTTTGACAAGTTGGACATCATATACAAATTGTCTTTAGAGGTGGTCTCTCTAAACAGAGATGGTACAATGCATCTGAGGGCCCTTCCAGACAGACCCTATATCCCAGGATCTGATCCCTTTCTACACAACTGTATAAAATCCAGATTGTCTGCTTTGATCTGGATTAAAGCAGTGTGGACTCAGATAAATCCACAAATAATGTGGATTATCTGCCTTAATGTTCTGGATTATATGGCAGTGTATATGGGCCCTCAGGCTGGATCTGCACTGCCATATAATCCAGATTCCCAAAACAGATAATCCAGATTATTTTTGTTGAACTGGATTATAGGAGGCCCTACCTACACTTCTATATAAAATCCAGAGTATCTGTTTTTAACTGGATTATGTGGCAGCGTAGACTCATATAATCCAGTTCAAAGCAGATAATGTGGATTGCCTGCTTTGATAATCTGGATTATGTGGCAGTGTAGAAGGGGCCTGAGACGACGCTGTCATTTAATCCAATTCAAAGCAGATAATCTGGACTTTATATGGCAGTGTAGGTGAGGCCACAGTTTAGAAAATCCATATTTTCAAGTCCTTCTGTCTTCTTTATGATAGCCTGTGACCCCATGTACACTGCCATATAAAATCCAGGTGATATGCTTTGAACTGGATTATATGGTAGTGTAGATTCATATAATCCAAGGGTCCTCAAACTTTTTAAACAGAGGGCCAGGTTATGGTCCCTCAAACTGTTGGAGGGCCGAATTATAATGTGAAAAAAAATGAATGAATTCCTATGCACGCTGCACATATCTTATTTGTAGTGCCAAAAAAACCCCACTTAAAAACAATACAATAATTGAAATGAACAATTTTAAGAAATATAAACTTATTAGTATTTCAATGGGAAACGTGGGCCTGCTTTTGGCTGATGACATAGGATTGTTGTTGTTGTTGATGTTGTTGTTGTGCGCTTTCAAGTAGTTTCAGATTTAGGCTGACCCTGAGCAAGGGCCGGGTAAATGACCTTGGAGGACCTTATCCAGCCCTCGGGCCATAGTTTGAGGACCCCTGATACAATCCATCTGAAAGCCACTGTCCTTTGCCCCCCTCCCCTTAAATTAGTTTAAGGCCCCTTCCACACAGCCATATAACCCAAAATATCAAGGCAGGAAATCCCGCCTTATCTGCTTTGAACTGGGCTACCTGAGTCCACACTGCCATATATTCTAGTTCAAAGCAGATAATGTGGGATTTTCTGCCTTGATATTTTGGGATATAGGGCTGTGTGGAAGGGCCCTAGCAAACAAAGCTTTGGACAAAATGTGACAAAGGCCCCATATACAGTGCCATATAAAACCCAGAAGAAGCTAACACTATATTGCTATTCATTCTACAAACAAATGCTAGCTGGATTGGCACCTATACTGCAGAATTAATGCAGTTTCAACTGCCATGGCTCAATGCTATGGAGTACTGGGATTTGTAGTTTGGTGGGGCACCAACACTGGCAGTAAAATTTTACTATACACACACACACATATGTGTATAGTAAAATTTTACTGCCAGTGTATATATATAATTACAAACCCCATGGTTCCATAGCATTGAGCCATGAGAGTTAAAATAGTGTCAAACTGCATTAATCCAATAGTATAGATTCACCCTGACCCTTCTTCAAACAGTGGTAGCAAGTGAGTGTTCACCACTGCAACTGAGGTTAACCTCAGTTGCAGTGGTGAACACTCACTTGCTACCACTGTTTGAATAAGGGTCAGGGTGAACCTATACTATTGGATGTAGCATATACAGATCTGTCCTTGGACAGAGGTGAAAAGCCAATGATTGCCACAGTTTCCACCCACTACCTATTGCCAGAGGCAGTTGCTTCACTCTTCCAAATTATCTCAAAAATATGAGAACAAGCCCTGCATTTATAGATGGGGGAGAAGTCCTACTGACAGCAGGCAAAGCAGAAGGCTTACTCACAGCAATGGAGTAGGCAAGAAACATGATTATAATCACAGTTGCAAATCCCGAGATGTCCCCCCAGGCCCTCTTCAGGGTGGAGGTGATCATATTCAGTTTGGGGTTCAGCCGCAGAAGATGCCAGAGCTTCACTGTGGAGAGAAGTACCAGGAAGGCAATCAGGTAGCCCAGAACTGCGTCAACAGTCGCTGTCTGATTGAAGCTGGCAAACCTGAAAGCAATGCAGGAAGCATCATCGTGAGACACAACAATGGCAGCCTCTTGAAACTCAGGCCCCTCCACACAGCTGTATAAAATCCAAATTGAATTGGATTATATGGCAGTGTGGACTCAGATAACCCAGTTCAAATCAGATATTGTGTGTTTTCTTGATATTCTGGGTTATATGGCTGTGTGGAAGGGCCCTCAGTGTCTTCGAGATCTTCAGACTACAACAGCTATCTTGCTCGCTGATGGTGCACTCTAGTACTAGATAGGCAAGTTAAGGCTGATACATGAAATTAGTTTAGGTTCAAACCCCCATTTTGGGGATTTGGGGCAAGGTGTTGTGACCCAGCTGGAGCCTCAGGAAGAAGAAGGTGGGTTTCAGATTCCTGAACATGTTTCTGTTGTTGATACAGACGATGTTGATACTGAAGACAAGGAGTTTCAGTTTCCCATAGCAAGGGATGTTTTGGAAGAGGTTTCTGATCTTAGTGAAACTTCCCAGGTGCAGGCGGAGGAGACGAGCTCTCAGCCTGCTGATTCTCAGGCTGTCGATTCTCAGGGTATTGAGCTAGCTGACCTTGACGGCTCTGCAGATTTAGATAGGGAGGATCGCTTGCAATTCAGGGTTCGCCGCAGTTCGAGGCTTGCTAACAAGAGAGAGGTTAGAGGTCAAAGGAATGTGTTCATGCTGGGAAAGTATATTAAACGAGCTGTTTGAAGTCAACTCTTTGTCAGTGCAACTTCTGCAAACACCCTGGTAACTTCTCTGGATTGTCTTGGTTTTTGGGCAGTGCTTTTGGCTTCTTGGGACTTTGTCTTGTTCTTGGCTCCTTGGGACTCTTGTCATGCTGCCATGGAATCTTGTTTGATCAATGCCTTCATGTTGTTTGTCATTGAACTTTGGAAACTTTGCCTTTGCATTTAAGACTCTGCTTTTACCATTGAACTTTTGAAACCTTACTTTTATGTTAAAGACTTGCCTTTTTCTTCAATAAACTACAAAACCTTCAGCCTTGGTGTGGTGTTCTGAGAAAGGTGAATCTATCCTGAGTTGCAACACAAGGTAGTTTGCAGGACCGAGAGACTTTCTGTTTCATTCAAAAGACAGAAGAGCGGACAAAGGCTAAGGCAAGGTGACAAAAGGTAAAGGTAAAGGTTTCCCCTTGACATTAAGTCTAGTCGTGTTCAATTCTGGTGGGGTGGTGCTCATCTCTGTTCCTAAGATGAAGAGCTGACATTGTCTGTAGACACCTCCATGGTCCTGTGGTCGGAATGACTGTGTGGAGTGCTGTTACCTTTCCGCTGGAGTTGTACCTATTGATCTACTTACATTTCCATGTTTTCGAACTGCTAGGTTGGCAGAAGCTGGGCCTAACAGCCTTAAATACTTTAGGTTTGTGAAATATTTAGATATGTATGTATAAAATCTACAATTTGTTTCATAAATGATGGCTAGAAGCCTGTATCATGCTATACTTAATACTGAACCAAGTAACTTCTCCTGATCTGACGACCACAAATCGAACAGAAATTTTATTCAACCATGTGCCCAACACCAGCCAGACTCCTTCTCTCAGGTAGCAGATTGGAGGTTGAAGTTACAATGGTAGCAATAGAGTCAAATTATTACTTAATAACGTAAATGAATACAAAACAGTTGCTTATATTTACACAACTGTTTGTTTGGAGTCTCAGATCAGGAGGACTTAAATATAAACGGATACAGCCTAAGTTTACAAACATAAGTATCCTGTTCTGCTACAGTTGCGTAGCTCCCAACTGTTCTGATTTGGCAGGGACAGTCCTGATTAATTCGTTAGTCTTTTTTCCCCAGCTAATTTTTAAATGTCTCAGTTTCTTTAATGTGGTCTTAATGAGCAAAGTTTCTTAATGAGGAAAAACAGACAAGCTAAGAGAAGCTGCAGCAGTTTCAGGCAAAATATATTTTGCAATCAGGCTGACCATAATCCAGTCATACTTTTTTCCAGGCTAGATCGATACTTCACCATGTCCCAAGATCTGATCTCAGATTACCTGCTTTGAACTGGATTACATGAGTCTACACTGCCAGATAATTTGTTTTCTATATTTTGTTCACCACTTTGAGTCCCAACCATGGGAGAGAAGCAGGATAAAAATAAACAAACAAACAAACAAACAAACAAATAAATAAATAATAAGTCCCAGACTACTTTGGGACTTCCAAATTCAGACAAAATTTTGGAGCACAATACTCTCGACCTCACAATCATGTTAAAAAGCAAAGTATGGATTGTCGATGTTGCAATCCTAGGTGACAGGAGAATTGAAGAGAAACAACTGGAAAAGCTGACACAAAATGAGGATTTAAAGATCAAACTGCAAAGACTCTGGTACAAGCCAGTAAAGTTGGTCCCAGTGGTGATCGGCACACTGGGTGCAATGCCTAAAGACCTTGGTCTGCGCTTAAACACAATCGGCGCTGACAAAATTACCATCTGCCAGCTGCAAAAGGCCACCTTACTTGGGAAGTGTCCGACATGTGATCCAATACAACAGCCAGCAGAGTGCTCTTGTCTGCTGCAGACTCATCTTGTTGTGTCTCAAGTAATAATAATAATAATAATAATAATAATCATCATCATCATCATCATCATCATCTGGGATCAGGTCTTGGGATATAGGCAGGTAGATCCAGCCTCAGTTTTTTCCTATCCTATATTATTTATTTATTTATTATTTATTAACTTTATTTGTACCCCGCTAGCATCTCCCGAAGGACTCGATGCGGCTTACACGGGCCGAAGCCTCAAAACACAATACAATAGAAAACATAACACAACAATAAACAAAGCAAATCAAAACAATTAAGCAAAGTAACCACAATGACAATACATCAAGACACTATTAAAACAGGTTCGGCCAGCGCAATGGGGTACAGGGTTAAAAGTGCTGAAATGGCAGGAGGAACGTAGGATTAAAAGTGCGGTGTGCAGCAACATTGGTTGTGCTAAAGTGCTTCTAGGACTTGGGATGGGGATTCCTAATCTGCGAAGGCACATCGGAACAGCCAAGTTTTTAGGTTCCTTCTGAAAACTGCTAGAAGGCACATCGGAACAGCCAAGTTTTTAGGTTCCTTTTGAAAACTGCTAGAGTAGGGGCCTGACGGAGCTCTTTTGGAAGGGCATTCCAAAGTCGGGGGGCCGCCACAGAGAAGGCCCTGTCCCGCGTCCCCACCAAGCGCGCTTGCGACGTAGGTGGGATCACGAGCAGGGCCTCCCCAGATGACCGGAGCGAGCGTGTGGGTTCGTAGATGGAGATGCGGTCACGCAGGTAGGGTGGTCCCAAACCGTTCAGGGCTTTGTAGGTGAGCACCTGCACCTTGAATTGGGCTCGGAAAATAAATGGCAGCCAGTGGAGCTCCTTGAACAAGAGGGTTGACCTCTCTTGATAATGAGCTCCAGTTAGCATCCTAGCTGCTGCCCGCTGGACCAATTGAAGTTTCCGAGCCATCTTCAAGGGCAGCCCCACGTAGAGCGCATTGCAGTAATCCATTCTAGAGGTGACCAAGGCGTGGACCACCCCGGCCAGATCAGCCTTCACGAGGTACGGTCGCAGTTGGCGCACAAGTCTCAGTTGTGCAAAGGCCCTCCCGGATACCGCCGACACCTGAGCCTCAAGTGTAAGCGAAGAATCCAGGAGGACACCCAAACTTATAGTAAGGTTATATTTCATTTGGGTTGCTGTGAGTTTTCCGGGCTGTATAAACATGTTCCAGAAGCATTCTCTCCTGATGTTTCACCCACATCTATGGCAGGCATCCTCAGAGGTTGTGAGGTCTGTTGGAAACTAGGCAATTGGAGTTTATATATCTGTGGAATATCCAGGATGGGAGAAATAATTCTTGTCTGTTGGAGGCAAGCGTGAATGTTGCAATTGGCCACCTTGGCCAGGCTTTGAAGCTGCAAGGCAATTCAATGCTAATCAAGGTGGCCAATTGCAAAATTCAAACTTGCTCAACAGACAAGAATTATTTCTACCACCCTGGACATTCCATAGATATATAATCCCTACTTGCCTAGTTTTCAACAGACCTCACAACCTCAGAGAATGCCTGCCACAGATGTGGGCAAAGCATCAGGAGAAAATGCTTCTGGAGCATGGCCATACAGCCTGGAAAACTCACAGCAACCCAGTGATTACAGCCAGGAAAGCATTCAACAACACAATATTTTATTTCTTTATCATTTAAAGCTATGGCACAGACAGTTTAGGTAGTACTTCTCTCCCTGTATACTGGGAAGTATACATATACTGGGAATATATTACATATACTGGGATGGACAGTTTGGAAAGTGCTGGGAAAATGGATCCTTACTCATCCTTGTGCTCCTGATAGTAACTGATGTCTCGTGAGCCCAAAATTGTCCGTCTTACAAACACCGATAGGGCACTCCAGCTGATGGTGATGATAGCCAGTTCCAGCAGGTTCCACTTGCTGCGGAAGTAGTTCCATTTCAGAGCCCGAATGAGTTTTCCCTGTTGGAACAAAGTGTTCAGTTACCTTCAAATCATACACAATGTGAGCAGGAATTAGGAGAAATAATGCTATTACATGGCAACTTCACTGAGAAGACTAGCCAAGTGTGATCTCAGATCTTATGGCCAGTAATCAGAACAAATGTGAAATGCTACAAGAAGAGGGATAGCCTTGCCAACTTTTGTCGTGCCTGTTAGTGAGCACGTCTCTGTCTTCAGGTGGTCTTACCTGTCCCACCATGTAGTAAATGACAAAGAGGAAGTAAATGACTTCTGCTGCTACCACAAAGATATGCAGGCCATCTGTGTAGGGATAAAGTCGGACACTCTGCAGCTCAGCCCGTGTAAAGAAAGCCCCTGAGAAACCAAAAGCAGAGATCAGTGTTTGACTTTAAAGGGCAATCATTCTTCTGAATGTTGAAAGTAGGGCTGTGTGAATCCCAAGTTAAAATACAAAATAAAACTATCTTATCCAGGTGAAATAAAGTCTGCATGAAGAGAAAATAGAGTTCTAAAAACCAGCAAGGCATTCTGCAAGTTTAATAAATTTGTGTGCATGGGGCCATGATACCACAGTGGCTTAAACTGTCAGCTGCAGAAAATCTTGCCAACCAGAAGGTTGGCAGTTCAAGTTGTGGGTCAGGGTGAGCTCCCGCCATCAGCCCTAGCTCCTGTCCACCTAGCAGGAGTAATGTGAGTAGATCAATAGGTACCTCTTTGGCGGGGAGATAAAACGTGCCCATGCAGACATGCCAGCAATTCAATTGCGAATGTGTCCACAGACAACAGGCCATACAGCAGCACCCCTCCATGGCCGGAGTTGAACACAGCCTCGGGGGAAGCCTTTGTCTTTGTCTGTGTACTGGCTGTTGTTAATTGTGTAACGGCATTGAAACTTTGCCATATATGTATTCTGTAATCTGCTCTGAGTCTCCCAGGGGAGATAGAATGGAATAAATATAAAGTTTATTATTATTATACTAGCTGTACTCACCACGCGTTGCAATGGCCAACCTTCCCGCCCTCTTTCTCTCCTTCCTTTTTTTTCTTTCCTTCTCTCCTTCCTTCCTTCCTTCCTTCCTTCCTTCCTTCCTTCCTTCCTTCCTTCCTTCCTTCCTTCCTTCCTTCCTTCTCTTCCTCTTCCCTTCCTTCCTCCCTTTTCTTTCCCTTCCTCTTTCTCCCCTTTCTTCCTTCTCTACCTATTCTTGGACTGCAACTCCCAACAGTCCTCCTAATCGATTTATCTTTCTACCTACCTACCTACCTACCTATCTCTATCTAATCTATCTACCTGGAGGATTGCTGGGAGTTGCAGTCCAGGAATAGGAAATTGGAAATATGCAGGGATTGGGATGCTCTCAAGGAGATCCAAGGAGAAGAAAGCTTGCATCTTGGAAGCACTGCATTTGGATCATCTTCCTCTCCTAAAGGGCCTGGTCTAGGGGATGCTGGGAGCTGTAGTCCAGAAGCGAGTATGCATACGCTATTGTGTGTGTTGTTTGCTGGGGAAGTTGTTTTTGGGCATGCGCTGTAGTGTCTTTTTTTTTTAGCTTTTTAAGTCCCTTCAGCTGTGTTTTTCAGTGTTTTTACGAGTAATGGTCACTCATTGGCCTGATAGGTATATTGTATCCAAATTTGGTTTCAATTCATCCAGTGGTTTTTGAGTTATGTTACTCCACAAACTAACAATACATTTTTATTTATACAGATTACTATTATTAATTTTGAGTGGTTGATCCAGCAGGGTTTCTTTACTTTGTGCAACTGATTCTCTAACAACACAGCGATATGGTACAGAGATGCAGAACACATTGTTCTGCCTTTTTAAAAAACACACAACCAACTCCACTCACTATGAGTGAAACACTGGAACAAAGAAGAAATTCTCACCTAAGGCATTCGTTTCAAACATAAGGCTTACAATGCAAAACAGGTTCACGTTGGCATTATAGACGGTGAACTCGACAAACACAGCTCTTGTAAAAATATCCAGCCAGGTGTTATCAAAGAGGTACTGGAGAATTCTGCCAAAGAATAAACACATAGACATGAAAACTGTTGATTGATTGTATGTATATAGCTTTTAAAGGAATTTTAACATTTTGAATCTTTCTGTTTTTAGCTTAATGAATTTGCTAATTGTTTTACATAACTTTTATACATAATTGGACTGAAACTGTGTTGTTAAAGGCTTTCATGGCTGGAATCACTGGGTTGCTGTGAGTTTTCCGGGCTGTATGACCATGTTCCAGAAGTATTCTCTCCTGATGTTTTGCCCACATCTATGGCAGGCACAACCTCAGAGGTTGTGAGGTCTGTTGGAAACTTTTGACTGAAATTATTGCATAGTTCTTAATCTGTATAGTTTTAAAATATTACGTTAACCGTACTGAAAGAAAGATGGGATATAAACAGATACAATTCCTTATTTTGTTTGTGGCCAGATCATTTGTAGCTATGTTTTACATAGTTATGAGGCGATGTAGGATTTTGGATATTGTTTTTACTAGCTTCAGTTTAATTAATAGTTTTAATTAGATTTTCAATGTTTGGATGAGTACATTTTAGCTATCTTTGATTGAAATGTTGCAAACCACCTGAGTCCCAGACTTGGGAAAACGTGGGCTATAAATATAAGAATATTATACCTGGAGGCATTCTGGGAATCTGTCCCCAAGTGAATCACGTATCCTCCGCCTCTATAGACAGCCAGTTTGCCCCAGATTGGATGTCCTCTGAGTTCAGACTGGCTCTGATACTGCCAGGCGGAACCAAGTTCAGTGGAGTTGTCAAGGGAAGAGACGTTCCAGTACACTCCATAATCCATTGTATCTTCTGTGTCAAAAGAATAAGGAGCACGGCATTCTCTGACAGTCAGTTGCAGTTTGGGATCAATGGGGCACGTGCCGCTTTTTACCCTAACTTGACGAATCCGTGCGCTACCGACAAGTTTGGAGTTGCCATCTGTGATAAAGCCTTGTTGGGATTTAAGGAGGTGGGGAGAGAGAATAAATGTTTGAAACTACAGCTCAATCTGTGATCCTTTGCAGAACTGTCAAGGTCAATTTGCTCTTTGAGATGGGGAAAACCTGTCCTCCCCTCCCCACTTGTTTCCATATCCCTCCAAACACCAAATTACACCAAAAATCTAAGTACCTGAATGCTCATTGTGCAATTTTTTTCACATTAGCACATTCATCACCCCAGAAAAATGTATCACTTTCAAGCATTGTGTTAAGTTTAAATGCTCAGATGTCCTGTCCAAACACAACGTATCTTCATACCTTGATATGGTCCATATAAATTTTTGATTAAAGTGGCTCTGGTCCATTTGAAGAAATCCTGGTAACTTAAGACTTCTTCAAATCCATCTGTGAAGCTGTGTTCAATATGTTTGTTGAGATAATACGAATTAGGATCTCGCTGTCCATAGGCAACCAAAAGCAACATCCACAAGAATCCCAAGTAGGCTGGAAAAAGAATAACAAACATCAAACAATTTAGGTTTCCAAGCCAAATCTAATGTCTTTGGTCACCATATGGCAAAGGGTTATGATGATCCACCATCCAAACTTTGTTATACTTCTGTAGCTCTAGTTGTCAGCAGTTACAAGTAAAAAGAACCATTTTCTTGATTCCTACTTATTCTGTGATGTACACTGGGAGGCTGTGGTTACCTTTAAGGCAACTTGAGCTTATAGGGAAGCTGGGATTTATGTGCATTTGTGTGTGTGTGTATGATTTTAATATATAATGTATGTTGAGATGGTAAATCTGAGAGAAAACTGACACTGTGTGGAAGAGCTGGTTGATTTTACATTAATGCATAGCACACTGGTAATGTATTCTCGAAGGCTTCCATGGCCTGAATCACTGGGTTGTTGTGATTTTTCTGGGCCATCTGGCCATGTTCCAGAAGCATTCTCTCCTGACATTTTGCCTGCATCTATGGCAGGGATCCTCAGAGGTTGTGAGATCTGGAAACTAGTTGCTTCTGGAACATGGCCATACAGCCCAAAACTCACAACACACTGGTAATTTTGATAACCATGCTGTGAGACATAGGCACAAACACCCAGTACGATATTTATTAATTTAGGGATTTCAGCCATGGCGATTAAAGGGGAATCAAAGGATTGCACATCCAAATTTTATGCGCTTCCTCATGTGGCACTTGACTCAATCCTTCTGATCACATCCCACGGGCCTTACAATTTTACATGGGCATCTCTATTTTCTTCTGTGAAATTTTGGAGGTTGTGTAGCAGGACTGTTAGTACACTGCTCATTCCTCCATAGAGAAACACAACATGTTAGCAAGGGTTAGGCTGGAAATCTTCTCTTTGACATGCTCAATTTCTTGGAGGGGCTTCTGCTCATTCCTTGAAAAGCATTCAGCGAGTCCCTCTATCTCGCCATTGTTCTGGCCTTTTGAGGAAGAGAAAAGTAACCAGCATTGGTTGGACTTTTCACCATTGCTGCCCCTTTTCCTTGCCTTCAGTGCAGTGATTTCCAACCTTTTTTTTTTTTTGATCAGGGACCACTTGACCAGGGACCACTCTCCAACATTAGTACATTAGTACGAGTCAGTTTTTGGTCAATTTTAGATTCGGTTTGGTTATTTGGGGTGCTGATTCAGAAAATTGCATTGGATAGACCACATCAGCTCTAGTTTCTGTTATAGAACACATGCCATCCAGTAGTCACCATCTGCTCATGCACAGAAAACCATCTTTAATAATCTAGAGTTGATGACAGTGGAATGATCAGAGTGGAAGAACAAAACATCCTTCCAGTGTCATGGTCTGATCACTATCTGGTCAGCTTTAGGCTCACTGCGACCCCCAACCTTCGCAGGGGTGGAGGACAAATTAAGATGGTCCGCCCCAGGAGACTGATGGATCCGGATGGATTCCTGAGGAATCTTGGGGTTCTTCCTGCCATGGAGCCTGGCGATCCTGTTGACGCCTTGGTCAACCTTTATAATAAGGAGTTGTCCAGGGCGATAGACACGATCGCTCCCGAACGCCCCATCTCGTTGTGTCATGACAGGCCGTCTCCGTGGTTTACCGAGGAGTTGGCTGTGATGAAGCACACGAGAATAAGGCTAGAGCGTAAGTGGAGAAAATCTCTGGATGTGTCTGATCAAGCACGGGCTAAGGCCTCTCTTAGGGCATACTCCGTGGCTATACGGGCGGCCAGGGAGTCTTTCACGACCGCCCGGATAGCGTCTGCAGCAAATAGGTCATCAGAGCTGTTTCGGGTTGTCGGGGAGCTCCTTCACCCACCTGTGGTGGACGAGATCTCTGACGACCCAGCAGCTCGGTGTTGCGATTTCGCACACCATTTTGCAGGCAAAGTTGCCCAGATACGTCTTGAGCTCAACTCCAATTTCATCGCAGTGCCAGAGGAGGTGACTGAGGCATCTGCTTGTCCAATTTTGTGGGATTCTTTTCGGCTTGTTCTTCCTGAGACTGTGGAGGAGGTCCTTGGGGCTGTGAGGGCGACCACTTCGGCCCTAGACCCTTGCCCATCCTGGCTTATTAAATCTGCCAAGGAGGGGTTGGTTGATTGGTTTGTGTTGATCATTAACGCATCGTTGGAGCAAGGGATTTTTCCATCTAACTTGAAACAGGCTGTGGTTCGCCCACTCCTAAAAAAGTCGTCCCTTGACTCTACGGTGCTGAACAATTACAGACCGATCTCCAACCTTCCTTTTTTGGGTAAGGTGCTGGAGCGGGTGGTCGCCCTCCAGCTCCAGGGCTTCCTGGATGACATCAATTACCTAGATCGGGCACAGTCTGGTTTCAGGCCTGGTCATGGCACCGAGACAGCCTTGGTCGCCTTGGTGGATGACCTCCGTAGAGGACTGGATAGGGGGAGTGTGACCCTGCTGGTTCTCTTGGACATCTCAGCGGCTTTCGATACCATCGATCATGGTATCTTTCTGGGTCGCCTCTCTGGGATGGGTCTCGGGGGCACGGTTCTGTCGTGGCTCCGGTCCTTCCTGGAGGGACGAACCCAGATGGTGAAGCTGGGAGATGCCTGCTCGGACCCCTGGCCTTTGACCTGTGGGGTCCCGCAAGGCTCCATTTTGTCTCCCATGCTTTTTAACATCTACATGAAACTGCTGGGAGAGGTCATCCGGAGTTTTGGAGTTGGGTGCCATCTCTACGCAGATGACACACAACTCTACTACTCTTTTCCACCCAACTCCAAGGAGGCCTCTCGGGTGCTAGACGAGTGCCTGGCCGCTGTGTCTATCTGGATGAGGACGAACAAGCTGAAGATCAATCCCGACAAGACAGAGGTCCTCCTGGTCGATCGCAAACCAGACCGGGGTATAGGGTGGCAACCTGTGTTGGACGGGGTTACACTCCCCCTGAAGCCACAGGTCCGCCGCTTGGGAGTCCTCCTGGATTCATCGCTCACGCTAGAGGCTCAGGCGTCGGCGGTGTCCGGGAGGGCTTTTGCACAACTGAGACTTGTGCGCCAGCTGCGACCGTACCTCGCGAAGGCTGATCTGGCCGGGGTGGTCCATGCCTTGGTCACCTCTAGATTGGATTACTGCAATGCGCTCTACAGGGCTGCCCTTGAAAACGGCTCGGAAATTCCAACTGGTCCAACGGGCAGCAGCCAGGATGTTAACCGGGGCTCATTACAGAGAGAGGTCAACCCCTCTGTTTAAGGAGCTCCACTGGCTGCCATTTATTTTCCGAGCCCAATTTAAGGTGCAGGTGCTCACCTACAAAGCCCTGAACGGTTTGGGACCACCCTACCTGCGTGACCGCATCTCCACCTACGAACCCACACGCTCACTCCGATCATCTGGGGAGGCCCTGCTCGTGATCCTGCCCGCGTCACAGGCGCGTTTGGTGGGGACGCGAGACAGGGCCTTCTCTGTGGTGGCCCCCCGCCTCTGGAATGCCCTCCCGAAAGATCTCAGACAGGCCCCTACTTTGGCGGTTTTCAGAAAGAATCTGAAATCCTGGCTGTTCCAACGTGCCTTTTCAGATTAGGAACCCCACTACCAAACCCCAGAAGCACTTTAGTAGAGCCAAGATCACTGCTCATCGCACACTGCACTTGATTTTAATCCCATATCCCCCCAACACTTCAGCACTTTTTAATCCTGTACCCCTACTCCGGCCGGCTCAGTTTTTAATAATTGTCCTGTTGCATTGCTATTGTTTATTGTTTTCTGCTTTAACTGTTTTATTTGCTATGTACTGTATTGTTGTATTGTGTTGGGCTCCGGCCTGCTGTAAGCCGCATCGAATCCCTTGGGAGATGCTAGTGGGGTACAAATAAAGTAATAATAATAATAATAATAATAATAATAATAATAATAATGTGGTGTATCCAATGCAATTTTCTAAATCAGCACCCCAAATAACCCCGGGAACAGGCCTAAAATGAAGACACAAAGGACCCCCCACTTTCAAGTGCCACATGGAACGGCTCTCCTCAGGGGGAGGGAGGAGAAGCAGCAGTCAGGGAACTTTTTGGGTAGTCAGCGTCTCCCTGCCGGACATCCCTGTTGCCTCAGCACTATAAAAGGGTTTCATGAGACCAGTCGCTCTAGTTGCAATGATGTAGTAATGATGAGGCTGCAGACCATATTTTCGTTCTTGGGGACCACTGGTGGTCCATGGATCACAGGATGGGAACCACTGCTTTAGTGTCTTATTAGATGGTAAGCCTGAGGGGAGGGAACTAAGGTATTTTTAGGATGCAAGCAGAAAAGAAAGTACCTAAAATTTCTCTTATCAGGGCAAATGCTTTCTGTTCCTTGACTCTATTATTCTTCATTTTCTCAATGTCGGTGGCAGGGGGAGGCTGGTAGATGTTGCTTCCGCTGTCTCTGCGCACCCCAAAGATAGGATTTGAGTCACCTGTGCAGGAAAAAGAAGTGAGATCTTATTGGTAGGATGGAATTTATTTGGTATCTAGCCAACCTGGTCTATTGTTGTTGCTGTTATTAAATAATTGACAGATATAACAAAACTCTCAGACCTACGAGTACTTCCTGGCGGATCTTTTGCCCCTCTTTTCCGTTACAAAAAGGGCAGAAATATTACTGGAAGTAAATAGGCAGAACCTAAGGTTTCTTTCTCATTATACAGTTACAGCATTTTTCCGAATGAAGCAGAGAGCGTTTGAGGACTGAGACATCTGTAGGGATACTAAGGTGCTTGTTTGTAAAGCTATTGTCCTCCTGATGTCGAGCACCCCCCCTCCCCCAAAATAAGGGATAGTGACTTATAGTTCTGCAAAGGGCAAGGGCACCAGGCTACACAACAAAGGTTAAGTCTTGGTCACATTGCCAAGGCACTGACAACAACAAGGACCCCACGAGGCTTTTGGGAAATGGCTGGATCTTGGGACTTCTGCCCTTTGTGAGAGTTGTAGTTTCCAAAAGCGTGAATCAGTTGCAGCACAGCTGGGGTTTCATCTGCCAGCCTTCCCAATGATCATGGACTCTCTGCCTTGGACTTCAGTACATACTATCTCGCTCATGAACTTTCCTCAAAGACCTTTAAAAACATTGGACTTCAGGCTTCTTCAAAAAAAATTAATTCTCTTATTAAATATACTTGGAATGTGGGACAAAGATAGGGTTTCGTTGCTATGAAATTATTATGATTATGAATATATGTATCTTGCTATGGAATATTGCCCTTCCCCCTTTTGCCTTTTGCCCTAGAAAATGTGACCCAGGAATGTTGCAATGCTCGAGGGAGAATCCCTGCCTCCCTCGAAACTCTTTTGTTGATCAACTCATTTGCATGAAATAATAGCCATTGATTTCTTTATCTCGTTCTCTGAGCATGTCTGGCGAGATGAGGAAGTTTTATGAGACTCTGGAAAAGAAAATGATTAAAATTACAAAGGGCAGCGTTGATCCCCTTGAGGTCCGCAGCCCGACCCTGTTTGTTTTCTCCCCAAAACTCATCAAAGCCTTTCAGATGAAGATCACGCCTTGCCAGCCAAAAACAAAGCCTCACATTCCAGCTGGCTGGCAATCCCTAATCCCATCATTTCCCCCCCATTGTCTGCGGTCGTCCTGCCTTGCCTGCTTCTGATTCGTCCATCCACAAAAGCGAGGAAAGCCTGCCGATTGGCCCTTCAGAGGTGAAGGAACTTGCTGATTGGCCCAAGGCGAGGCGGGCCAGCAAGCCTCCTCCCAGCTGTTCGCGCTATCAACCAATCAGCGCGGAGCCGAGCGGAGAGGGGCGGGCGGGAAATTCAAAAGGTTTTGCTGTATTTTGTCTATAAAAATGGCTGTAAAATGTATAGTAGTATGCTTGTGGTGGAATGATTCCTGCAATGCATCCGATCTCAGCTGAATCGCTAATAAAACACCTCGGTTGCTGAACTTCTTCCGCTTTTGGTGGGAGATTTATTATTTTAAATATTTTTATCGCTGAAATTGGCTTTTCCTGGCCTCACCAAGGTTTAAGGACTCTCTTTGGTGCAGTCCTCGGGATCTCCCTAGCTGGGGAGATCCTCCCAAAAGCAGCTCGATATCACTCCCAACCCTGCTATATGCCTGAAAAATGTGGACTGTCTACAGATGTCACATGCGACTTCTGGAACAATTCCATCAGTGCTGCTTCCAGAAAATCCTGCAAATCTCTTGGGAAGATTGGCGGACAAATGTTAGCATCCTGGAAGAAGCAAAGAACACCAGCATTGAAGCAATGGTCCTCCACCATCAACTCCGCTGGACTGGCCATGTTGTCCGGATGCCCAACCACCATCTCCCAAAGCAGATGCTCTACTCTGAACTCAAGAATCGAAAATGGAGTGTTGTCAGGCAGGAAAAGAGATTTAGAGATGGGCTCAAAGCCAACCTTAAAAACTCTGACATAGACACCGAGAACTGGGAAGCCCTGGCCCTTGAGTGCTCTAGCTGGAGGTCAGCTGTGACCAGCAGTGCTGTAGAATTCGAAGAGGCATGAATAGAGGGTGAAAGAGAGAAACATGCCAAGTGGAAGGCATGTCAAGCCAACCCCAATCGGGACCGCCTTCCACCTGGAAACGGATGCCCTCAATGCGGGAGAATATGCTGATCCAGAATAGGGCTCCACAGTCACCTACGGACCCACCCTGGAAGATTATCCTACTCGGACAACGAGGGATCGCCTAAGTAAGTAAGTAAGTAAGTAATACAGTTACGGACTTTTGATTGCTATGATTGCCATGATTCCGGCATTAGGAAATCTTGGATTTGTAGTTTGGTAATGTGTGTGTGTGTGTAGTCCTCCCCAGACCACATTACCCATAAGGACTCCACAAGATGCAGTTGTGGCAATTAAAATGGAATCAGAAGATAAATTAAACATTCAGGAAAGCAAAAGAACAGAAACTTACCTGGTATTCAAAATTACAGGTCACAAAGATGGGGAGGAGGACAAAGGATAACAGGAGCTTAGAAAAGATACATATACCAAGCAACACAAAGAAGGCAGGAGGAGAGAAAGTGAGCTAAAAATACACAAGAGAGAAAAGGCCTAAGTGGTTTGAAGAGCTCTGCTTTCAGGGTATGAAACTTCCATTTTCCAAAGGTGATGAGGGAACCTGGCAGTCGTCCAGAATGGCTTGGCTATTTCACCTTTTGTCAATGAAACTGATGTGGTGAGTGGCAGTTTCTCGGGGGGGGGGGGGATGTCCTAATGTTGTTGGAAGAATTATATGCCAGGGGAAAAACTAAAAGTGATGGGTCCTTGCAGATGGGATGATGTCGTATCTATTTTATAACAGGGTTGGTTTGAGTTTTCCGGGCTGTATGGCCATGGTCCAGAAGCATTCTCTCCTGATGTTTTGCCCACATCTGTGGCAGGCATACTCAGAGGTTGTGAGGTCTGTTGGAAACTAGTCAAGTGGCGTTTATATATCTGTGGAATGTCCAGGGTGGAAGAGAGAACTCTTGTCTGTTGGAGGCAACTGTGAATGTTGCAATTGGCCACCTTGATTAGCACTGAATGGGCTTGCAGCTTCAAAGCCTGGCTGATTCCTGCCTGGTAGAATGCTTTGTTGGGACTGTTACCTGGCTCTGATTGTTTCATGACAGGGATTCCTCCTTTTTTTAGTATTCCGCTATATTTACTGTCCTAGTTTTAGAGGATTTTTTTAAAAAAAATACTGGTAGCCAGATCTGAGAGTGCCTTGAACCACAACCAATCCATACTCCAGGAAATAAAGCCCAATTGCTCACTGGAGGGAAAGCTATTAGAGGCAAAGATGAAGTACTTTGGCCACATAACAAGTAGACAGGAAAGCTTGTAGAAGACAACAATGCTGGGGAAAATGGAAGGAAAAAGGAAGAGGGGCCAACCAAGGGCAAGATGGATGGATGGTATCCTTGATTTGACTGGCTTGACTCTGAAGGAGCTGGAGGTGGTGACGGCCAACAGGGAGCTCTGGCGTGGGCTGGTCCATGAGGTCACAAAGAGTTGGAAGTGACTGAACGAATAAACAACAGCAGCCAGATTATGTTTATTTTCATAGTTTCCTACCTACTCTGCAGGTAGATTCCTGCAAAGTTTTCCATATACTATGCAGCTGTGGACTTAGGGACCCCCAAACGCAGCACCATTGCCCAAACGCAGCACCCAAATATGAATCAAGGAACATGAAAGGCATAGATTTAAGAGCAGGATGGCACCAGTATTTATGGTACGAGAGAGTAAAAAAAAAAAGTTTGGGAATCATTTTTTACGATCGGCAATATATAAAATTTGGGAAATATATAAGAAGAAAATTTGTGTAAAAACCCCATTGTGGATATCACCGCTGGAGGCAGTACAAAGAAGGGAGTTAGGATGGAATGATTGGCCGAAATATAAAAAATTGGTGAAAAAAGAAAATGGAAAAATAACTCTAAAATCACAGCAAGAGATGAAGGAAATCAATGGGAAAATCTCATGGCTGCAGTTTTGGCAGATAAGAGAATGCTTCAAAAAAGATGAAAAGTTAGGCTTCGAAGAACAAACAACATTCTGGGATACTATAATGCAGACGGAAAAAATAATAATAACAAAGATATATAAAAAAAATTAAGAGAATGGAACAAGGATCCGAAGGAGGAAAAGGAATACATGAAGAGATGGAAAGAAAATATTGGAAGGAACATAAGAATAGAGGAATGGGAGGAAATTTGGACGAAGAAATTAAAATATACGTATGCAACAGATTTAAAGGAAAATTGGCTAAAAATGGCACATAGATGGTATATGACACCATATAAATTAGGCAAATGTTATAGTAATGTTAACACAAATTGTTGGAAATGTAGAAAGAAGGAAGGTACTCTGTTCCATATGTAGTGGACATGCGAAAAAGCAAAGTCATACTGGAAAAAATACACAAGATAATGCAGAAGATGCTAGGCATAAATATCCATTTAAAACCGGAATTATTCCTGTTGGGAATGACAACATCAAAAATGGAAAAAAATACTGACAAACTACTATTTCTGCTAACAACAGCGGCAAGGATGTGCTACGCAAAATTATGGAAGAAGGAAGAAATATCAGACACAGAAGAATGGCTACAAAAAGTGTACGACATCAGAAATATGGACCGGCTTACATTTCTGTTACCCAGAAGTAAGGACAATCCGACACAAGAGACAAATTGGGGAAAAATTACTGATTATTTAAAAGAGATAAAATATAAGACAATCATTTAAACAAAGGAAAATAACCCTAGGAAGAAGGAAGGAGAGAAGTCTATTATGGAAAAAAGAACAACGAAGAGTAAAAGACAGAGAAAAGGAGAACATCTCCACCAAGATACTCAGGAAGTCATGAGGATCTTCAACTTTTTTTTCTCTTCCCCTTTCCATTCCTCCTTTTCTCTTATTGTTTTCTCTGCTATTCCTCTCACACACTTTTTTTCTTTTTTTTTCTATTTGTTTTTAATCTTGTCACAGAAAATTCAATAATAAAAAAAGGAACATGAAAGGCACTGCAGACGAATTCAACCAGAAATGTCAGCCATAGCAGAGCACTTGATGGACAAACCTAGATACAGAATATTATTTGAGAACACAGAAATGCTGGACCACTCTCACAACTAAAATGTCAGACTACACAGAAAAGACACTGAAATCCACAAGCATGTGGACAATTTCAACAGAAAGGAAAAAATCATATACAAGTTCCAGAATTCCAAAGATGTTGCAATGATAGTTAAAGTGGAACCACAGTGTTATTACTGTATATACTCGAGTATAAGCCTAGTTTTTCAGCCCCTTTTTTAGACTGAAAAAGCTGCCCTCAGCTTATACTCGAGTCAAAGTTATTTATTATTTTACTCTGTTATTACTATTATTTTTATTACATTTATTATTTTACTCTATTATTGGTATTATTACATTTACATTATTTTACTCTATTATTTTATTACTATTATTATTTTACTTTATTATTGTTGTTATTACATTTATTATTTTACCCTATTATTATTTTATTACATTTATTTTATTATTTTTATTATATTTATTATTTTACTTTATTATTTATTTATTTATTTACAGTTTTTATATTCTGCCCTTCTCACCCCGCAGGGGACTCAGGGCGGATTACAGTTACTGCATTTATTATTTTACTCTAAATGTTACTGCATTTATTATTATTACATTTGCATTACTTTACTCTATTATTTATTTATTTATTTACAGTTTTTATATTCTGCCCTTCTCACCCTGCAGGGGACTCAGGGTGGATTACAGTGTACACATATATGGCAAACATTCAATGCCAATTTTGACATATAACAAATACAGACATACACAGAGGCTATTTAACTTTTTATGGCCGCCAGGGGAGCTGTTGCTTTCATTGTCCATCTGCGACACTGATGTTATTATTTTATTACATTTATTTTATTCTATTTATTTTTATTATTATTATTATTACACTTATTATTTTACTTTATTGTTGTTGATTATATTTATTATTTTACTTTCTTTATTATTATTGGAAGGATACGTAAGCACATTTACACTGAAAAAGGTTAGAATAATTGTTTAATCAAAGTTGGTCGGTCTTATTTTAAATTACAGATTTATGTAAACATTGAAAAACATTTAACCTACTGTTTCCTCAATTAAGGTAATTTTATTGGTATCTATATTTATTTTGTATTACCAGTAGCTGCTGCATTTCCCACCCTCGACTTATACTCGAGTCAATACGTTTTCCCATTTTTTGGTGGTAAAATTAGGTGCCTCGGTTTATATTAAGGTTGGCTTATACTCGACTATATACGGTAACTCTCTAGTGTGAAAGGGCCCCTAGTCTGTGGAAAACCTTGCTTCCTTCGGTTTGGATAGCATTCTCTCTCACTGTCTTTCACTTGTATTTTGTTTTGTGAAAGGAACATGATCTATACCACAAAATGTTTTTTTCTATCCGCTATGCTATGTACGTAGATGCACACAATTTACATCACAGTCCTCATATTTGGTATGTATTTGCCTCAGAACGATATGCACATATCTTGTGTAACTGTTCCTGGGAGAGATCAGAACTATAGAATCATAGAGTTGGAAGAGACTTCATGGGCCACCCAGTCCAACCCCCTGCCAAGAAGCAGGAAAATTGTATTCAAAGCACCCCCACAGATGGCCATCCAGGCTCCGTTTAAAAGCTTCCAAAGAAGGAGCCTCCACCACACTAAACTTTATTAAACTTTATATTCTTCTATATACTGCTTGGGAGACTCTCTTCAAGTCTCCCAAGCAGTAAAAATGCCCAGAGGCACCTTTGCAGTATGAATGTGTAGCGTTATTAAGAAATATGTGCTTATTGAAAAGGCGGGGGGGGGGGGGGGGGGGGGGGGGGGGGGGGGGGGAATCAGACAACCAATGTTATGATATTTTTAATGAGTTACCTGCAGTAGACAATGACCCATCGATGGCAGTGTTCTCTTCATCTTCCTGCTCCACATTTTTAAGCACCAAAGCAAAGAAAGCAGCAAATCCTAGAACCTGAAAAAACACCAGAAAGATAAATCTGGCACTGGATTCAGTGTTAAACCAGCAATTCTGACATCCTGCATACTTTCCAACTTTAGTGATTTGACTGGGACAGTTTTGAGTAATTCTTTACTGTCCCACTTTTTCAGCTATTTTTAAAATGTCCCAGTTTGCCATCTTGACTGCATGTAGGTTGCTTGGTCACACGTGTCCCTATTTTCACCTGTGAAATGCAGGAGGGTATGTATCCTGTCACTACTTTTGTACTGACATGAAAGAGAATGAAGCTGACTGTTTTGTATTCTACATGGAGACGAGACCATGAACAAATAGAGTCAAACTAGGAACTGAAACTGGTATAACCGTTGTCGTTTCTCCTCCGCACTATAGAAAAAAAAAACCAGTGGAACCACCTTTGTTTTATTAAGATATTGGAAATTATTTGTTTAAAATCATGAACCGTTTCTAAGTTTTCTGGCCTAGATGTAATTGCTTATTCCAAAAACAGCAGAACTGTAAAAGAATAGTGATTTCCCGTATATACTTGAGTATAAGCCAAATTTTTCAGGCCTTTTTAAAAAAGTTGACCCCCCCCCCCCTCGGCTTATACTCGAGTCAAAGCTATTTATTATTTTACTGTTGTTATTATTATTATTACATTTATTATTTCCCTCTATTTATTATTATTGTTTTTATTACATTTACAGTATTTTACTCTATTATTATTTGCATTACAATTATTATTTTACTCTATTTATTATTATTACGTTTATTATTTTACTTTATTGTTGTTGTTATTATTACATTAATTATTTTATTCTCTTTCTTATTATTGGAAGGATACATAAGCACATTTACATAGAAGGAGGTTAGAATAATGGTTTAATCAGAGTTGGACAGTCTTATCTTAAATTACCGTTTTATGTAAATATTCTAAAACATTTAATCTACTGATGCCTCAGTTGATGTAATTTTATTGGTATCTATTTTTATTTCGAAATTTACCAATAGCTGCTGCATTTCCCACCCTCAGCTTATACTTGAGTCAATACGTTTTCCCATTTCTTTGTGGCAAAATTAGGTGCCTCGGCTTCTATTCGGGTCGGCTTATACTCGAGTGTATACAGTATATGAATGAACAAGTACGCAAGTTCGCTTTGAAATTTATCAACATCTCTCTCCCCTACCACATCTTACAGTAGAAGATGTTGATCCTTGCCTTTAATTTAAACCAGGGGTCCACAAACCTTTTAAACAGAGGGCCACGTCACAGTCCCTCAAACTGTTGGAGGGCCAGATTATAATTTGAAAAAAAAGAAGAATGAATTTCTATGTGCACTGCACATATCTTATTTGTAGTGCAAAAAAGACTTTAAAACAATACAGTAATTAAAATGAAGAACAATTTCAATAAATATATGTCTATTAGTATTTCAATGTGAAGTGTGGGCCTGCTTTTGCTGATGAGATAGGATTGTTGTTGTTGTGTGCTTTCAAGTCATTTCAGACTTAGGTTGACCTTGAGCGAGGGCCGGGTAAATTACCTTGAAGGGCCATATTTGGCCCCCGGGCCTTAGTTTGAGGACCCCTGATTTAAAGGCAGGACAATGAACTCAACCCTGATGGTGTGGGAAATATATCAACTCCTTCAAGCAGGAAAAGGAGTGTTGACCAAACTTAGAGACAACTCTGAATTGGTTTTGATAATGAACTGACAGAGAAGGGGGAGATCTAATGATTGTAACAGAAAACAATGTTTTGCTGCCTGGTCGGTTGGCACTGTGGGATGAACCTGTTAATTCTGGTGAAATGTAAGCCTGGTTCTCCTGTTTGTTCTCCATCCCAGTTGTGCTCAAATTCTGTCTACTCAAAGACACAAATCCATATAAAAAGTCTTTTTTTAAAATCATAAATGGAGCTAGTGACATCAAGTCCCATTTGCTTCAACTGAGTGGTGGAAAGAAGCCTACCTTTAAGGGCTGTGTAATGAAAATGCTTTCAAAGAAGGAGATAGCCATGGAGATCAGCCACTTGATGGAGTTCTCCTTGCCATAATGCAGCCCGTAGAGCATTGTGAAGAACCCAGAGACACCGCTGGTGACGGCCACCAAGAGCCAACCAATGTAGACAAACCACGGGGGCAGGCCTTTGGGTGTCGGTTCCTTCTTACCATCTTCTGGAAGGCTAGGAGTTGGCGAGTCCCTGGTGAATCAAGATAAATAGGAGTAAATAGTAGGCCTGGGCGGTTTCGTTCGTTAATTTTGTAATTCGTTATTAATTCGTTATTTTTAGCATTTACGAAACGATATCAAAACACATTTTCAAACCCGGAAGGGTTTAAAAATAACGAAGCGGCAACCCCCATAGCTTTAACGAGCTTCCGCCCGTTTCGTAAATGGGATGGAGGCTGCTGGTGCCCTGGGAGCCAATCCGGCGCTCCCAAGAACCCAAGCAGTGCACCGTGGCTGTTTCTGATTGGCCGGCGAGCCTTTTGAAAGCGGCTCCGCGCGGCCGTACAGCTCATTGCTGCAGAGGGCGAGGGAGAGAGAAGAGGTCCGGGAGGGTTTGCATTGGGTTGGCTTGCAACTGCTTGGATTCATTCCTTGCTCATTCCTTGCTTGGATTCATTCCTTGCTGCTTAGTGCTTATTATTCCTTGCTTGGATTCATTCCTTCCTTCGGTTTTTGTGAATTTGTTTGTCAATTTTCCATTTTTAAATATTTTTTAATATTTTCTAAAAATACCTGTCTTTTATTCTTAAAAAAATACAAAAAATATTCTAAAAAAGAAAAGACTCTTCTGTTGGTGTGTGCTCTCATTTGCCCTGTCTCCTGCCTGTGTTTGGTCCACATCAGGGCCAGTTTTTGGTTAATTTTCCATTTTTGAATATTTTCTAAAAATACCTGCCTTTTATTCTTAAAAAATACAAAAAATATTCTAAAAAAGAAAAGACTCTTCTGTTGGTGTGTGCTCTCATTTGTCCTGTCTCGTGGCTGTCTTTGGTCCACATCAGGGCCAGTTTTGGGTTAATTTTCCATTTTTGAATATTTTCTAAAAATACCTGCCTTTTTTTCTTTTGGTTCAGGTTCTTGGGTTAATTTTCCATTTTTGAATATTTTTTAAAAATACCTGCCTTTTATTCTTAAAAAAATACAAAAAATATTCCAAAAAAAGAATTCTCTTCTGTTGGTGTGTGCTCTCACTTGCCCTGTCTCGTGGCTGTGTTAGCTGTTCATCAGGGCCAGTTTTTGGTTAAGTTTCCATTTTTGAATATTTTCTAAAAATACCTGCCTTTTATTGTTAAAAAAAAAACCAAATATTCTCAAAAAGAAAAGACTCTTCTGTTGGTGTGTGCTCTCATTTGCCCTGTCTCGTGGCTGTGTTTGGTCCACATCAGGGCCAGTTTTTGGTTAATTTTCCATTTTTGAATATTTTATAAAAATACCTGTCTTTTATTCTTAAAAAAATACAAAAAATATTCTAAAAAAAGAAAAGACTCTTCTGTTGGTGTGTGCTCTCATTTGCCCTGTCTCGTGGCTGTGTTTGGTCCACATCAGGGCCAGTTTTTGGTTAATTTTCCATTTCTGAATATTTTCTAAAAATACCTGCCTTTTATTCTTAAAAAATTACAAAAAATATTCCAAAAAAAGAAAAGACTCTTTTGTTGGTGTGTGCTCTCATTTGCCCTGTCTCGTGGCTGTGTTTGGTCCACATCAGGGCCAGTTTTTGGTTAATTTTCCATTTCTGAATATTTTCTAAAAATACCTGTCTTTTATTCTTAAAAAAATACAAAAAATATTCTAAAAAAAAAGAGACTCTTCTGTTGCTGTGTGCTCTCATTTGCCCTGTCGTGGCTGTGTTTGGTCCACATCAGGGCCAGTTTTTGGTTAATTTTCCATTTCTGAATATTTTCTAAAAATACCTGTCTTTTATTCTTAAAAAATAAAAAACAAAAATATTCCAAAAAAAGAAAAGACTCTTCTGTTGGTGTGTGCTCTCATTTGCCCTGTCTCGTGGCTGTGTTTGGTCCACATCAGGGCCAGTTTTTGGTTAAGTTTCCATTTTTGAATATTTTCTAAAAATACCTGTCTTTTATTCTTAAAAAAAATACAAAAATATTTCTAAAAAAGAAAAGACTCTTCTGTTGGTGTGTGCTCTCGTTTGTCCTGTCTCGTGGCTGTGTTTGGTCCACATCAGGGCCAGTTTTGGGTTAATTTTCCATTTCTGAATATTTTCTAAAAATACCTGCCTTTTATTCTTAAAAAAATACAAAAAATATTCTAAAAAAGAAAAGACTCTTCTGTTGGTGTGTGCTCTCGTTTGTCCTGTCTCGTGGCTGTGTTTGGTCCACATCAGGGCCAGTTTTTGGTTAATTTTCCATTTTTGAATATTTTCTAAAAATACCTGTCTTTTATTCTTAAAAAAAATACAAAAAATATTCAAAGAAAAGACTCTTCTGTTGGTGTGTGCTCTCGTTTGCCCTGTCTCGTGGCTGTGTTTGGTCCACATCAGGGCCAGTTTTTGGTTAATTTTCCATTTTTGAATATTTTTTAAAAATACCTAGTCTTTTATTCTTAAAAAAATACAAAAAATATTCTAAAAAAAAAAAGACTCTTCTGTTGGTGTGTGCTCTCATTTGCCCTGTCTCGTGGCTGTGTTTGGTCCACATCAGGGCCAGTTTTTGGTTAATTTTCCATTTTTGAATATTTTCTAAAAATACCTGTCTTTTATTCTTAAAAAAAACCAAAAATATTCTAAAAAAAAAAAACTCTTCTGTTGGTGTGTGCTCTCATTTGCCCTGTCTCGTGGCTGTGTTTGGTCCACATCAGGGCCAGTTTTTGGTTAAGTTTCCATTTTTGAATATTTTCTAAAAATACCTGCCTTTTATTCTTAAAAAATACAAAAAATATTCTAAAAAAGAAAAGACTCTTCTGTTGCTGTGTGTGCTCTCATTTGTGTAGTTCCAAACAGTGCGCTCCTTTTGCCAACACAAAGTGCTACATACACTGCTCGCTCATCATTTGTGTAGTTCCAACCAGTGCGCTCCTTTTGCCAACAGAAAGTGCTATAATACAGTGCTCGCTCATTTGTGTAGTTCCAACCAGTGCGCTCCTTTTGCCAACACAAAGTGCTACATACACTCCTCGCTCATTTGTGTAGTTCCAACCAGTGCGCTCCTTTTGCCAACACAAAGTGCTACATACACTGCTCGCTCATCATTTGTGTAGTTCCAACCAGTGCGCTCCTTTTGCTCATTATTTGTGTAGTTCCAACCAGTGTGATGAAACGCTTCCTTCCCGGCTTTTCTAGTCGCAAGGGCCAAGTGCTATCGCGAATACCGAAGAAAGGCAGGGGACTGAAGATGAACACATTGACAAGAAGGGAACATTCATCCAACGAGATGGTTATTGAAACACCCACAGATGCTTCAACCAGCTGTGAGATGGCAGAACCTTCTTCTTCATCAGTTCGAAAGACTCTATGTTCAGATCCTGATGTCGTTCCAAGTACCTCTGATACTACTTGTTATGAAGAGGAGGGCGAGGAGGTGGACGTGTCAGAGGAATGGGAGGAAGACAAGATGGAATGTGCTTCCACCACAGGAATTAGTGATCAAGAGGACTGCATGCTGATGGAGGGCGAGCTACAGAAACAACCAACAATTATACTCCCTTCCACAAACACCGACAGTCCAAACACGAGCATGAGTACATCTGAAGTGCCTAGTAGGGGTAGGCCGAGATCGCTCCTATGGGATCATTACGACTTCCATAATGAGAGGGCCACTTTGGCAGTTTGCAGGCATTGCGGTGTGAGCGTCAGCAGAGGAAAAGATATGAGGCATCTTGCCACAACAGGGCTAAGGATGCACATTAAGATACACCACCCCCAAATGTGAAGTTGGTCCTTCTTACTTAACTTGCAATACTGCTACAGAAATTAGTATGTATGCAATACTTCCCAGATAATTTTCAGAGTTTTTTCAAAGTGCAATTTCTGTTACTTTTTGTTATTTTTTCTTTATTTATTTCTTATATTTACTTTCTAAGTTTTTATAATAACATTATTTTTATATATTAATAATTTATAATTTAATTTTATATATTATTTTTATTATTATTTATAATTATATTTTATAAATATTTTATAAATTTAATTATATTTTATTTAAATATTTATATTATTATTTATTTCATTTATATAATATATATAATAATATATTGTTATATTATATTATTTTATTTTATATTGTATATATTATATAATTTTATATTATTTATTGTTATTTATTATTATTATTATTTATTATTTATATTTTATTTATTTAAATTTTATTATTATATTATTGTTTATTTCATTATATTATTAAATTGACTCAGTTTTGGATACTTTATCTTATTACTTTTTTATTTAATATCTTAATATCTTGTTCTATTTGATTATTTTATTTGATTTATTTTATGAAATGATTTTGTTTATAGAGCATTTAGCATTGCGCAATCGCGTCCGCCGTTTTAACGAATCGATTCGTTATTAATTTAATAGCGAATCGATTCGTATTTAATAACGAAGTTTCGGAAGTCGCTTTGCGCATGCGCAATCGCGTCCGCCGTTTTAACGAATCGATTCGTTATAACCTTAATGAATCGACCCCGTGCCAATAACGAAGCTTTGGAAGTGATTTTGCGCATGCGCGGGGGTCCGCCATCTTAACGAATCAATTCGTTAATATTTATGAAATTTTCGTAAATATTAACGAATTGTAGGGGGGAAATTTTGTAATTATTTTAAATATCGAAACAAAAAAACACCCCAATTACAAATCGATTTTAGAACCAAATTTTTTCTTGATCGACCAGCCCTAGTTTTGACCTAAGACAGTTGCATGGGGCATAGCCTCAATGTTTTTCATCCTTGCTCATTAGAGCAAGTCAGATCATTGCTGGTGACACTGGTTGTGGTTACATTGGCAGGGGAGAAAACCTCTGTTCTAGTACAAAAAAAGCAAAGAGGATACGCTTCCAGTTTTACCAATATGGCAAGGACACTTCCAATTAATCCTCTGCCATTCTATTTTTCAACTGTTTTTAAAATGTCAGTTTCTCCCTCCTCTTTCCCGTTTCTCCTTTCATCTTCAGCTTACTTCAGTGGCTACAGAGTTTCAAGTGCAAAAGTAGTTTGCACTCAATTTAACTCAGTAAGGAGAAAGAGGATGGAGAATGACTTAGGCAAAAACAAGCCTTTCTTAGCTTGTGTGTTTTTCCTCAATGCCTTTTTGCCCTCTTGACCACACTCTGATGTCGTTTGCCAACACGTGTCCTGGTTTTCATCTCTGAAAAGTTAGAGATCTGAAAGAGTGTTGCGTTTTATCAGAGGTAGCCTCAAAGGGATCCTTCCCAGAATGCTGCTCCTTTACCTCTCACTGCTGGATGCCGCAGAAGACAACTGGCTTTCCAGGAAGTCTTTCATGTGCCGCACCTGCCTCACAGCCTGAGAGTAACTTTGTAGGCTTTGGAATTTATGTGGCCCAAGTAGCTCCAGTTCCAGCTCCACGTGCTGCAGCTGCATGTAGAGGCAACGGTTGTAGTCACGATGCTGCAGACGTCTCCCAATTCCTCTCTCTGGAGTTGGGGTCTTCTCTGCAGCGAACAAAGGGGGAAAGTAAAAGAAATTCTATATATCTGGATATTTCGAAACATTTTAACAAGCTTTAGCAACCTTACTGTGTGTGCTGTCGCATGCTGGGCCTGAAATAATGTCTGTTTACAGAAGTATGCCCAACGGGACGCCGGGGTGCCTGAGCTGAAGGGCCTCTTAGATTTCCCAACACAAAGTTCTATTGAGGCTCAAAATAAGTTCAACAAAGTTCTTTATTTGGGCTTAAATCTTCAAACAATGAATTAAACGCTTTATAACCTTGGAAACCTGGTAGCTTCCTCAATCTGCCATCAAGGACAGGCAACTGGAGGTAAACTATTCTTTTCTTCCTTAGGGAAATCTTCTGACCCCTCCTTGGGCAATCTTTCTCTACCTTGCTGGCGTGAGGCCCCTACTCCCGGCTCCAAGCTACTTTATGGATAGTCCGAGTGGCCCCTTACCAGACAAGGTTTCTGTAGATCTGCCAAGCTGAAATGGTGTCCTTTAGTTTTCTCCACGAAGGCTGTAGAAACTGTCCTGTTGCCCCAGCAAAGGCTGGCTGTATTTTCCCAGCAAAAGCTGTGGAACTATCCCTTTACTCCCCAGCAAAGCTGTGGAATTATTCCTTTACTCCCCAGCAAAGCTGTAAGTAACGAAGCCTTTGTGCGGATGGGATAGAGAAAGCCACATGTCCTGCTGTTAGGCTCCAAAAGTGAGAGTGAACAAAAGTCCTCCTTTCCCTCCAAAACCCCGGGGAAAGGGGCGGGCCTAAAGGCTCTAATGATGATTGCCAGGTTGCTGGACCTATGACTGCAACCTGGGGAAGCTACCTGATTGCAAAATGCATGGCTTAAATAAATTCATACAAACTAGCAGTGCAAGAAGAAGAAATTCAAATTGCCTGGTACTGCTGTGCCAGCACACCGTGGCATAACTGAAAGAAAACCAAAATGATTTCCAACTTAAGGTGACCCTAAGATGGTCCTACCACAGGGCTTTCTTGACAAGATATACTCAGAAGAGGTATGCTATTGCCGTATTCTTCAGATTGAAAACAGGTGACATGCCCAGGGTCACCCACTGGCCAACTCAGTCTCCTAGAGTCCTAGTTCAGCACTCAAACCATTACCATATGCTGACTCTAAATGTATTTCTAACTCCCCTCTGTCCACAGATCTCAAGGAGAAACCTTAAAATCACCTTAAAAGAAGCCCAAACAGTCCAAAATACTTGAAACAATTTAATAGTTCAGACAAAACAAACACCCAACCCTGACCCACCTCTAACACATACACAAGGTTGAACACCAAACCATGATCTCACTAGGTTCTGAATGCTTGCACAAGCAATCATATTTCAACATTGTGTTGGTTTCAGTCAAGACTCCAAACGAAAGCTTTCCCCAGTTGAGATGCTACAGCTAGGAAAACTCTCCTGCATTTCTATATAGTTCCTGCACAATATGATGTTCCAAGTAATAGGTCATTCAGAAGATCTTAAGGAAGAAGTTATATATGATCCACTATCCCAGATCCTTCAGAGATTTGAAAGTCACTATCACCATCTTGAAATCAGATTGGGAAAATAATGACAGTCACTGAAAAAATGATGTGACGTGGCTTTTATGTGGTGTTTGGGACAGCTGTTTATGATCTGGAGAAAAGGCTGAATGATATGTATCTTTGAAAATCAGAAAGGAAGTCATGTAGAAGATGCGGTGACCTTGTATTCTGCTGTTTTAGAAACTAGAAAATGGACTAATACAGTGTTTCTCAACCTTCCTAAGGCCACAACCCCTTAATACAGTTCCTCATGTTGTGGTGACCCCCAACCATATAATTATTCTCATTGCTACTTCATAACTTTAATTTTGCTACTGTTGGGAATCGTAATGTAAATATCTGATATGCAGGATGTCTTCACATTCACTGAACTAAATTTGGCACAAATACCCGATACACCCAAATTTGAATAATGGTGGGGTTGAGGGGGATTGATTTTGTTATTTGGGAGTTGCAGTTGCTGGGATTTATAGTTCACCTACAATCAAAGAGCATTCTGAACTCCACCAATGATGGAATTGAACCAAACTTGGCACACAGAACTCCCATTACACATATAATAATTCTGGAAGGGTTTGGTGGGCATTGACCTTTGGAGTTGTAGTTCATCTACATCCAGAGAGCACTGTGGACTAAACAATGAAGGATCTGGATCAAACTTGACATGAAAACTCAATATGCCCAAATGTGATCACTGGTGGAGTTTGGGGGAAATAGACCTTGATACTTGGGAGTTGTAGTTGCTGGGATTTATAGTTCATCTACAATCAAAGAGCATTCTGAACACCACTGACAATAGAACTGGGCAAAACTTCCCACACAGAACCCCCATGGCCAACAGAAAATACTGTGTTTTTTTATGGTCTTTCACGACCCCTCTGACGCTCAATCCCCAGGTTGAGAAACATTGAACTAATGGATTCAAATTACAAAATACAAGTATTCCACCTAAAACATTAGAAAGAATGTCTGTACTGCCAGAACTGTTTTGAGAGGATAGTTGACTCTCCATCTTTGAATGTCTTTAAGCAGGATAGGTATAGGAACCATTCTAGGATAGAGAAGATATTCAGAAAAGGAAGCTATGCTAGCTTCAGTCTAGAAAACTTGTCTTCTTCCCTAAATTAGCTTTTTCAAAATATGAACCAGAAGGAAGAATGGGAGATTATTGTACCAATATACTGCAGGGCATGATGTGAAGAGGGAGAAAGAGAGAAATCACGCACCAGAAAATGTGTGTTTGCCTCCTGACATACCAGTCTGCTCTTTGACGCATCTATCACCTTCATTTACTGGAATCTAGTCATATCCGAAAATTGCCAGCTTGTAAACTTACCTTGTAAATCCACTAACCCGAGGGTTATAATAATTGGGTCATCTTTCTTCTTGCTCTCATTGTAAAATTCCTGTCCAATCCTGTTCTGCTGACAGATGATGTCCTCGACCAAGGCTAAAAGCTTGTTAATATCAGTCGATTTGCCAAAATCAGATTCAGAGGATGGCAAGGGTGCCTTGAGGGTTTTGAACAGGGAACTGGCAATTCGCCGAATATCCTGGGCATTTGGAAGGAAAAGTTTTTCTTAGATTATAAAAATGCCATTGCATTCATTCCTGCAGATTAAGGAGGGGGATTTAGTATTCTCAACCAAGAAAATCATCAAACTATAAACCTCAGGATTCTATAGGATGTTAAAGTGGAATGATAACATTATAATTTTGTAGTGTGAATGAGCACCATTGGCAGATTATTTTTTCCATTGTAGTCCACACAGTCCAATTTGATTGCAATTGTTTATATTTGCAGCCACGGTTATATTATATTGATTTTTAATCTAGTGGGATTTTATGATTTTATGTGGTTTGTTACTGTTATTGTTTTGTGATATTGTTATGCACCTATTGTATTTTATGTGTTTGCACCTTGAGTGCTTTGTGAGCTGCCCTGAGTCCCTTGGGGAGATGGTGGCAGGATAGAAATAAGGATTGTTATTATTATAGATACACAAGAAGATTAGTACGCTACACAGCAAACAAGATCACTATGCTGGCTTTTGTATTTGATCGCATGTCAGACACTTTCCAAGTATTATTATTATTATTATTATTATTATTATTATTATTATTATTATTAGTCAAGGATCTTGGGTCGCAAACCAGAGGTCTCCCTCATCGCCTCTTTTCTGAGCCTTCTAACAGATTCCAACAGTGAGAACATAACCAGAGACAGCATCTTCTGTACATGTAGCTCTGATGTTCATACAACATACCTTGATCACAGCCTCAGGAGAGAGTGACATGTTCTGCGTGACCTGCTGGGGAGTAGCAGGAAGGTCAGGGGACACCCGTCCACTCTTCCCTGGCTTCTTCTCCTTCTTAGGCTGAGCCCGAATGTTCCTGAAGATCTGCACGATGAGTAAGTTGATGGGGAACATGAGGAGGGAGCTCTCAAAACCAATCATCACTTCCTGCCATGTGAACTCTATTTTCCCTGGTGAAATTAGGTGAAAAATTACAGTCTCATTGTGCAACTCATAACATCACCACATGGCTTTTGCAGACTGCACACATCCCTAATCTCTGGATCCCAACAAGCCTCATTTACAAGTGGAATTGCATTTTCCAAAGCTGCCATTACTATGCTAACAAACACTTAAGTGCAGACTCCATGACAGTTATTGAGAGCCAGCAAAAATATTTGGAGAAAAATGACAACAAATTCAAACTTAAAGACAGTTAATAATGAAGCCCACTCTAAAGCAAGGAAAATCCATTCTTAGTTACTAGATTTCACTGTTCAAATAACCCATTACAGCTTCCACAGATTCTCATTTTTCAGTTCAACCCATGAGGGTAGTCTGTAGTTACCCAAATCCATTTTCTGATCGGCTGGATCCTTGGGCACGCCCCAGAACATGATACTGGTCAGCATAGTGCACAAAAGCAGGGAGAAGCAGCAGGAGACCCTCTGGGCCCGTGTGAAGGAGCTGCGTGGACAGCGGTTAAAAATGGAATACCAGATATGTCCATCGCGAAATCCTTTGGAGGTCTTCATAAAGAACAGATTGCTGGAGAGGGGGAAAGATCAAATGGGATGTGAATGCCTAAACGTTTAGCAACTGGCAACACCAAGCATTGCCCATAGCCTAAGAACCCAGCCATCCCAGAAGGCTGCAGCAAATGAGGGTTAGAAAGAAAGCACAGCCATTTATGCTGGAGGAATACTGGCCTTTTGTGGTTCATGCTCAATTACAAATAGAACTCGCTACAGCCAGACTGAATTGTTCTGAAACTGCTTTTCCCCTGAACTTTTCTTGAGGGAGATTTTGCGATGTTCCTGCTTTTTGTTGTTGTCAACCTCTTCCTTCAACTTAATATACCTGAACTGCTTCATGTCCTGCTCAGTCGCTACAGGGAACACTTTATCTAGAACACAGTCTCCGACATCAATAGCCAGCCAAGAGTTACAAAGGAAATACCACTTCTGATCAGTGGCAACATCATGAACCAGCACACGGTTCACATACCTAGAAAGAAACAACAGAAGGAAAGTTTAAGAAAAAAGAAAAGCAGGGCCACCACCAGCCTTGGATGGCCTTTGTGGTCTCTTCCAAATCAATGATTCTTGAGAAGTCAACTCTTTTATGGTTTGCTTCTGTCATCTGGCAACCATTCCACTAGGCTGAATAAACTAATAACACCTGCCAAATATATATATAGATATATGGATAGCATAGGGAAGGGATAACACCCCTGTGCTGTTTATTTTGCTGTCTGTACTCCTGTTTGGAAGATTTCACCTCACTTTCTGTCCCTGTGATAATTGGATTTTGGAAAAAAAATGGTTGGTGTGGAAACAAGGATTGGTGGTAAAACTTCAGTGTAGACACCTTTTCCTCATGATAATAACTCTTTCAGGAGTGAATTTCCCTTCTGAGGAATAGAGTTCTCTCACTACCTGTTGTCTCATCCCTGTAATTAACTATGAGTTGTTTGTAAGTCAGATGCAGGAATATTGAATTCAAAGCAACCCTGACAGATGGCCATCCAACCTCTGTTTAAAAGCTTCCAAAGAAGAAGCCTCCATCACACTCCGGGGCAGAGAGTTTCACTGCTGAACGGCTTTCACAGTCAGGAAGTCCTTCCTAATGTTCAGATGGAATCTCCTTTCTTGTAGTTTGAAGCCATTGTTCTGTGTCCTAGTCTCCAGGGAAGCATAAAACAACACTTGCTCCCTCCTCTTTGTGACTTCCCCTCACATATTTATACATGTCTATCATATCTCCTCTCAGCCTTCTCTTCTTCAGGCTAAACATGCCCAGCTCTTTAAGCTGCTCTTCATAGGGCTTGTTCTCCAGACCCTTGATCATTTTAGTTGCCCTCCTCTGGACACATTCCAGCTTGTCAATATCTCTCTTCAATTGTGGTGCCCAGAATTCGACACAATATTCCAGGTGTGGTCTAACCAAGGCAGAACTCCCGCCACCTATTTAACTCCCGCCACCTCAGGCGGGAGCCCTGACAATTCGATCACGCGCTGTGAAGCATTTGCTCGGTTCTTCGCAGACAAAGTCGCTTTGATCCGTTCTGAGCTGGACGCCATGTTAAATGCAGTCTCCGTGGATGTGACAAGAGCACCTGCTTGTCCTATTTTGATGGATTCTTTTCAGTTTGTGAAACCCGAGGATGTGGACAAGATACTTGGAGGACTGAGGCCCACCACGTCCATCCTAGACCCCTGCCCATCCTGGCTTCTGAAGGAGGCCAGAGGGGGATTGGCTGAGTGGGTAACGGTGGTGGTTAATGCCTCCCTTCGGGAAGGCAAGATTCCAGCGTGCTTAAAACAAGCAATTATAAAACCGCTGTTGAAGAAACCATCATTGGACCCCACTAAATTGGACAACTTTCGGCCTGTTTCCAATCTCCCCTTTTTGGGCAAAGTCATGGAAAGCGTGGTGGCCTCACAACTCCAGGTATTCTTGAGAGACACGGATATTCTGGATCCGGCACAGTCTGGTTTCAGACCGGGGCATGGTACCGAGACGGTCTTGGTCGCCTTAGTGGATGATCTGCGCCGGGAGCTAGACAGGGGGAGTGTGTCCCTGTTGGTGCTCCTGGACCTCTCAGCGGCCTTCGATACCGTCGACCACGGTATCCTTCTGGGGCGCCTTGCGGAAATGGGTCTTGGGGGCACTGCTCTGCAGTGGCTCCAGTCATTTCTGGAGGGTCGTACCCAGAAGGTGTTATTGGGGGACTCCTGTTCAACACCACAGCCTTTGACCTGTGGGGTTCCACAGGGTTCAATACTGTTCCCCATGTTGTTTAACATCTACATGAAGCCGCTGGGGAGATCATCCGGAGTTTCGGGGTGCGGTTGTCATCTGTACACAGATGATGTCCAACTCTCTCACTCCTTCCCACCTGCTACTAAGGAGGCTGTCGAGGTCCTGAACCGGTGCCTGGCCGCTGTAATGGTCTGGATGAGGGCGAACAAACTGAAATTAAATCCAGACAAGACAGAGGTACTCCTGGTCAGTCGCAAGACCGAACAGGGTATAGGGTTACAGCCTGTGCTGGATGGGGTCGCACTCCCCTTGAAGGCGCAGGTTCGCAGCTTGGGTGTGATCCTGGATTCATCGTTGAGCCTGGATCCCCAGGTTTCAGCGGTGACCAGGGGAGCATTTGCACAGCTTAGGCTCGTGCGCCAGCTGCGCCCGTACCTTGGGAAGTCTGACTTGGCCACGGTGGTACATGCTCTGGTCACATCCCGCCTTGACTACTGCAACGCTCTCTACGTGGGGCTGCCCTTGAAGACGGCCCGGAAGCTTCAACTAGTTCAGCGCGCGGCAGCCATGCTACTAACAGGAGCGGGACGCAGGGAGCATACAATGCCCTTGTTGTCCCAGCTCCACTGGCTGCCGATCTGCTACCGGGCCCAATTTAAGGTGCTGGTGTTATCCTACAAAGCCCTAAACGGTTCCGGCCCAAAATACCTTTCGGACTGCATCTTGGCCTATGAGCCCTCGAGGGCCTTGAGATCTTCTGGGGAGGCCCTTCTCTCGATCCCGCCTGCCTCACAGGCACGTCTGGCGGGGACGAGAGAGAGGGCCTTCTCAGTGGTGGCCCCCCGGCTGTGGAACACCCTCCCTGTTGACATCCGACAGGCGCCCTCTCTTATGGCTTTCCGTAAGAGCCTAAAGACCTGGCTCTTCGAGAGGGCATTTAACTAAGTGCCAGGCTAACTGATAATGACAATCGGAATGGAATATGGATTATGAGACTGGTAGGTTCCTATGTTGTGACGGTGTGGATTAGTTAGTATAATTTAGATTAATGTGTAATTATGGCTTGTTGATGTACTGTGTGTTTTTGTAAACTGTTTTTATATGTTGTACACCGCCGCGAGTCGCCCTAGGGCTGAGAGCGGCGGTCAACAAATGCATTAAATAAATAATAAAATAATAAAAATAAAATAATAAATAAGAACTGCACTCTCCAGTTGGTTCATAAATCCTATCATCCCCAATCTATGTTGTAGGAGATGGGAACTGTCATCAAGTATATATGGGAGTGCCAGTACTCTTTTATAAATATTGTCTTGGAAGCGTCCTTCTTAGAAACCTCACAAGAGGTTAAAAGGGAGAAACACTTTGCAAAGGCAGTTTTAAAGAGTTTTCACCTTCCTCCTCCATTTCTTCCCCTCTTGACTTACCAGGATGGGCTTCCTCCTGAATTGTCATGCCATAGCCTAATGCTCTGTAGTTCTCCAAGAGGAAAGAGTGTGCATAGGAGGAAGACATCCACTCCTCCTCGTTCTAAGATAGGGCTGTCTGGATCCACAAGGTGGTGAGGTTCACTCTCTCCTCCCTGGCCATACAAGGTGAGAGTCACCTGGAACAGGAAGGGTTTGCAAGGCTTAGGTTTGTTTCTGTAACCGTGTCTGTAACTTGTTATTTTGCATGCACTGGGTTCATAATTGTGCATGGCCAAATTCTAAACTGTTTGGTTCTAGAAAATTACATAAACAAGCAATATGCAATTCGGTCTTTTCAGTCAGAGACTCTCTGACTGTTTCTGGTGAGTATTACCAAACTCATGCTCAGCTGTCCCCAAGAGACAAAGGGCACATCTACACTGTAGAATGAATGCAGTTTGAAACCACTTTAACTGCCATGGGTCAATGTTATGAAATTCTGAGAGCTGTAGTTTTACAAAGTCTTTAGTCTTCTCTGTCAAAGAGTGTTGGTTCCTCACCAGACTACAAATCCCATGATTTCATACCATTGAAACATGGTGGTTAGAATGGTATCAGACTGCATTACTCCTACAGTGTAGATGCAGCTGCAACTTCACTTTCATTCTCTGACTCCTTCCCAGGTAATAATAATATTTTTTTATTTGATCAGTCATATGACCATTTCAAAATAAAACACGAGTAAAAAACAAGGCAACAAGGTGAAGACAGCAGCTGACCTTCTATTTATAGTCAGAATCTTATTTTCCTGGTTCTTCTTTCAGGAAATCTGCTCTTTTCTTAATAGCTTTCAGAATAAAAAGGCTTACTCCGATTATGCTGGATCTTTCCTGCCCTTGCAAGAGGGATGTCAGAATATCATTTCTGTTGGGGGACCTGCAGTTTGGATGTAAATATCTGTCTCGCAGTTCAGTATATGCTGGACAGTCAATTAAGTTCAATGTCTTCCACTGTTTGTTCTCCCCAGATGCAGAATCTCTCACTTCTTGGGATGTTACAGTAGCGCCCGGTTTGCACCATAGTATCGAGTTGTTCAAACCTAGCCCTAGTATATATTCTTCTTAAGGGTAGAGAAGTGGAATAGTTAGGTAATGCTCTAAATGAATATTCCTTTTGTGGGAAGCTAAAAACCTTGTGGCTGAAGACCTACCTATGCTCACTAGGTCCAGTTGTGCATAGACATCTCTAATGCGCCGCTTGAGCACTTGCCCTGCCCCCGGACCCAAAACACCCAGAAATTGCAAAGGCAGACCGAATCCAGCCAGCTCATTTTTCAGAGCCGCCATCCACGATGACTTCTGGTCATACTGGACTTGATCCTCTAGACATAGGAGAGGAAGTCTACTGGGATCCATAGAGTTTACTTTTGACCAGTAATTAAACTGTCTCATTAAAATTTGAGCTTTTACTGGGAGTATTCCTAGCTCAGCCCTTACTGCCGCCATCAGCGTTGTTCTGGAAAGGCCCAGGAAGGTGCGAAGCTGCTTCACTTGGAAGGCTTCAATCTTAGTCAAATTGATGTGCCCCCAAATTCCAGCCCCAAATATAAGTGCAAGCATTATTTTTGTTTTAAAGACTTCCAGGGCAGGTCTGATTGTGCCTGGGTATCTATGATGGTATAGCTTATAAATGGAACCTGCTGCTTTCGTTGCTCTTTATATACTATGAGTAATGTGGTTAACCCAAGCACCAGATGAAGAACACATAATGCCTAGATATTTGTAGCAATTAATTTGTTCCAAAAGTACGCCTTTCAGGGACCACATGTACAATTTCCTGTTTTTTCCAAAGACTATAATTTTTGGATTTATCCTTGCTCATAGTGAGTGAATTTAGCTCACAGTACAAATTGAATTTTGCCAGGGATCTTCTTAGTCCCACTGGAGATGTTGCCATAATCACCATGTCGTCAGCGTAAAGCAGGATGTTAATAGTTCTGGACAAAACTTTAGGACCATGTAGACTGTCAGAGGATAATGTATTTACAATGTCATTTATATAGAAGTTAAAGAGAAAAGGGGCTAAAATGCACCCTTGTTTCACCCAAGTTGATGTCTTGATTTCATTGCTCAGGGCTCCACTGGGTCCAAGTCTAACTTTCAATATGGTGTCAGAGTACAGCATAATGATTAAAGTAAGTAATCTTCTGTCAGTGTTTGTGGCAGCCAGCTTTTCCCATAGTATGTTACGACAAATTGTGTCGAACGCTGAAGACAAGTCTATAAATGCTGAATACAGACACATCCCCCTTGAATTATACTTTTGAATTATGTGCTGCAGGACAAAGCAATTATCTATGATTGAACGTCCCTGTTGGAAGCCTGATTGTTCTTCACAGAGAATATTGTTTTCATTGGACCATTGCTCAATTTTGATCAAAAGATATTTTGCGTAGATTTTTGCTGTGATATCAATCAGGTTTATAGGCTGATAGTTCTTTGGATTGGTTTTTTCTCCATTCTTATGAATAGGGACAATAATACTCATCTGCCAGCCACTAGGTATGCTGCATAAATTGATAATGTGGGAGAAGAGCCCTGCTAAAAGTTGGGCCCACCAATCACTGTTGTTCTTGAAAAGTTCAGCCAGCAAAAAATCCTCCCCAGGCGCTTTATTGTTTTAAAGTGTGTTGATAATAGATATTACTTCATGTGGCTTGACTTGTGTCCAGGCCGGGAGGGTGGCAGGATTGCAATAAGTTGTTACATGTTTTACATTGTTTGAATTGCCTGCCTTATTAAAGAGATCACCATAAAAGGTTTCCCAATGAGATGCAGGGATTGGAGAGTCTATTGAGAGTCTGATTTGTCTCAATTTTGAAGAGACTAGTTGCCAGAAGACTGCTGAATTCTTCAAATGTAAGGCAGAGTCCGGTTCACGCCAATTTTTTGTGTTATATTGGGACTTCTTATGGGAAATCAGTTTTTTGTATGACCTTCTCAGGGTTAACATATTATTATGCAGATCTTTATTAGGGTAACATATAGCTCTTCTCATGCTCTTTCTTAGTGACTTCCTCAGTTTTTTACAGTCCTGGTCAAACCATGCGTTTGTTCTGTCAATAGAGTCTTTTCTTGTATTGCTTGGTGAATATGTAAGCAGGCTTTTGACGTTAGAGCACAGAACGGTGAAAGTTTGAAGAACCTGGTTAGGGTTGGATGAAGAGGCTTTTATCACTTCACCACATGCTTGCGGGTTACGTAGATATTCATCAATGGCTGTTAAATTGACAGCCTGCCATTTTAATCTCTTACATTGAAGTGTAGACATGGAGTGTATACATTTCGCATCTGTGGGATTTGTTGAACGTATATCAGAGTGCCTGAAAATAACTGTTGACAAGGGTTGATGGTTACTGTCTTCCCTTGGTTTGACTGTGACCTCAGAGAAGAACTCACTGAATTCCTTAGAGACACATATATAGTCCAGGCTGCTACTGGCTCTCGCTGAATGGTAGGTAAAGGGATAACAGTATTTCTTACTTTCCCCACTTAGTATGTAAAGATTGAACTTTACCAGCTCAATCCCTGCTTTATTTCTAGTCATGTCTCTAGAGTTCCAATCAGCACTGAAGGGCAGGTCTCCCTTGGGGATGCCGGATAGCTCTGTCAGTTTATTTGCTGAGCTTCCCAGTCTCGCGTTGAAATCCCCAAGTTTAATGCTGACGGATATTCAGAGATAACTTCTTCTAGAGCTCTTTCAAGAAATACCCATGTAGAGTATTGAGCAAATCTAGATGGCATAGGAGGCATGTATACATTTATAATGACCACGATAGAAGGGATGGTTTTTCTCTTTTGGGGTGGCCTCATAGTTGAAAATTTTACTGCAAGAATATTTGTTTGCTCTGGGAGATCTTTGAAAATAATTTCTTTTCCTGCCCAGCCTAGTTCGCCCTTCACCAGAAGTGCTAGGCCTCCACTTGGTCTACCGTATTTTGCAATTTTAATTGCAGGCTTTGTCCATCCTACAAAACCCGGAATTTGGATTGGTTAGTCTGAAGCAAGTAGCCAAGTCATTCTCTGAGTCAAAAGAAGAACTTCTGGCAGAACCTTCGTCTCCCTAGATTTGCAGAAGTCTCAAAATACAACATCAAATAGTTGTGGCTCTGGTAGATGACATCTTCAATAGTATAGCTCAGTCTAGGCTATCTGCCATCCTCTTACAGTTATTATTTAGGCAAGAGACAGTCTGTATCATTAATTCATTGACCTTGGTGCACTTTCCTTGACTTAGTTTACTTTTCTAAAACAGACCTGTACACATAAATGTCATCATTTTGTTCTTGTATGCCTTCAAGGGGTTTCCAACTTACGGTAGCCCAAAGGTGAACCTATCACAAGGGTTACTTGGCATGATTTTTGCAGAGGGTTTTGCCTTTGAAACCAAGAGTGCAAGAATGTGACTTGTCCAAGGTCACCCAGAGGGTTTCCATGGCTGAACAGAGCTACAAACCCTGATCTTCAGAGTTGTAGTCCAGCACTCAAAGTACTACACCATGCTGGCTTCCCTTCACTGTTTACTGCAGTGCAACTCTTTCTTTCTTAAAGCTAACTGTTAGGTGACTCTGACATTCCTTGTAAATCTCAGGTAGTCACTGAACAAGACAATGGATTTCTGAGCATCCAAAGAGATCAGGATTAAAGAACCTCTGGTCATCCAGATGTTGAAAAATGTATAGCTTCCATTGTGTCTCACCATTGGTCAGGTCGGTTGGGGTCAATGTACCTGAAGAGCTAGAGGCTCCTCATACTCTTCCGACTCATGCTGCTAAACCAGACTTTTGCTTACCACGTAACATAAAGTGATTAAATGTAACAGTATGTGTATGAAACTGTGAACCCAAGTCATGAGGTCCTTACTTTTTTTATCCTCAGTACAACTTTAACACAAATCCGTCTCTCTCTCACACACACATGAGAGTTCACTATAGCCCTTTCTGCATATGCAATGACATTCTGAACCTCTCTAGTACCTTGGAGGTTGTAGCTGCCCCCCGGCGGTGTCCAGTATAAACAGTGACCAGGTAGCGATACTGAGCAAAGGGGTCATTGTCTTCCAGCACTGTTATCTTCACCTAGAGGAAAACATGGGAGAATCAGAAAAAAAATGACAATAGGGGGAAATATTTGTTTGCATCATTTTCAGGCTTGTTTAGCTAGAACTAGAAAGGGACAGAGAGATAAAAAATATCATATACTTCATTTATGGGTTGTTGTAGGTTTTTTTGGGCTATATGGCCATGTTCTAGAGGCATTCTCTCCTGACGTTTCGCCTGCATCTATGGCAAGCATCCTCAGAGGTAGTGAGGTCTGTTGGAACTAGGAAAATGCGTTTATATATCTGTGGAATGACCAGGATGGGACAAAAAACTCTTGCCTGTTGGAGCTAGGTGTGAATGTTTCAGCTGACCACCTTGATTAGCATTTCATGGCCTGGCAGTTGTTAGGTGTGGCTTGTTAGTGCCTGGGGCAGTCTTTTGTTGAGAAGTGATTAGATGTCCCTGATTGTTTCTTCTCTGTTGTTTTGCTGTTGTAATTTTATAGTTTTTTAAATACTGGTAGCAAGATTTTGTTCATTTTCATGGTTCCCTCCTTTCTGTTGAAATTGCCCACTTGCTTGTGGAATTCAATGGCTTCTCTGTGTAGTCTGGCATGTAGTCTGACAGCAAAACAACAGAGAGAAAACAATCAGGGACATCTAATCACCTCTCAACAAAAGATTGCCCCAGGTACTGCCAGGCCATCAAATGCTAATCAAGGTGGTCAGTTGAAACATTTACACCTAGCTCCTGCAGACAAGAGTCCTTTGTCCCACCCTGGTCATTCCACAGATATATAAACCCATTTTCCTAGTTCCAACATACTTCACTACCTCTGAGGATGCTTGCCATAGATACAAGCAAAACGTCAGGAGAGAATGCCTCTAGAATATGGCCATATAGCCTGAAAAAACCTACAATAACCCAATAATTCCGGACATGAAAGCCTTCGACAACACTTTATTTATATTCCACTCTATCTCCCTGAGGGGATTCAGAGGCGATTACAGAATACATATATGGCAAACATTCAATGCCATTATACACTTAACAAGACAGACAGTATATAGACAGAGGCATTCCCTCTTTTTTCATTTCTGGCATCTGGAGGCTGTGCTTGACTCAGCCAAGGGGAGTTAGGTGCAGTTGTTCCATTTTCCATGCCAAGGAGCCTGTTGTGCATGGAGGCCTTCTTGATCAAATTGCTGGCATGTTTTCCAGGGGCGCTTTTTACCTCCCTGCCGAAGCGGTATCTATTTATCTTCTCACAATGCTATTTTCAAACTGCTAGGTAAGCAGAAGCTAGACTGATAGCGGGAGCTCACCCCGACCCACGGCTTGAACTACCGGCCTTTCGGTCGACAAGAATTTTTGTAGCTGGTGGTTTAACCCGCTGTGCTACCCACGGCCTATATCTCTTTTGGAAGAATTATCTCTTCTGGAAGGATATATATTTCTTGGCTTGGAATTCTTCAGTTCTAAGTTCAGTTCAGTTCTATCCTCCCCACAGGGTAGTAAACACATCTTTGTAGATGGCCGATTCTCTCACACCAGAAGTGACTTGCCTCAATTCACTTGACACGAGAAATAAATAAATAGTTCTAGAACTATACCTCCTGTACACAAGCTTCCAATGTCAATTTTAATAGGAACAACGAGAACAAAATCTGGGACTTTTCCATCAGTCTGGATGTGCAAACCTTTATGATATAATTACTGTTTATGTATGATGTAGTTTTGATTATATGTTTTGATTATCATATGAATGATTATTTGAAATATCTAAAAACAGATTTGTGTCCCAGAATGATCTTTGTCTTTTCTTTCAGACTTGACAATTCATATACAGAAAGATGCCAATAATAACTGTAGATCTCATTCTGACAATTGGCAGCATGAGTTCCTTACAAAGTAAGGAAAGAATACTTTCAAATGGGTTGTTATAGGTTTTTCAAATGCTCATTCTTGAATGGCGAATGTGGTGCAGTGCCATCTTGTGGTTATATTTTGAAACTAAGGTGTGCCACAAATGTAGTTTAAAGTTATGGGTGCATTCAGACTGATTAAAAAGGACCTGAAAGTCCCAGATTTTTGTTCCTGTTCTTTTCAGTTTTATTTTACATATTTTGTTTCTCCCAGAATATTTTCTCTTGGTTTCTAGTATGACCAAATAATTAATTTTATCCTAGGATCAAAATCTGGTACTTTTCAATTAGTCTAGAGCGCCCCAAACCACCAACTCAGCACTCAAATGAAAAATATACAATCTCCCAATAGAATGCTCATTTTCAATTCCTCTTTGTGCCATTTTTAGGGAGGCTTTCATTGAAGTAAACATACACAAGACTGGGCTGAATGAAATGCACTTTATCAAAAATATTTATGTCTACTCATTGCATATCTGAGCTTTCCACATTAGTCACTCTCCACCCTATGGCAAGATAAAAATCCATCCACTGTAGTCTTTACAAACTGAAAGAAAATTCTTGGTACTGAAGAAATGCAGGACTAATTTAGTGTTCTGGTACGGCTGTACCAGGAGCTCCAACTTCTTTTTCTTTCTTTGAGTGTTTGCATGTATTCCAAGGTTCCATGCATTTTGCAATAAGTTGGCTTCCCTGGTTTGCAATTATAGGGCCAATGACCTATCAATCATCATTAGGTTCTTTAGTTCCACCCCCTTTTCTGGGTTTAGGAGGGAAAAAGGGGACCTCTAGTTCACTTCATACAGAAAAGCCTTTTGTACAGGATGTGAATCAGTTCCACCTGTAGAAAGCTTCGTCTTTTACAGCTTTTGCTGGGGGGATCCAGTCCCACAGCTTTATAGCCAGCCTTCACTGGGAATTGAAGACCTTCTTTCCTCTTGGAAATCTACAAAAGGACTCTGTTGTAAGGACCACTCGCGGCAGCCATAACGCAATTTGGACCGGGTGTAGGGGCCACGCCACCAGAGCCTAAGACAGATTGCCCAGGTAGAGGTCAAGGATTTCCCTGATAGTGAAGAAACAGTTCATGAAGATAGTTGCCTGTCCTTGTGGACAAGATTAAGAAAGCCACCAGTTGATTCAAAGCCTTGAAGTATTTGTTTGATTTATTGAAGACCTAAGCACTAATAAAAACTTTGTTAAACTTTCCCAGTTTCTAAAGACTTTGTTTAGGGAAATCCAAAGGGCCTCTAATCCGAGGCACACCCAGCGTCCCTTTGGGCATACAGAACACGTCCTGTCTACAGACCTTTTCACAGGCCCAGCGCGTGACAGCACATTTAGAGTAACACTTACTTTGGCATCATCTTGGATGTCTTTTCTTCTCGCCCAGATCAGAACCAAAAGATATACAAGAAAAATGCAACCCACAGTTGTCACCACAACAGGGTTGTCCACAAAGGTAGCAAATAACTCCACTGTTTTGCTGACATCGATGGTGTTTGGCATCACAAAGAAAGAGCTCCCAAAGAATGTCAAATGGTTACACAGGCACTGGGTGCTATCAGGAGTTGTTTTGGGACCAACCTGCAATCCAACAACAGTAATAATGACAACCTTGAACACATCCAAACTGCATAAAAGTGAAAATTCATTGGAAAGGCATTGCTGCATTGGTATTGAGGCCTGTCCTGCCACTAGGAAAAGACCTGCCTCCTTGGTGGAAGATGCTGAGGGTGGCAATAGCAGCGCTTTGGGTAGGATCTCCCATACCAGATAGGCTTTTGCTGAAGAGCCAACCTTAAATGCCCAACAGCTGACCTTCCTGAGATAGGGGCAGCCACCAAGAAGGGTCTATTCCACATCCCCACTAAATGTGCCTGTAACAGTGGTGGGTCTGAAAGAAGTGCCTCTTCTGAGGATTTCAGAGACTAATTAAGTTAGTCTCTGAGTATAGTCATGGACATATACTCTGTTATATAGCCTGGACTTAAATCTTATAGGCCTTTATAAATGATAATATATCCTTTTTATATCTACACTAGCCGTCCTCTGCGATACTTTGCTGTGGGTCAGTCTGTGTATATGTGTTTTGTGTGTGTATATATGTGTATATGTGTGTGTATATTTCTATATATGTGTTTGTGTATATATATGTGGTTTTGCGCATGCGTTGCAATGTACTTTTATTTGTTGGCTTTTAAAATCTCTTCTGCTATGTTTTTCAGTGTTTTTCTGAGTGATGGTCACTTGTCGGCCTGATAGGTGTATTGTGTCCAAACTTGGTGTCAATTCGTCCAGTGGTTTTTGAGTTATTTTAATCCCACAAACGAACGTTACATTTTTATTTATATAGATTTCCCTAAAAACAAAGGTGGTATACAAATTAAGATATCATTAAGAAGTGCAAAAGGTCGCCATTCAAACAGAATGAAGCTATCAAGTATTGGAAGACAAACTAAGGAGGGGCCACATAGTTAATCTTGCACTCCTTTATGCTAATCTTTAAATACAGTAATTAAATGATGCAATACCATCACAGGTATTGTGATAAGATGCAACCAGCAGTCCAACTCTACATGAAAAAAATTGCATCTGGGAGGGAAAGGTCTGCAACCAGTCCTTATTTTTATAGAGCAACACACCCTGTCCCATATTGGCATCATTCTTTGGTTTCTCTCTACTCACATAGCATCCATGGTTGCTCCACTTCCCTTGGTGTTCATCCCAAAATACACACTGGGATACAAAGCAAGTGACTGAAATGTTTACATTGTTGGCAGCAATAGCATCTAATTCTGTCTCTGGTCTTACTAAGAAATAGTAAATTCCTTCTCCAAAGTTAAGGTCTTCTGGGTGAAGGATCCAGGAATATATCTCATCTGGAAGAGATAAGGTATAGATAAACCACCATAAGGTTTGTGTGGGGGGTTATATAATGATAATAGAACAATGATGAGTTCCCGTGCTGCTAGGCTTGCCAATAAGGATCATCCCAGTTCCTGAGGTTCCCAGGCCAAACCCTGAGAGCTACAGATGCCTTGTTCAAGTTCAAGTTCACTTTATTACAGTGAGTGACTAATTTGAGAGATGGCCCTGTGTATTGGCACCAAACACAGTTGGTCACAGTTTGTCATTCAAACACACACCAAGAATATATTTTCCCATTCGAAAATTGAAGCAAACGGTTTCTCTACAAGCTGAGCTGGAGATTTTACACAGCTCTTTCCTGCTGCCCAGTGGTGAGACCAAAATGAGAGAGGTTGCACCCCTTTCTCCTGCCTCGTGGAAATTATTTCTCGGGGTCTCAAATCCATATGAAATGGAGGTAGAGTCTCCAGTAGCCAAATTCCAACCACCATGGATTATATCCATACACCTGAGTGATCACTCACTGGTACAAAAATAGGACTACCAACTTTGAGTCATTCCTATTATTTTAACAAAGCTGTGCTAAGGATATAGACATGATCATACTGGAGATCAGAAAAGTTTGGCCAGTGCTTCATACAACATCTCCAGATATTTAAAGATGGTGATCATATCACCTCTCAGTCTCTTTTCCTAGATAAATATATGCAACTATCTAAGTTGTTCCTCACAAGGCTTGGTTTTCACACTTCTGATCATTTTAGTCAAAATAGGAAATGTCTGTCTCTTCAGAGGTGATATTGTACTGCTATCTCCATCAGCCCTAACTCTAAGAGTAAAGTAGGAGGGATGATAAGACTGGAAGTTTAATAACAGCTGCTGGGGTGCCATAGCACTATAGTGCACACCCCAGGTCACAGCTGACAGACCATTTGGAAAGACTATTTGGAAAGTTCCTAAGTATAAGAAGAACTACAAGATCATTTGGAAAGTTCCTAAGTGCAAGGATAGACAACTTGCCCCCAGATATTTTTTTGGCCTGCAACTCTCAGGAACTCCAGCCAAATGCTCAGTAATAAGAACTATGGAAGCTCTAGCTCAAAACACCTCAAGGGCACCAAGTTGCTAGCACCAACTTGCATGGTTTTTTTAGCTATCTGGTGAATAAGCCACCAACACTGAGCCCATTCATTTTACCTGTAGAGTCTCTGTTGTGAGGAAGGCGTGTCATCAGTTCATGGTCTGTCTCATTGGGATGATAGCCATATCCCAAGTATAGAATAAGTGGAATGGGTTGGTCCAGCTCCAAATGGATCACCAGAGATACATTTGATGAAGTCACATTAACCTGGAGAGCACTGAAATCTTGCAGACTCAACATGCTTTTGTGGTCTTGTATTGTTGAACTCCTTGGCAGAATTATCTGTGTTTAAAGTTCACAATTTAGCTTGGGAAATGCATCAAAACTTCAAGGACCTTTACATTTCATGATCTGAGACAACACTGCAATTGATTTCCAGCCCTCTTGTCTCTACCACTGGGAAGATGAACAATGGAAGGGGAGAACTGGGGATGAGCTTTGTGAAAGGGCTTTTTAATATCCTTTGCAGCCTATATAGGAACCCTTAGCATGCCAACCAAATTCGATATGGTTGTTGAGACAGTTTTAACTAGTGGATTTTAACATCAAGATAAGTGATTTTAATGCTTTTGTATGTGTATGGTCTAGTATGTTTTGGCATTGAATGTTTGCCGTTTATATGTTGTGCTCCGCCCTGAGTCCCCTTCGGGTTTAGAAGGGCGGAATATAAATGCTTTAAATAAATAAATAAAAAATATTTTTGGCCAAATGGCTGGAGCTTCCAACTGTTAGGAAGCAAGCTTGTGATTAACATCCAAACAATGTTTAAGGAGTTGAGGATGTAGACAAGTTCAGGAAGAAGTGTTGTTTTGCCTGAAACTGAAATGTTAAAATGTATAGAATCGTGTTGGGGAAACCATGATCCATGACTCAAATCCCATTACATGTAATGGCATAGGGAAATGGCAAAATTTATTTATTTATTTACTATATTTCTCAGCCCACGGGCGACTCAAAATCAAGGTTTGCTTTTAGAATTTAAAAAGTTGATGGTTGAATCAATGGATACATAATGTGTGAATAATAAGGAGGGCCGACTGTAATGAATTATTGCTGTTTCTGTTTTATAGAACTGTGTATGGCTATATTTAAGAACTGATAAATATAACTGATCAGGTTTTCCCATGGAATGCAATGATCAACACAGCCACCTTTCCTGAATAGTGGTCACCTTGATGCTCAAGAACTAAATCCAGATGGGGATCCTGATGATAAAAGATCAATTTGACCAAGATTTGGAACTGAAGGGTCAACCTGAATGGGTTTCTGTCATAAGGGGACACAGCTGAAATTTAAATGCAAATCTCTTTTCCAATTAAGTTTGTGGCCCACCTTTCTTCCATGTTACTGAAGGATATACTGTATTTATCAGGCTCCTAGGGAGGCAGGTCAGAGCTTGGAAAAGTTACCTTTTTGGATCACAGTTTCCAAAATCACACAACCATCGCAGACATAATGTCTTGGGAATACTGGAAGTTGAAGTTGTAGTCCAAAATGTCTAAAGTATGACAGATCTGTAAAACAGAAGCATGCTGGGAAAATTACCTCAATATCTTCCATAAGATTGCGAACGGGAATCACCATTCCATCAAGGCTAGTGAGAGTCAGGCCTCCGACAGCACTGTGGATCTCAAAGCTGTCGCTTGCGGAAAAGGGATTTACAGAGAAGCTCACCATCTACAAGAAAGGATTGTCAGTGTTATTCCTTCAGAGCCAAGAATCCCATCCCACCAGACCCTTGTTTGTAGTCAGGGAGGAACAAACCTAACATTCTGACCACCTTGAGACATTTCTGTATAACTGACAATGCTTTTGGTTGAATTTGAAATTCTGAAGGCCAAGAGTCAATATGACACAATCCATATTGGTCTTCTCCAACCCAGTGCCTTCCAACGTGTGGGGCTATATTCTCCATCACCCCAGGCAACAAGGCCCATGCATCGGAAGACCACCATCTTGGCCCAACAGATATTTAAACGTCAACTCTCAGAAATCCTCAGAAAGTATTTTGGGAATTGCGGTTTGCAACATCTGGAAGACCAACCTTTCCTATGTGCTGTTATATTAAATGGGCTACTGTAAATTGTGCGAGAGCTGGGGCACTATTTTTGTTATATATATTTTTTAAGCAATAAAAATTTAACATAAAAAAAGAAAATAAATTCTCCAGAAACATCAAATCATAGTAAAAAATGATGCACTTGCCCTGATGTCCACTGTTTCCTCACTGTCTTCCAAGATACTGAGGGAAGAAGCAGAGGGCAGAGAGAAGCTAGCCGAGCTGGAATTGGAGATGCTAATGGATGTGCCATCTACATTGTCCGTCTGCAACCTTTCCAGAGAAGAGTCAGGAATGGGGGGAAATAAGATGAGGCAAGGACAGATGAAAGTGGAGAAGACAATTCATTTTGGAAACAGAGCTATGTCTTCCATTCAAAATAAATAATCTGTGTTGACTCATCTGTAGAATTGTGGAAATGGGCATTTTTTTCTTCTCTCATTTTATTTAGATTCATTCAAAGCTATCCATGCAGCTTAACATCTGATCTGGATTTTAATTCTAGTTATCTGCACAGACAGTGCTCAGATTCTTGATCCTTGGGACTCAACAGTAAGAACTGATGGAAAAAGTACAAGCACCGCGTGGTACATCTACATCAGTGATTCCCAACCTTTTTTTGACCAGGGACCACTTTGACCAGGGACAACTTGACCATGGACCATTTTGAACAGATACCACTTTTACCAAGCACAACTTGACCAGGGACCACTTTGATCTACCACTTTTACCAGGCACCACTTGACCAGGGACCACTTTGATCAGGGACAACTTGATCGGGGACCACTTTGACCAGATAACACTTTTACCAGGCACCACTTGACCAGGGACCACTTTGATCAGGGACAACTTGATCGGGGACCACTTTGACCAGATATTTATTTATTTATTTATTTGCTTCACTTTTATACCGCATATCTCAGCCTTTGACAGGCGACTCAATGCGGTTTACAGTGCAGTTAAAAACACAGTAGTACAAAAACCGGGACGACAACGTCGCTCCACAGACAATTAACATCAGACAGACAAACCACAAACAACATATATAACGCCTCCGTTAAAGTCAGATCCATTCTCATAGTCATTGTGCCGTTCCTATGTTCAGTTACCGTCTTCCTTAGTTAGTTGCATTACTTAGCCAAACGCTTGCTCGTAAAGCCAGGTCTTAACCATTCTCCGAAACGCCAGCAACGAGGGTGCCTGTCTGATGTCTGCTGGCAAAGCATTCCATAGCCGAGGGGCCACCACTGAGAAGGCCCTGTCTCTCGTCCCCGCCAGGCGCACCTGTGACGCAGGCGGGATCGAGAGCAGGGCCTCCCCAGACGATCTTAATGTTCTAGTCGGTTCGTAGGCGGAAATGCGTTCGGAGAGGTAAGCGGGGCCAGAACCGTTTAGGGCTTTATAGGCTAAAGCCAGCACCTTGAATTGAGCTCGGTAGCGGATTGGCAGCCAGTGGAGCTGGCTCAACAGGGGAGTGGTGTGCTCCCTGAGTGCCGCCCCTGTTAGCAACCTGGCTGCCGAGCGCTGGACCATCTGAAGCTTCCGGGCTGTCTTCAAGGGCAACCCCACGTAGAGCGCGTTGCAGTAGTCAATCCGGGATGTGACCAGAGCGTGGACCACCGTGGCCAAGTCCGACTTCCCAAGGTACGGGCGCAGCTGGCGCACAAGTTTGAGTTGTGCAAATGCTCCCCTGGACACCGCCGAAACCTGGGGTTCCAAGCTTAGCGAGGAGTCCAGGATCACACCCAAGCTGCGAACCTGTGTCCTTCAGGGGAGTGTAACCCCATCCAACACAGGTTGTAACCCTATGCCCTGTTCGTCCTTACGACTGACCAGGAGTGCCTCTGTCTTGTCTGGATTCAGTTTCAATTTGTTCACCCTCATCCAGTCCGACACAGCAGCCAAGCACCGGTTCAGGACCTGGACAGCCTCCTTAGTAGTAGGTGGAAAGGAGTGACAGAGCTGGACGTCATCTGCGTACAGATAACACCGCACCCCGAAACTCCGGATGATCTCTCCCAACGGCTTCATGTAGATGTTAAATAACATGGGGGACAATATTGAGCCCTGCGGGACCCCACAAGACAATGGTTGTGAGGTAGAGCAGTTGTCCCCCAGCAACACCTTCTGAGTACGATCCTCTAGGAAGGACCTGAGCCACTGCAGAGCAGTGCCACCAAGGCCCATTCCCGCGAGGCGTCTCAGAAGGATACCGTGGTCGACGGTATCGAAAGCCGCTGAGAGGTCCAGCAGAACTAACAGGGACACACTCCCCCTGTCTAGCTCCCTGCGCAGATCATCCACTAAGGCGACCAAGGCTGTCTCGGTACCATGTCCCGGCCTGAAACCAGACTGTGACGGATCTAGATAATCAGTGTCTACCAAGAATACCTGGAGTTGTGAGGCCACCACACGTTCCAGGACTTTGCCCAAAAAGGGGAGATTGGAAACAGGCCGATAGTTGACGAATTGAGTGGGATCCAGTGATGGTTTTTTCAACAGCGGTTTTATCACAGCTTGTTTTAAGCTGGCTGGAATTTTGCCTTCCCGAAGGGAGGCATTAACCACCACCTTCACCCACTCGGCCAATCCCCCTCTGACCTCCTTTAGAAGCCAGGATGGGCAGGGGTCTAGGATGCATGTGGTTGCCCTCATTCCTCCAAGTATCTTGTCCACATCCTCAGGTTTCACCAATTGAAATGAATCCAATAAAATCGGATAAGCAGATGTTCGTGTTACATCCTCTGAGACTGCCGTTAACATGGTGTCCAGGTCAGAACGGATCAAAGCGACTTTGTCCGCAAAGAACCGAGCAAATGCTTCACAGCGGGCCGTCGAGTTGTCAGGGTTCCCATCCGGAATGGTGGGATTTAATAGACCTCTGACAACTCGAAACAGCTCCGCCGGACGGTTCTTTGCGGACGCAATATTGGCCGCAAAGAAGGATTTCTTTGCCGCCTTTATTGCCACGGCATATGCCCTTAATAGGGCAACAATACCGTGTTCGATTTGACTCGCTCGGGTCCGAACGCCACACACTCTCTAGTCTCCTCTTCCTTCGCTTCATTGCTGCCAGCTCCTCAGTAAACCAAGGAGCTGGTTTAGCTCGGCTACTTGAGAGGGGACGTTCTGGAGCAATCGTGTCTATTGCTCTGGTCATCTCCCTATTCCAGTGAGACACCAGGGCATCAACAGGATCACCAACCAAGGAAGCGGGAAAATCCCCAAGAGCCGTCAGGAATCCATTCGGATCCATAAGCCTCCTGGGGCGGACCAACTTAATGGGTCCCCCACCTCTGCAGAGGTTAGGAGGTGCAGTAAGTCTAAAGCTGACCAGATAGTGGTCGGTCCATGGCAACGGAGAGATGGATAACTCCTCAACACCGCCACTCTGCTCCCATCCCTGACAGAAAACCAGGTCCAGTGTGTGTCCAGCACTGTGAGTGGGGCCAGATATCTGCTGGGACAGCCCCATGGTTGCCATGGAAGACATGAAGTCCTGAGCCGCTCCTACTAGGGTAGTCTCAGCGTGTACATTGAAGTCCCCCAGCACCAGAAGCCGTTGGGACTCCAATGACAGGCTCGAGACCACCCCTGCAAGCTCAGGTAGGGAGACCGTAGTGCAGCGAGGTGGGCGGTACACTTTTACCAGCCACCACTTGACCAGGGACCACTTTGACCAGATACAACTTTTACCAGGCACCACTTGACCAGGGACCACTTTGATCAGGGACAACTTGATCGGGGACCACTTTGACCAGATACAACTTTTACCAGGCACCACTTGACCAGGGACCACTTTAAGCAGGTACTACTTTGACCAGGGACCACTTTGAGCAGGGACCACTCTCAAACATTAATACCAAAAGCGTTGTTGTTGTTGCTGTTCATTCGTCCAGTCGTCTCCGACTCTTCGTGACCTCATGGACCAGCCCACGCCAGAGCTCCCTGTCGGCCGTCACCACCCCCAGCTCCTTCAAGGTCAGTCCAAAAGCGTTACAATTCAGTTTTGGTCAACTTTACGTTTGGTTTGGTTATTTGGGGTGCTGATTCAGAAAATTGCATTGGATAGACCACATCAGCTCTAGTTTCTGATACACATGCCATCCAGTAGTCGCCATCTGTTGCCCACAGAAAACCATATTTAATAAGCCTTGGTACTATAAGAGGGTTTCGAGAGACCAGTCGCTCTCATTGCAACGGTGTAGTAATGGTGAGGCCACTGACCATATTTTAGTTCTTGGGGACCACTGGTGGTCCACAGACCATGGGCTGGGAGCCACTGATCTACATATTGGATCTAAGGCTAATGTGACACATCATCTCACATAAGATGACATCACATATGACCCTCATCTCATGTGTAGTATAATTCTGACCCTTCTAGCTCATTAATAATGAAGAGTATCTCCCCGAAAAAAATCCAAAGCATGTCTTGTTCCTGCTTTGCTGCCAGGTAAATAGGAAATTTGAATGCTAGTTTCTTAACTTTTTTTCTCACAGAAGTAAACAAAAAGGATTGAAAAAGAAGTAAAGAGTGTTTACCTGTTGATATACATCACTGCAGATGGAGCTGTGAGCACTGTAGGTTCATCATCTGGTAGCTTCCCAATCAGGAGAGCACTTTGGAGGTTTTCAACAGCATTGAGAAGTTGCTGTGGCACCAGTCTCTATTGTAAGAGAAGCAAACCACATTCTTTGATATTCATTGATAGAAGAATTCAGTGACTTGTTGTATTTTAGCTTTACTTGGAACCGAGGAATATCAATCCAAGCCTTTCTCTTGAAGAAGACACGTTCAGATTCAAAGAAAAGAGCTTGTCGAAATCAAGGACAATTCAGCATATTAGTCCCTACTGTGTTGTAACCCAATCAACCACAGATCTGAATCTTGTGGTTTCTTTGAGGACAATTCCTCTGTTGTGTCAGAGGAATAGCCCATGTATTTTCTTGGTTTAATTCTTTGGCTTTCTGGTGGAGAGATAAATTAGAATGCCAGGTTTGGAGGTCACAAACTATGGGCAGAAGGTCTGTGGTTTGTTGTGTTGCTCTAACTAAGAAGAAGGACAAGGACGAGGAGGCAAACTTGATTAATGTATTCTACCAGAAGCTTTTAAAATCAAGAATTTGGTTCATCAGTAGTTCTTATGTATATAAACTCATGCTATATTAGTCTTCTATAAGCTGTGGGCCTTTGGAATTTGAAAATAAAAAGTCATCACCTGTGACGTCTCTGGGGCAGAAGCATCCTCAGTCCCATTCTGACCTGAAGCCTCAAGAACGTTGCTCACAGCTGCAAAGAGGTAGCTGGCTGCCTCCTTGCGCTGTAAATCATCTTGACCATCTTCACTATTCACTATCAGCAAAGACTGACTGACACTTTTCAGGGTATGGCCGGCTTCCACCTGGACAGGGAAGAAAAGTCTGTGAACAGACATACTTTCACCTGCTCTCTCTCTCAAAGGACAAGAAATTAAATGGCAGTGCTTTCGGAGGTCTCATCTTCCAGGATCAAGTTTTCATTGCAAGGTTGTGACAATGCAGCACCAAGCGGGGATTTCCATTTCAATGACATAGTGAATCTAGAAGAAGATTCACTATTAGAAGAAGATATGTAAAATCTTGAATGTGAGCTACAGATAGCACTCATTAGAAATCCAATGTTAATCTTTTGTCATACGCATTTCAGACAAACATGTATTGGTTGGTGCAAGGACAGAACATGGAAAGCTACATTTTGGAAAATAGATTTATTATTGTGTTGTAAATGGCCAGAATATCTGAGTTGCTGTGAGTTTTCCAGGCTGCATGGCCATGTTCCAGAAGCCTTCTCTCCTGATGTTTTGCCCACATCTATGGCAGGCATCCTTGGAAGGTTGTGAGGTCTGTCGGAAACTGGGCAAGTGATGTTTATAATATTTATTCTTCTTAAGCTTCCTGTATTACAGGAAACATTGCTTCTTGGCCTTTTGGCTAAGATCAAATATATTACTTTTTGGGGAAAAAAATCTAACTTAAGCTTTTGATGGGGAGATATTGGAAAAATAGATATTTATTTATATATAAATTGTATGGACTTTACCAACACTGAAATGTAAGAAAAATCAGGTTCTCTCTATGTTAGAAAGCTGCAGGACAGAGAGAATGCAGAAGGAGATCTGTATTAAAAGGGGGAGGAGAAAGGGGACCTGTTATCTATACATTCCAGAGAGACTGGTACAACATAGCCCAGCGTCTTTCTTCTAAGTAAGGAGCTTATCCCCCTCCCTCCTGACAGGTCAAGGTAGGCCCCTTGATTGATGAATGTAAGCTATATGCTGCTCTCAGAAAAAATATAGAGACATGCTTCTTGCATGCTGGAAGATAGAATTTGATATTTCTATGATGCTAAAGTGATGAAGTGAATGATGTCAATGTATGTAGAGGCATGTTTCTTTGTTTGCCTGCATTTGGAGAGGTATAAAAGGGACAGTCAACGCCTTTATACTCACTCTGGTTGCTTTTGGATACAGCTCCACTCCAGGGTCCCAGCTGGAAATAAAGCTGTACTTTTCTTTCTTTTCTTTTCTTTCTCCGGAAAGGATCTCTCTTGATATTATCTCTCCTATCCTGCTGCAACACTTTCACTTGCAAAAACTTAGGCTAAATATTTCTTCTTCATTAGCTATGGAATAGTTCTTATGAGTTTTACACTTTGCCCAAAGTCCATCCTGGGGGCCAAACGCAGCCCCTGTTCAAATTTCCTGGAGGCCTTACCAAAAAGGCTGTCCTTTGCTGTGACTCTTCCCTTGTGAAGAAAAGGGGAGAGCTAGGCAGCAACTATAAGCTACCCCCCCCCCCCACCACAATCAAAGCCCTCTTGACAGATGGCCATGGGGCCTCTGCTGAAAAACTTGCAGAGGAGATTCCACCAGATTCTAGGCAGCATATGCTACTATCTGAATCAACCTGACACAACAACAACCATCCTAATTAACTTGACTCTCTCATCAGCCAAAAACAGGGCCATATTTCCCATTGAAAGACTGGTACATTTATGTTGGTTAAAATTGTTCTTCATTTTATATATTTTATTGCTCTTTCAAATTTTATTTTTGCACTACAAATGAAACATATGCAGAGTGCATAGGAATGCATTCATTTTTCCCCAACTATAGCCTGTCCACCCCCACCCCCCATAGGCTGAGGGACTGTGAACTGGTCGATGGCTTTAAATGTTTGGACACTCCTGTATTACATTCTTATTTTCTTCAATTCTGTCTGTTATTTCCACTTCCAAGTTTCCATTTAGTCCTTACTACACAATGGAGTCAATCTAAGGGCCTTCCAGACAGGATTTGATCCCAGGTTTTTTGTTTATTCCAGATTATCTGGCAGTGTGGACTTGTATAATCCAGTTTAAAGCAGAAAACCTGGGATCAGATTTTGGGATATAGGGCCTGTTTGGAAGGGACCAATTTTCATAATCATCACTGCATCCCTTGCTGTGCTACATGGATTAAGGTTAGAGGAACTTCATCCCACCTAGCACTCACCTGTGCCAAGGAAGATAGCTCTTCACTCCTGTATGTGACTGCTTTCAGCACTTCAGACATCTTCAGTGCTGTCTGCATTGATGTTACATTGACAGTGGAGAGAGTGGTCAGCATGAGCTCTCTCAACTAGGAAAGGCAAGAGAGAATGTTAGAGAAATTTCAAAGTGTTGGAAGGGATTTAGAGGTCAACTACTTCCTGACCAGTGCAGGAGACTGCAGTTTGACCTCTCTTCTGTGGAGCAGTCTGTCCTACCATCCAATATATCTCTTGGGTCAACCCAATACTGTTACATAGAATGGGATTCCACATATAGAAGCTTACTAGACCATCAGTTCTACAGTGGTAATGGAATACCATTTGTCCATTTTATTATTTATTTAATTTATTTATATTCCACTTTTCTCCCAAATGCAACTCAAAATAGCTTACAATACAAATAAAAAAACAAAGCAATGTGAAATATTGACCTCCTTCCTTGTGTCTGTCTGCAGGGATGTATTAACACTCTCTTCCTTCATCTTGTGATTAAGAACAGAGGATACTGATTTGTACAGCTGGAACAGGGACATACTGTTGTTCTCTCCTTTTAGGATGGTGTTTGATTTTTCCAAAATAATAGTCTGCAGCGTCTGGTTTCTATCACTTATATCTTCAGGCCAAACCTCATAAAACAAGAGGAAAGAATGTTCTGATCACAGGGCATCCAGAATGTTTCCCTCAATTATCACCAAGGGCATTCTTAAAAGTGCCAATATTTTGTTCCCATCCTCAAGTGGGTTTCTTTTTAATTCTGAGACAGATCAGAACAGTAACACACATTCTGTCTCTTTCTCTTTTAATTTTTTTTGTTACAGTGGGTGGGTGAAATGACACTTTTGCATCACAGTACTATTCTAAAAACTTTTTTTAATAGGAGAAGAAAATTGGCCCTTCGAACTACAGGCAATCCCGAGTTACAAACATCCAACTTACAAATTACTCATAGTTATGAATGGGGCTGAGTTAACAAGAAGTGAGAGAAATCTACCCCTTGGAACGGAAATTTACTCCTGAATCAGTTACAATGGGAAAAAGGTGTCTTCACTAAAGCTTTATCACCAGTCCTTATCTCCAAATATTTCAAAATCCAATTATCACAGAAAGCGAGGTGAAATCTTCTGAACATGGGCACAGCCAACAAAACAAGCTCCTCAAGGATGTTAAGTCTTCCTTGTGCTATCCAAAACACACACACACACACACACACACACACACTAGCTGTCCCCTGCCACGCATTGCTGTGGCCTAGTCTAGTGATCTGGAAAATAAAGTAATGAGAAAGTGTTGGTTTCTAATATATGTAATTTCTTTATGCTTGTGGGTAAACAGTATTTCTTGCTGTTTCTTTGCCAGTGTTGATGTGGAGAGTGTCTGGTTTACCTACTCTGGAACATGCAACATATTATTGTCCTCCTTTAGGGGTCCCTTTCAAATCTGTGATACTATATCTGCGTATGTGTGAATCATATATATCTATAACTGTGGCTGGATGGCACTTTGTCAGGAGGGCTTTGATTATGTTTTTTTGCCCTGGTGAAGGGGGTTGGACTGGATGGCCTTAAGTATTCATGGGGGTTTTGTGTGGGAAGTTTGCCATTGTTGGGGCTCCGAATGTTCTTTGATTGTAGGTGAACTATAAATCCCTGTAACTACAGCTTCCAAATGTCAAGGTCTATTTTCCCCAAACTCCATCTGTGTTCATATTTGGGCATTTGGAATGTTCGTGCCAAGTTTGGTCCAGATCCGTCATTGTTTGGGTCCATAGTGCTGCCTGGATGAACTACAACTCCCAGACTCAAGGTCAATGCCTGCCAAACCATTCTAGTTTTCTGGGTTGCTGTAGTTTTTTTCCGGCTATATGGCCATGTTCTAGAGGCATTCTCTCCTGATGTTTCGCCTGCATCTATGGCAAGCATCCTCAGAGGTTGTGAGGTCTAGTTTTCTGTTGGTCATGGGAGTCCTGTGTGCCAAGTTTGGTTTCATTCCATCATTGGTGGAGTTCAGAATGGTCTTTGATTGTAGGTGAACTATAAATCCCAGCAACTACAACTCCCAAGCAACAAAATTAATATTTTTGAGTGATGGTCACTTGTTGGCCTGATAGGTGTATTGTGTTCAAATTTGGTGTCAATTTGGTGGTTTTTGAATTATGTTAATCCCACAAATGAACATTACATTTTTATTTATATAGATAATATATGGATGGCTGGGTTACACTTTAAAAATGTCCCTGTTCAGACTTACATACAAATTCAACAAGAACAAACTACAGAAACCATATTGTTCGTAAGCCTGTATAGCAAATTACATTCCAATTTCTAGGGAGGGGGGATACCTTGGAAAAATCTATGAATCACCATGAACAGCCTATTGCATTCGACATCTGGAAAAAACTATGACTACCGCACCACACAAGAGTCCAGGAATATAAGCAAACAGATTATTGTAAAAATAATTAAAAAGTATATACAAATCAGGAATAAGAAAGGAAGATATATAATCCAAAAAGGTTTAGCAACAGCTGATAACCAAGCAGTAATCCAAATGTCTCATAAATTTCAAGAAATGACAAAGTCCAGGAAGAGCCAGAAATCACAGATATAGCTTAAGTCCACAATCCAGAAGGCATAACTAGTAAACCTTGAACAGGAGTACATGAACAGGACACAAAAAACTTCCAGGAGATAATAAATCCAAAACCAAAGCTTGACTTGAACCAGGGACAAGAGAACTCAGGCTTAGCTTCTCACTCTAATGCAGCATTGCCCGAACTGACCTTAAGGTAAACAACTTGCTGTCTAATACACACCCATGAAATCATTCAATTTCCCGTGAATTTCCTTCATAACTTTCCCATATAATCTCTCTGAATGAAGCAATCTATTTTTGGCTCTGATATGAAAATGAAGACTTTTGTTGATCTCCGTAGCTACAGGTGGTTTCTCGTGGGAACCTTCCTTATCACTCAGCTCTTCACTTGATTCTTTATCTGCTGTTGCTACTTCTGATTCCCCTGAACGCCCTTGAGGCGTTGCACTATCCGAGCCACAGAGAGAACCATAATTTCCCAGACTTGAATTTTTCAGACTTGAGAGCCCATCACTTTATGCCTCAGGAAAGCTCACAATTCTCTCTAAATCATCAGTTAATACAGCCTCCTAAAAGAAAGAAGAGAGTAAACACAGAGGCAATAACAACCCACAAAACTCAGGGAGCCATACTGTGAAAACTCACACTCTTTTAGAACAATCTGAAAGAGCCTGAAGTATGACTAAATACAAAGTGAGTTTAACTTTGCAGAGTGTTCTAAAGAGGTCTGAGAAGTGTTTCCTCCACCTTTCCCAGATTGCAAAGCTTAACAAAAAAAAGCTGGCAAAACCATGTCTAACTTACCCTGACAGTGAAATTTGTACGAAGTGTGTCACCATAACTATTGGTTACAGAAACATGGATGCGTAAAAGGAAGTCATTGTCCTTTTCTCCAAGTGGGAGGTAAACTGAAGGGAGAACAGGATCGTGTCCACAGTGTAGAACAGAATCTGGAAGGAGCAAATGGGACAAAGAATGAACTTATTGGCAGTGGAAAACATATCTTTTCACATCAAAGAAATAAACAAACACAAAACAACCCAAATTATGTAGTAGTTCTTCAGTCCTTGTTGTGTTTGTATTAATCACAGAGAAGGAAATGTACAGCCAGGATTTATACAGAGAGCTCCTCCAAAGAAAAAAAAATATTGTTAAGTCCCAAGTTTGTTCCTCTACAACCCTTAAAAAAAGATTCATATGATGTATCTCTGAGCCTGAATAATTGTTTGGGACTCCTAACATTGCTAAAGTAATTTGTTTATCTGAAATCCACAATGTCCAGCCAAAGCATACTGTACAAAGCATACATTATGCAGGAGGACTTAGCAATTCCTAGAGAAGTGTGCTCTCCAATGCCTCCAGTGCGATTCTACAGTCAACTTCCAAAGGAACTTCCAGCACAAAGTCTCTGATGGTCTCAGGTTTTGTTCCTATATATACATCCCCAATGCCAAAGTATTATTGACTGAGCTCCCTCATCTCTTTTAAAACCCTATACCAGATATATCCTACCTTGTTCATGCCCAGCATTTATTTTTTAGATTTTTAAACTAGCACATTTGGCCTGGCCATAGGTTTTTAATCCTTGTGTGTTACTGTTTATTGGTTATTGTTTATATATGATTTATATTAATTGTATTGTATTTATTGTTTATTTGTTTATTGCTTTTGTTTTTATTGATGTACATTGTAATCTGTCTGAGTCCCCTACGGTGTAAGATGGTGGCGGGGTATAAATAAAGTTTTATTATTATAATATTATTATCAGTGAACATTAAGATTACTACTGACCGAAAGGTCATGAGTTTGAACCCAGCCCGGGTCAGAGTTAGTGTCCGACCAATTTGTGTAGCTTGCTGTTGACCTTTGCAGCCCGAAAGACAATTGCATCTATCAAGTAGGAAATTTAGGTACTGCCTACGTGGGAGGCTAATTTAACTAATTTACAATTCCATAAAAATCTCCAGCAAGCCTGCAAAGAATGAGGAAGTACTTCATCAGTGTCACAAAATGGATGGTGAAGCAACAGCTCCCCTGGTGGCCAGAATACCCTCATGAAAAGTTGGAATGTTAAATTGCATCTGCGTCTGTCTATATATGTTGTGTGCCTATGGCATTGAATGTTTGCCATGTATATGTACATTGTAATCCGCCCTGCGATGTGAGAAGGGCAGAATATAAATACTGTAAATAAAATAAAATACTAAGGGACTTTTCTTTCCCACTGCACAGGTTATCTTAAATTAACCCACTATTTCCCAAGATGAAACATACTTCTCCTTGGCTACCTGTTAGTGTTATATTGAAACTACCCAAGATGATGACACTTAAGAAAAAAATATTTTTCAGAAGGCTGAAAGAGTGTGACATGCAATTTCAGCCAGTTGAGAGTGCCATGGCCAAGTGAAGGTTCAAATCCTGGTTTCCAGAGTCGTAGTCCAGTACTTCAACCATGACACCAGGCTGGCTCTCTGTACAGATAGCAGATAATGTGGCTCTTACTTGGCTCCAGATAGAAGCAATATGTGAGTGAGGAGCTATCAGATGGAAGACACTGATCCTCCAGGCAGGAAGTGACACAGGAGATGGAAAAACTTGTGAGAACTGATCCTTGCTCAGGGGATATCGTGCAGACTGGGGCTGCTGGAGGAGGCACCGTGCTGACAATGAAGATTTCTTCGCCATACTTGTGATCATTCACGGCTGGAACGTTTAGAAACAAAACAGGTCATGAGTTAATTTGAAACAGCTTGTGTCACATATAGATTTGCACTTAAAAGAGCATTTGCTTTCTAAATATTCAACACATTTTCTAAAGAACAGCTTGCCTAGTTTCTAATAGACCTCAAAACCTCTGGGGATGCCTGCCATAGATGTGGGCGAAACGTCAGGAGAGAATGCTTATGGAACATGGCCAGACAGCACGGAAAACTCATAGCAACACACTGGTGTAATTTTAGACTACACAATCTGTGAACAGGATTCAGTTTTTGTGTGTGGTAGGAGTGCTCTTCCAGCAGTCGCCAGCCAATCCCTCTCCAATGCCAGAAATACAGCTTAATGGTGTAACATTAGAAAATGTTGACCATTTCCGCTACCTTGGCTGCCACCTCTCCACAAAAGTCAACATTGACACTGAAATACAACACCGCCTGAGCTCTGCAAGTGCAGCATTTTTCCCAATGAAGCAGAGAGTGTTTGAGGACCAGGACATCCGTAGGGATGCCAAGGTGCTTGTTTATAAAGCTATTGTCCTCTCAGCCCTGCTATACGCCTGTGAGACGTGGACTATCTACAGATGTCACATGCAACTCCTAGAATGATTCCATCAGCGTTGCCACCGAAAAATCCTGCAAATTTCTTGGGTGTTGTGACTCAGCTGGAATCACAGGGTGATGGTATCAATGATTCTGATGGGGATGATCAGATGGGAAACAAGGATGTCCCTGTGTTAGACGAGGAAGACCAGGATCGGGGGCAGAAGTTCAGTTGTTTCCCACAGCAAGGGTTGATGCTGGGGAAAGTGAAACTACTGAGAGCGAGAGCCAGGTGCCTGATGAAGGAAGGGAGGATGTAGAAGGGGAGGATAGTTCTCAGCCAGCTAACAAGGGATTTGACCTCGATGGAGCCGGTGATTTAGATAGGGCTGATCGCTTGGAATTGAAAGTGTGAAGGAGTGTCAGGATCGCCGGGAGGTGAGAGAGAGGCCTGAGGCCATAGGAACGCCTTTATGCTGGCCCAAGAGCATTGAACAGACTGTTTGAATGTGCCTCAGTGTCAGAGCAACTTCACGCTGTAACCAAGAGACTTTGGGGTTTGTATTGCAGCCTTTCATGTTCCTGTTTTAGGACTTTGTCATGCACTTTAGGGACTTTGTCTTGCCTGTGTCTTCATGGATCTTGTTTGCCTATGTTACCTTGGATTGATCTTTTGAAATATACTTTTGCTTTTTGAACTTTTTATCTTTTATTTTTTAAAAAACTATAAAGACAACTGCTGGTGTGTTCTTTGGTGTCTTAAGCAAGGTGGTACTACGCTGAGGTGCGACATTGGGAAGACAAGTGGACAAATGTCAGCATGCTGGAAAAAGCAAATAGCCGAGGGGCCCCCATAGAGGTCGTGGTGGGGAGGAGGAGATGCGGTAAAAGGAGACCTCAAATTCGGCTTAATTCGGACCGCTTACCAACATTAACAACCCTAAACCGGTCTCCTAAGGTATATTGGTGTAACCAGGTGAGCGGGCCCTCCGGATTGAAGGTGGTGCTGCTGAACGCCAGGTCTGTCAACGGAAAAACGACCTGGATCCAGGACTTAATCCTGGATGAGCGGGCAGATCTGGCGTGCATTACGGAGACCTGGCTGGATGAAGCTGGGGGCGTAAATCTTACCCAGCTTTGTCCTCCAGGCTTCTCCATACAGCACCAACCGAGATCCGGAGGACGGGGAGGCGGCGTCGCAGTGGTCTATAGAGATTCCATCCATCTGACCAGGAGTCCCATCCCGCAGACCACAAATTTTGAATGCGTCCACCTGAGGTGGGTGACCGGGACAGAATAGGGATTCTGTTAGTGTACCGTCCACCTCGCTGCACTACAGTCTCCCTACCTGAGCTAGCGGGGGTGGTCTCGAGCCTGGCGTTGGAGTCTCAACGGCTTCTTGTGCTGGGGGACTTCAACATCCATGCCGAGGCGACCCTCACAGGAGCAGCTCAGGACTTCATGTCCGCCATGGCAACCATGGGGCTGTCCCAACGAATAACTGGCCCTACCCACTGTGCTGGACATACATTGGACTTGGTTTTCTGCCAGGGATGGGAGCAGGGTGGCGGTGTGGAGGAGTTGTCCATCTCTCCGTTGCCATGGACCGACCACTTCCTGATCAGATTTAGGCTCACTGCGCCCCCTAACCTCTGCAAGGGTGGAGGACCCACTAAGATGGTCCGCCCCAGGAGACTGATGGATCCGAATGGATTCCTGACGGCTCTTGGGGATTTTCCTGCCACCTCGGTAGGTGACCATGTCGAGGCCTTGGTCGCTCTCTGGAATGGGGAGATGACCAGGGCAATTGACATGATCGCTCCGGAGCGTCCCCTCTCAAGTAGCCGAGCTAAACCAGCCCCTTGGTTTACCGAGGAGCTGGCAGTGATGAAGCGAAGGAAGAGGGAACTAGAGAGCGTGTGGCGTTCGGATCCAAGCGAGTCAAACCGAGCACGGTTTGTGTCCTTTCTTAGGGCATATGCCGCGGCAATAAAGGCCGCAAAGAAAGTTTTCTTTGCGGCCACTATTGCGTCTGCAAAGAACCGTCCGGCGGAGTTGTTTCGGATTGTTAGAGGTCTTTTAACTCCCGCCACCTCTGGCGGGAGCCCTGACAATTCGGTCACGCGCTGTGAAGCATTTGCTCGGTTCTTTGCAGACAAAGTCGCCTTGATCCGTTCTGGCTGGACGCCGCGTTAAATGCAGTCTCAGAGGATGTGACACGAGCACCTGCTTGTCCTATTTTGATGGATTCTTTTCAGTTTGTGAAACCCGAGGATGTGGACAAGATACTTGGAGGAATGAGGCCCACCACGTCCATCCTAGACCCCTGCCCATCCTGGCTTCTGAAGGAGGCCAGAGGGGGATTGGCTGAGTGGGTAACGGTGGTGGTTAATGCCTCCCTTAGGGAAGGCAAGATTCCAGCGTGCTTAAAACAAGCAGTTATAAAACCGCTGTTGAAGAAACCATCACTGGACCCCACTAAATTCGACAACTTTCGGCCTGTTTCCAATCTCCCCTTTTTGGGCAAAGTCATGGAAAGCGTGGTGGCCTCACAACTCCAGGTATTCTTGAGAGACACGGATATTCTGGATCCGGCACAGTCTGGCTTCAGACCGGGACATGGTACCGAGACGGTCTTGGTCGCCTTAGTGGATGATCTGCGCCGGGAGCTAGACAGGGGGAGTGTGTCCCTGTTGGTGCTCCTGGACCTCTCAGCGGCCTTCGATACTGTCGACCACAGTATCCTTCTGGGGCGCCTTGCGGAAATGGGTCTTGGGGGCACTGCTCTGCAGTGGCTCCACTCATTCCTGGAGGGACGCACCCAGAAGGTGTTATTGGGGGACTCCTGTTCTGCCCCACAACCTTTGACTTGTGGGGTTCCACAGGGTTCCATACTGTCCCCATGCTGTTTAATATCTACATGAAGCCGCTGGGTAAGATCATCCGGAGTTTCGGGGTGCGGTGTCATCTGTACGCAGATGATGTCCAACTCTGTCACTCCTTCCACCTGCTACTAAGGAGGCTGTCGAGGTCCTGAACCGGTGCCTGGCCGCTGTAACGGTCTGGATGAGGGCGAACAAACTGAAATTAAATCCAGACAAGACAGAGGTACTCCTGGTCAGTCGCAAGGCCGAACGGGGTATAGGGTTACAGCCTGTGCTGGATGGGGTCGCACTCCCCTTGAAGGCGCAGGTTCGCAGCTTGGGTGTGACCCTGGATTCATCGTTGAGCCTGGATCCCCAGGTTTCAGCGGTGACCAGGGGAGCATTTGCACAGCTTAGGCTCGTGCGCCAGCTGCGCCCGTATCTCGGGAAGTCTGACTTGGCCACGGTGGTACACGCTCTGGTCACATCCCGGCTTGACTACTGCAACGCTCTCTACGTGGGGCTGCCCTTGAAAACGGCCTGGAAGCTTCAGCTGGTTCAGCGTGCGGCAGCCATGTTACTAACTGGAGCGGGATACAGGGAGCACACAACACCCTTGTTGTCCCAGCTCCACTGGCTGCCGATTTGCTACCGGGCCCAATTTAAGGTGCTGGTGTTGGCCTACAAAGCCCTGAACGGCTCCGGCCCAAAATACCTTTCAGACCGCATCTTGGCCTATGAGCCCACGAGGACCTTGAGATCGTCTGGGGAGGCCCTTCTCTCGATCCCGCCTGCCTCACAGGCACGCCGTGAGTCGCCCGAGTGGGCTGAGAATAATAAATAAATAAATAAATAAATACCGCCAGCATTGAAGCGATGGTCTTTCGCCATGAACTCCGCTGGACCGGCCACATTGTCTGGATGCCTGACCACCATCTCCCAAAGCAGTTGCTCTACTCTGAACTCAAGAATGGAAAACGGAATGTTGGAGGACAGGAAAAGAGATTGAAAGATGGGTTTGAAGCCAACCTTAAAAACTCTGGCATAGACACTGAGAGCCGGGAAGCCCTGGCCCTTGAGTTCTCCAGTTGGAGATCAGCTGTGACCAGCAGTGCTGTAGAATTTGAAGAGGCACGAATGGAGGGTGAAAGAGAGAAACGTGCCAAGAGGAAGGCGCGTCAAGCCAACCCTGACCGGGACCGCCTTCCACCTGGAAACCGATGCCCTCACTGCAGGAAAACATGCATATCAAGAATAGGGCTCCATAGTCACCTATGGACCCACCACCAGGACACCAATCTTGGAAGACAATCCTACTCGGACAACGAGGGATCGTCTAAATAAGTAAGTGTTCATCCCCTGTGGCAGGTAAATCAGTTACAGCAAGTCAACAGTGTCTTTGGACTTATCACATGATGTTGCTCCTTTCCCACCACTCTCCCAGTGCGAGAAAACCTGGAAAGCCTTTCTTTTACAAACATAGGCAATCCATTAATGACCTCCTTTTGTAAAAGAAACGCCTTCTGACTGTCTCCTTGACACCCAGAACAACAAAAGAGGACAAGTCCACTTGGTAAGTCCCGCTGTTATGCTGCTATAATTGCAATTTGCCTGACTCATGTGATAAACTTTTAAGTCACCACAAGCCTCTTTGTTGCTTTTGCTACAAAGGATTACCAGATCTATATCTTTGGAAATGATCCATAGCATTCAAACTACACAAGCCGATAAGTATTTTTCATCAGATATAATTTTAGGTCATTCTTAATAGAGTTTTTTTTTGCGCTGAATTCAGATCTGTATTTATTTTTTCTCTATCACGTGTAGTTGTTGTGATGAGACTAATCAAATAATTAATGCATTTACGCACAGATAGCAATAGAATCTAATGGATATTAGTGTGTAAATGCATTAATTATTCGATTCGCCTCATCGCAAAAACTACACGATAGAGAAAAAATAAACACAGATCTGAATTCAGTGTGAAAAACTCTATAAGAATGACCTAAAATCATATCTGATGAAAAATACTTGTTGGCTTGTGGTTAATTAGATTTTATTGATATCAGTGCATAAATGCATTTGATCAGCCTCATCACAAAAACAAACACAAAATAAACACAAATCTGTATTCAGCCCAATAAACTCTATAAGAATTACCTAACGATGAGGACGAGAGACAGGGCCTTCTCAGCACTGCCCCCCCCTCCGCCGCCTATGAAATGCCCTCCCTAGAGATATCAGATTGGCCACCTCCCTCTTGACTTTTAGAAGGAAAATCAAGACCTGGTTATAGGACCAAACATTTGGTTAGTGAGCAGCAAGTGGAAGAAGATCACACAACTTATGGCAATGAATTGACTGGTTTTTGGATTTCGATGTTAATGGATGTGTCTTAATTAATTGTTTTAATTGTTGTTTCAATATTTCTAATATTTTGATTGCACTGTGATTGTTTTTATGATGCTAGCATCGTATGATGCTTTTGTTAGGCTACCCTGAGTCCCCCTTCGGGCGGGAGTAGGGCGGGGTACAAATATAGGAAATAAAATGCTCTGTGCATAATGAGTACCTTAAAAAAAAAGAACCAATGAACGAAATCACACCAAATTTGGCAACAAAATGTCTCACAACACAAGGAGTGACCATCACTCAAAAAATTATGATTTTGTCATTTGGGAGTTGTAGTTGCTGAGATTTATAGTTCACCTACAATCAAAGAGCATTCTGAACTCCATCAACGATGGAATTGATCCAAACTTGGCACACAGAACTCCCATGACCAGCAGAAAATAATGGAAGGCTTTGGTGGGCATTGACCTTGAGTTTGGGAGTTGTAGTTCACTAACATCCAGAGAGCACTGTGGACTCAACCAACGATGGATCTGGACCAAACTTGGTACAAGCACTCAATATGCCCAAATATGAACACAGATGGAGTTTGGGCGAAATAGACCTCGACATTTAGGAGTTGTAGTCACTGGGATTCACAGTTCACCTACAATCAAAGAGCATCCTGAACCCCACCAACGACAGAATCGGGGCAAACTTCCCACACAGAACCCTCATGACCAACAGAAAATACTTAAGGCCATCCAATCCAACTCCCTTCATCAGGGCAAGAAAACGTAATCAAGGTTCTCCTGACAAAGAGCCATCCAGCCATACAGATAGATAGATAGATAGATAGATAGATAGATAGATAGATAGATAGATAGATAGATATGATTCACACACACAGAGATATAGTATCATAGATTTGAAAGGGACCTTTAAAGAAGGACAATGATATCTTGCATGTTCCAGAGTAGGCAAACCAGACACTCTCCACATTAACACTGACAAAGAAAAAGCAAGAAATACTGTTTACCCACAAGCATAAAGAAATTATATATATTAGAAACCAACACTTTCTCATTACTTTATTTTCCAGATGCAACGCGTGGCAGGGGACGGCTAGTAAATAAATAAATATCTGATGAAAAATACTTGTTGGCTTGTGTTACATGAATATGATGTGAAATGTGCAGACTTTACAGTCTGCTGTAATGTACCATTCATCATATTTTAAAAAGTTGATGTGATGGGAAAAAATAAAGACATATTTAAAATCAGGATAAAAATTGATTAAAACTGTGCTCCTCTCAATTCTGATGATTACAAAAAGTTTGATTTTGTTGGCTTGTGCTATCAGTTTAGAGCAAATACCCATTAAAGCAGTAAATAAAAATAATCAAACTAGATTATCCAAATTTGGGTCATCTCACCTGCTACTTTAATCCTAAAGGCTTCTCCTTGTGTTTGCAGGAAAGAGCTGTTCAGCACCAACGTTGCTGTATCGCTCTGAAGCAAAGTGAGGGAGCTCTGGGGGAAACCAGTCAAACTGCAACCTGGTGGGAGCAGAATGGGCTGCGGAGAAACATTGATGGATAAATATTTGGTTTTCAGTAGGTCTTCTGCTATGTTTCCCAAAGAGACTGTCTTCTAAGCATAGCTGGGTGTTTCATCTAAACTTGAAATATAGTTGCAAGACTTTTACATTTCGTTTTCCATTAATTAGCTCTCATTTAGCTCTGTAATCAGCTCTCATTAAGCTTACCTATTGGTCTCTTAACTCTTCCCTATTCTGTAGCATTTAAATAGCACTTCCCAATCCAGAGCCCTCCAGATGGTTTGGGCTGGATCTCCCAATTTCTTATCCAGCACAGAGAGTTCCAACAATACATTTTTGGGGTAGGATGCTGTGCTGTCGCACGTTGGGCCTGAAATAATGTCTGTTTACAGGACGTGCCTTCTGTATGCCTAACGGGATGCCGAGTGCCTGAGCTGAAGGGCCCCTTAGATTTCCCAACACAAAGTTCTATTGAGGCTCAAAATAAGTTCAACGAAGTTCTTTATTTGGGCTTAAATCATCAAACAAATGAATTAAATGCTTTATAACCATGGAAAACCGGTAGCTTCCTCAATCTGCTATCAAGGGCAGGCAAGTGGTGGTAAACTGTTCCATTCTTCCTTAGGGAAATCTCAGGAAGAACAAGCTTTAAAGAATCCCACAAAATTGGACAAGCAGATGCCTCAATCACCTCCCCTGGCACTGTGATGAAATTGGAGTCCAACTCAAGGTGTATCTGAGCAACTTTGCCTGCAAAATGGTATGCAAACTCGCGACACCGAGTTGCTGGGTCACTCCTCATAGGGCTTGTTCTGCAGACCCTTGACCATTTGAGTTGTTCTCCTCTGGACACATTCTGGCTAGTCAACATCTTTCTTCAATTGCAGTGCCCAGAATGGGACATAATATCCCAGGTGTGGTGTGACCAAGGCAGAATATAAGGGTAGCATGACTTCCTTGGATCTAGGCACTAGACTCCTATTGATGCAGGCCAAAATCCCGTTGCTTTTTTTTAGCTGCCACAAGACATTGTTGGCTCATGTTTACCTTGTTGTCCATGAGAATTCCAAGATCTTTTCTACACGTACTGCTGGTTTTTTTAAATGAAGGTTTTGTCTTGTTTTTTTTTAATCTTGTGATTATTGTTTTTACAAACTGATCAATTCACTCCAAAACATTGGGGAAGGAGAACAGGGCTCACCTTTCTTTCAAATGTATGGTCTAGATACCACTTGTAGAGTATAGCCTTTGAATCTAGCTCTGTTGAGACACTGAGTATAACATCTTCTGTGACGTTTACTGGCTTGCAGTTCATCTCACAACTAAGAAGAAGGCAGAAGCCATGGTTAGCAAGCACAAGTATATAACAAAATAAGGGAAATGCTTGGCCCAAGGGCTCTGAGCAAGAAATCCAAAGAGCAAATATTTATCACAGGTTTAAGAGAGAAACGCAGTATTGTGTTATACTTCATGTGATTCAGAGAAGTTAAATGCCTGTGAAAAACAAAGTTGTTGTATTGGCTTCTAGCAAGACCATGCCAAAAACATTCAAACAATTCAATTGCAATGAAGAAGCCAGTTTGGTTAAAGTGCTGGACTTCAACATTTGGGAGGTCCAGGTTCTAGATCTCCCAAATGCTATGGGGAAGGAATGTACCAGAACAAGCATTGCATGGGTTTCCTTCTCATTTTCTTACAAGTGCATTTAATTCCTCAATAATAGAATTGCACACTAATACAAGGGCGACACACACCTGATTTGTGGCCTCAGGTCTCGCTTTGCTGTGATGTAGAGGCATTGCTCATCCTGCTTCTCTTGCTTTTCCGGGTTTTTGACTGTAACTTTCACAGTCACGGCTGAGCTAGGAGGGGGTAAGCAGGCAGGAGGAATCTGGATCTCCCTTTGGTCTGTCTGGATGGATTGTTCTTGCACACATTCAGCCCATTCAGGCCAACAGGATCCTGTAAAGATATTCTCAACTAGTTCATCCTCTTTTCTTGAGCTCTTCTCCAAGTCCAACCAAACATCCCCTTCATGTGTCCTGATTTGGCAAAAATAGGTAAATTTGTTGGGTTTCATTCCTGGACTGCATAACTATTTGCGTCATCAAGTTTCTAGCTAGACTAGAGACAGGGCTAAGCTCAGGGATTCCTTTCCCCACTTTCCAATGCATTTCCCAAAGGGATTTGTCTTACTGCTAACTGCTGTATCCTCCCTTTTTGATGATGTAGTAATGGAATTCTGTGAGAGAACTTCCTCTTAAGTTTAAAACTGCCCTGGGAAGACCATGTAATCTCCACCATTGTTTCTTCTGCTTTTCTTTTCTCCCTGAGAGGACACATTTTGCCTCTCTGTAGGCAAAATGTAGCTGCATGGTATTTTTTTTACCTTTTACCTTCTTTAGAATATGAGATATAGCAAGCTAATTAACTATGAGGTCGGAGGCGACCCCCCCCCCCAGGATGGAAGGACAACAAAAGATCTAGCCCTTGAGCTAGACAAAAATGTATTTTCAAAAAAACTTAAGCAATAACCCTGGCCAGCTTGAGGACTTAAGCTGTCGCTGACCACTTGGACAAACATTAATCATTTTTATGCTGTCATCTTTTCGTTCCTTTCATTGTTTCCCTGTTGCCCGTCTTCCTTCCACCTCATTGGCTGAGTGGCCAAAGCAGGGCTCAAGCCGCCATTGCTTCTCCTGCTGGTTTGCAGCCAATCATAACAAAGCCAGCTCGGGGTGGGGAGAGGGGTGGGCATGGAAAGTTTGGAATCTGAAGGCTATAAATATTGGATCTTTTTGCTCAGTGGGCATGTTGATTTTGTTGGCAGATTACTGCAATCGTCCTCCTTTCCAGCTGGAATGAAATAAACAACTCGGTGGCATTTTCTTCAACTTGTTGAGACTTATTTGGGGAAAATAGGGAAAATTCTTTCTGGGTGCTTGTTGTCTCGCCAGGTGTGTGGATGGCCTCTGCTTCGGCAGGGCCTCCTAAATTTGTGTTCGACATCAGCTACAAGACTTTTCTATCAATAATGTATTTCTTTTTACTTCAATAAATATGTTTGAACCCAAAGTTCAGACTCTGCAATCTTGAGCCATCCTAAAAATTAGAAGGCTATCCCTTCTCACCACATGTAAGTTTCTGCTGGTTATGGAGTTTACTCCTGGTACTCTGCTATTTTTGGTGGAATTACCCTAAATGCGGATTATTTTTGGCGTAACAGCTCAGATTTCTCTACAGAATTAATCCTTTGACATCTTACTTTTTCAGATTTTTGAAAGAATTGCCCAGTTTCTCTCTCCTCTTCCCACTCAGTTAACTTCAGCTGCTGTAAATGGAGCCTGAAAGAAGTCTTTGAAATACATCTCCTATTCCTTCTTCCTAGGAGCCTTCTCATCACCAACTCATTTCCAAACCGCCCTCCACACAAATCTCTAGGAATCAGTGACAAAATGTCATAAGAGCCATACCTATATGAATGTCCAAGAAGTCACTTGCTTTTGTGAAAAATGGAAAACTTAGATAGAAAGGGAGGGCTCAACGTAGACATGCAGGGGAATGTTTTTCCAGGAATGGAATTTCCTCAGAGCTACCTGCTTCAGCAAACAGATTTGAAAATTAAGCCTGTACTTTTACCTTTCAGTGACCAAACATCGATTGTTGATCTGTTCTGTGACAGAAACTCTTCTAAAAACATATGAAGTCTATTGTTTAATCAGTGCTTAGTTAGGATTTACAATGAAATTCAAATGGAGTTTGCCTCATACTGCACAAAGATTATTATTTCCAAACTAGCTGTACCCGCGACACGTTGCTGTGGCCCTCCCTCTTCTTCTCCTTCTTTCTTTCTCTCCTTCCTTCCCTCCCTTTTAGTCTTTCCTTCTCTCCTTCCTTCCTTTCCTTCCTCTTCCCTTCCTTCCCCCTTTTTGCTTTCCCTTCCACTTTCTCTCCTTTCCTCCTTCTCTACCTATTCTTGGACTACAACTCCCAGCAGTTCTCCTGACCGATTTATCTATCTACCTATATTGCTCTATCGAATCTATCAATCTTATCTATCTGGGAGTTGCAGTCCAGGAACAGAAAATTGGAAATATGAAGGGATTGAGATACTCTCAAAGAAATCAAAGAAGAAGAAAGCTTGCAGTTTGGAAGTAGTGCATTTGGATCATCCTTCTCCCCTAAAGGGCCTGGTCTAGGGGGTGCTGGGAGCTGTAGTCTGGAAGATTGTGTGGATATGCTATTGTGTGTTTTGTTTGCTGGGGGAGTTGTTTTTGCGCATGCGCTGTATTGTCTTTTTGCATTTTTTGGCTTTTTTAGTCCCTTATGTTGTGTTTTTCAGTGTTTTATGAGTGATGGTCACTCGTTGGCCTGGTAGGTGTCTTGTGTCCAAATTTGGTGTCAATGCATCCAGTGGTTTTTTGAGTTATGTTAATCCCACAAACGAATATTACATTTTTATTTATATGGATTGCAAGGATTGAACTCTCCGCAATAGCTACTTTCAACCCCTTCTATACTTCTGCAGGACTCTATAAATTGTTACACAGTGCAAAGCTTATCTCACAAGAAAGGAAGGAAGGAAGGAAGGAAGGAAGGAAGGAAGGAAGGAAGGAAGGAAGGAAGTGTAAGCCGCCTTGAGTCCCTTCTGGGGTGGAGAAAGGCAGAGTAGAAATATTGTAAGGAAGGAAGGAAAAGGAAAGAAAGGAAACTTCCACAGCTATGTACCTAACCCAGCTGAACATGTAAACATTTCAAATTGCTTCAAATATACTCTTTCATTTTTTATCCAATGGAAAATTCACACCACACATTTATAGCGCTATAATTCCACTATAACTGCCATGGTTCTGTTGTATGAATTCCGGGAGTTTGGAGTTTATAGAGAAGCATTTAGAGCCCTCAGCCAGAGAACTCTGGTGACTCACCAAATGAGAAATCCTCGGAATCTATAGGATGTTGTCATGTGGTAGTTAAAGTGGAATCATAGCACTTTATTGTGTAGTGTGACTGGTCTCGTGAACCGACCATTCTCCCCAAAAGTGTAGGGGGGAGGGGAAAGGTTACAGAAATGCCCATAATCCACATACCACAAGACCAAGTGTAGACAGAATTGTTGCTGTCATCAGGCCAACCAAGAATAATTGTTGTGAAGGGTCCAGCATGGCGACTGGGCTTGATGTATATCTTATTTTTCCCTTTGTCATCCTAAAGTGCAAAGAAAGTCTGCAATCAGAGTGGTGGCATCCACATGTGAGCAAAGATTTCTTCTGAATCACAAGTTTTAAAAAATCATACTTTAAGATATATTTTCTTATTTACATTTGTTGATGGATCTTCACTTGTTTTATGTTTTTGTTTTATATCTCATATTACGGAAGAAGAATTAAAGCTAGAAGGCAATAAAATTTCAAAGTCTATCTAACGATTTAATAGAAAACCAGAAATGTCAGCATATTAGTGTGCCATAATTTTCCAGTTTTATTTTGTTTATCATTTTATTTATTGATAACCTAACCAAAGGATAGCCTAAACGTTTTTACATAACTAAATACAGTGAAAAAAATTAAGTGTTAACCACTATTTCACACTTTTAAGAAAGCGATAAGTAGCTAGACATATTTGCAAAAGGAATTTCTCAGTATTCGCTCCCCTTTACCCCCATCTTATCAAAGTCTCTTCAATACTCACAACTCTTTTTATATTTGATTGTTCCTCTTCCTTGAGAAGATCTATTTAATGTAAAAGAAACGGCTTTAAGCAGCTTGTGTAAATACAAATCACTAGTAGAAAAATCCAGTTTCAAAACACCAGCTAATAATAATAATAATAATAATAATAATAATAAATAACTTTATTTATACCCCACCGCCATTTCCCCCAACGGGGACTCAGGGCAGCTTACACGAGGCTGAGTCCAAACAGCGAATTACAATAAGACAAGATACAACAAAATAAAAACCGAAATGCAAACAACACAATAGATTACAGAAACATATTAATACAATCAGCAATAAGCATAGAACATAAGAATGCAATAAACAACACAATAACAGTGAGCAAGCCGCATGAACAATAAAATGATTAAAAACTCAGGGTGAGATAAAAGGAGCAGATTATTTGCGAGGGAGTGGTAAGTGTAAAGGACACTTACGCTTTGGGTGTGTTTACATTTTAGAATATAGATGCAGTTTGACACCACTTTAATTACCATTCTATGGAATCTTGGGAGTTGTAATTCGATGAGCTACCAGCACTTTCTGGCAGAGAAGTCTAAAAATCTTGCAAAAATCTTGCAAAACTGCAACTCCCAGGGATCCATAGCACTGATACATTTATTGACTTATTTACAGTATTTATATTCTGCCCTTCTCACCCCGAAGGGGACTCAGAGCAGATCACAGAACACATATATGGCAAACATTCAATGCTGTTATACACTGACAAGAGAGTCAACTATACATAAATAGAGGTATATATAGGCTTTCCCATCTTCGGCATCTTGGAGGCTGTGCTCCATCTTTCCTGCCAAAGAGCTTTGTTTGTAAACTTCCTCCTTGATCAAATCACCTGCATTTTCTGGCATTTCCTTATGGGTGCCTTACATACCTCTCAGATTATTTATCTACTACTCACATTGCTGTTTTTGAAACTGCTAGGTAGGCAGAACCTGGGCTAAAGGCCAGGAGCTCCATGGAATTTAAAGTGGTGTTAAACTGTATTGATTCTACCCCGTTAACTTTAAAATTGTGTGTGTGTGTAATATATATATATATTAATGCAAAAGTTACTCACACTTCTTACTGCTTTGAATTAGGGCACATAACATATATAAATATGAAGGAAGTTTGCATTTAAAATGTATTGCTTTATTAAACCATCTTTTAAGCAGGTCATGAAGTGAGCACTTGTCATTACCTTCCTTATGAGAACTGTTAGATGACACCATGACAGTTCCTACATCCATGCTCATGTTTGACAAGGCATTCATCGCAAGCACTTTGACTAGAAAAGTACCTAAAAAAGGACACATTGCAATCAACGAACCAATCCAATCCATCTATTTTTTAAAAAAACTGTAGCTTTTACAATTTTCCCATCAGTATGAGAATTGTGGCCCAACAACTTATATATGTGTGTGTGTGTGTGTGTGTGTGTGTGTGTATATATATATATATATATATGTATATGTATATCGTGGTGAAAACTAGGAGGTGCTGGTGCTTTGCTTCTACAGTGTTGCTAAAGTTCTGGTGGTGAAAATTTCAGAACTCTAACAAAACTTTCAAAATTTCATTATAAATGGCAGTTCCTAATAGGTTCTGTCATAAAAATCACCAATAATGAAATAATAATGATATTTTGAAAGTTTTGTTAGAGTTCTGAAATTTTCACCACCAGAACTTTAGCAACATTGTAGAAACAAAGCACCAGCGCCCCCTAGTTTTCACAACCAGAACTTTAGTTTTATAAGTACTTTAGAACTATTTAGAACCATGGATTGCACATGCATAATACATATAATCTATCCCTCAGCACTGTGCTCCCCTCCACGGCTTTTACATATCATCTGTCCAAAATTTTAATTCTTCTCGTGGAGGTAACTGTCCTTCTTTTTTGAAATAAAATTTAAGTGAAATGTACAAAGAAAATAATTCATTGTTAGGAATGATTTATTGTTGTTGTTATCTGTGTTTGTACAGCAGGCCAATGCCAATGTAGTCATGGATGGGAGGTCTCATCTGAGTGGATTTTGCCTCACTATTCATGAAAAGCAGATTACATTTTGCACATCTAGATGGAAGTACCGTACCTTCAGCCTCCAGCGGGATTCTGTAGGTTTCAGATGCTCCTTCAGGACAATCTCTCCAATGAGTAAAAGTCTTGTTAGATCCAGACACTTCAAATTTCAGTTTGTGGGGAGCACCGTGTTGAGCAGACACGATGACCTCTAGATTGTCTCCTAACTCCAAAGAGCGAGAGGTTAATTCAGCTTGAAGACCAGAGACAGCCTCCAGTAAATGGACAGTGAGAACTTCTGTGACCTCATCTTCTGTGGTGTTGCTGGTTGCAACTATTTCCAGATGATGTACCCCAGGACCTAAAAGCTGTTGAGCTGCACCATCCAAGGTCAAATTATGAGGAACAATGCCTGACTTTATGCTGGACTCTGTCACACTCTTGTTGTTGCTTAGAACAGTGTAGGTCACCCCAGTTCCTGAAAAGGAAGAGTTTCTCTATGAGAAATCATCAAATTCAGCAAAAAACCATTTGGAAGGATGATTAGTATATTCATAAATTAATATAATAGTGGTTCCTGCTTCTTGGCAGAGGGTTGGACTGGATGGCCCATGAGGTCTCTTCCAACTCTTTGATTCTATGATTCTATGAGGCCTTTCCTCACTTTCGTCCTTGGAAGGAACCTTGATCCTTCCCTTAAAAGCCTAACAAGTTCAACTGTAATCAATTCATTGCAGCAATGGACATGCAGAAGGGTTTGCATATATCAGCTTCTAGGTACAATCAGTACAATCTAGGGTTGTGCATGGATCCGTTTTCCTTTGTTACATTCATTCGTTAGTTACTTTCATTACCTTTGGGAGCATGTAACGGAACACCCCCTCCTGGTACAAAAATCAGCTCGACACAAAAGCAAGCGGAAGCCAATCCTGCCTCCTTGCCTGCTTTTCGTGAGCAACCTCCTTGCCTTGAAAGAGTGCGTGTGATGTGTGCAGGCCCAGAAAGCATGTGCACCTGCCTGCAGCCGAGTGCCTCCTCTAGAGTAAGGACATCAGAACTTGCTTCCTTGCCTTGGAAAGTATGTGTGTGTGGCATGCAGGTCCAGGAAAGAAAGTGTGGGTACCTGCCTGCAGCTGAGCGTCTCTCCCATCTAGAGTCGAACAGGTAAGACGCCTCTTTAAAGTGCATGCCTACCTGCAGCTCAGATTTTACTCTCCTCTAGAGTAAAACAGCTTCAATGTCTAAAATGACAGGAAGCAGTTCCTGGAAAGTCCCCCCCCCCCCCATAATGGGACGATAGAAAACAGATCTTTCAGCACCCCAGAGTGAAAACAGATATCTCCCCTCCCAATTTTGGAAAGCTCCCAAAATGGATCAGGGTCATCACCGAAAGCTAGGGCACAAAATGAGTTAAGGTTTACCCCGGATGTACAACTCTACAATCACACTATTTTTGGATTGTACCAAAATATTTTAAGGATTTTTAACATAATCGCAAAAAAAAATATGTTACAACAGGTCCAGGATAAGCCCAATATACTAGTCCAGTATAAGCCTCTCCTTTGCATTGCAGACATATCCGGCTGAAAGTGTCAAAAATTTGAAGAGAGGAGGAGGAGGAGGAGGAGGAGGAGGAGGAGGAGGAGGAGGAGGAGGAAAGAAGTCTGACCTCCATTAAGTTCCACTTGAATCCACAGAGTTTCCTCATAAAGACTCCTGCAGTGAGAGCGGTTTCCTACTTCATTCTTGCTGAAGCACCAGCTAACGGTCAGCTCATCCATTTTATCTTGTACCGTCAACAGTTTTTGAGCGGTTACGTGCCATTCGCTGGTGGTGCATTCCACAAAGATGGTGAATGTACCAGGAGAGACATAGTGATGGCTCACGTTGCTAAACAGGCTTGGGAAACACAATGGAACATTATCATCAAAGCACACAGGATTTGCAACAAAAGGCTGTCATATGTTAGAGCTTCGGGATACTCTGCACCACACTCATTCCAGTTTTCTATTTACTTCCCACTTCTGCCACTCATGAATTAGAATTTAATGCCCAATCATCATGGATTTGCCATTTAGTGCCTTCCTTCCTTCCTTCCTTCCTTCCTTCCTTCCTTCCTTCCTTCCTTGTCTCTTGCCCCTTTCATCAGTTTCTAGTAACACTATGGAGTTTTTCACACTTTGTGCAAGAATACAACCACACCTATTTCTGAAAATAATAATTTACAAAAAATACTTTGGCATGTGAAAACATAATTGTGTTATTTTCCCAAAGCAAAATTCCCTGGTGTCTGTAAACCCATATTTTTGTTTTGTTTCGTTTTGTTTCTTTTACTGGGAGACAAATAGCAGCAAATATCCATTCTATCCCTGTCTCACTTTACTAATGATAGAACCAGCACAGGTACATATCAAGCTAACGTACTAATATTGAAAGCATTCTCTTAGAACATTATCTCACTTGGGGGGGGGGGGGGGCTCATATATCAGTGGTGTTATGTCTTGTTCCATTAGAAAGCAAATCGTACCACACATTGTTCTTTCCTGCCTTTTGTCCTGAAATCATCCATTTTCAGATTTATCACACGAGTGAATGCAGTTCTTATAATATGGTTGACCACTCAAATGCCTCTTGGATGTTATCCCACCGGAGGGGGGTGGGTTGCAATTCATAACCACTCAATTAAAACCTTGGGGAAAAACAATGGGGATACTGGACTTTCCCTTGCAATCCCGTGACTGCCGAGGAGACAGGAAGTATTGATCTGCATCTTCCCCTTCTCTGGCCTCCTCTACTTCCTCCTAATGCCATTAATCTCTAGTGCAATTTTGAAAGCCAAGATTACTAGGAAAGAGAAATGGCAGGAAAAACAAAATGATGATATGTTGTTTTTTTGGTCAGAAGTGACTTGAGAAACTGCAAGTCGCTTCTGGTGTGAGAAAATTGGCTGTCTGCAACAACATTGCCCAGGGGACGCCAGGATGTTTTGATATTTTTACCATCCTTGTGGGAGGCTTCTCTCATGTTCCCGCATGGGGAACTGGAGCTGATAGAAGGAGCTCATCTGCACTCTGCCTGGATTTGAACCTGTGACCTGCCAGTCTTCAGTTCTGCCAGCACAGGGGTTTAACCCACTGCGTCACCGGAGGCTCCATATTTCTAAGGGTTAAATTAACTTTTAAAAATTGCCAAAAAATCCTCACAAAGCAGGATTTTGGGAGAAAAATGTCAATGTTTGGAGGGAGCCCACCTATAAGAACACTCATTATTCCATGTCATCAGTTTGAATCAATGTGGGGAATCTGACACATCCCATCCCACGTGTTTTTCTCCAATTGTACAGCAATTCCTGAGCTCAGAAAATGACCTCTGCCCATCTTATTTCCCCCATTTACAAACGCTTCAGAAACAATTTCTTAATGAGACCTGATGGACACAGGGAGGAAGTCTCTCTGAGTTGTGTGATGGTTTCCGTTATACACCGTTTCTTTTCTGTATTACAGGTGTTTAGAAATGGGGGGGGGGCATGGGATAATGTTCTTAAACATTGCATTGCACACATCTTTGACGATTTGGAAGCTTTCTTCAAAGCAAATCACAAAAATAAAAGAAGAACCTAGGCACTTTGTTGGCTTGACTTCAGAAACTTTAGCTTACGTTGGAGGGTAGTATGGATCAATCGTGTTTCCATCTCCAGTGCTAATGATGCATGAAAGGTTGCCGGAATAAGGAGAAAGCAGCCACTTCAAGGATATGGTGACATTTTCAAAGACAAAGCTCTTCTCTGTTACAGCCAGCCGCAAGCCTGTGAAACAATGCACATAATAGTACCAGCTTTCAGTTCTTGTGGGTTTTTTCGGGCTATATGGCCATGTTCTAGAGCAGTGGTTCTCAACCTTTCTAATGCCGTGACCCCTAAATAAAGTTCCTCATGTTGTGGTGACCCCCAAGCACATTTTCGTTACTACTTCCTAAAGGTAATATTGCTACTGTTATGAATTGTAATGGAAATATCTGATATGCAGGATGCATTTTTATTGTTACAAGTTGAACATAATTAAAGCATAGTGATTAATCACGGAAACAGTATGTTCAGGGGAGTATGGGCAATGGATCATGGGATCTGCACTACCTTCAACCATTTCACCACTGACTTACACAGGCCACTGAAACCCCCATGAATTACAGACCTGGAACATACTTGGAACACAGAACCCCAATGACCAATATAAAATACTGGAGGCGGTTGGGGGAATTGACAGTGATTTACGGGAGATGTAGTTCACTTACATCTGGAGAGCACTGTGAACCCAAACGACTATGGATCTGGTCTGAACTTGGCACAAATGCTCAATATGCCCAAATCTGAAGACTGGTGGACTTTGGGGAAAATAGACCTTGGCATTTGGGACTTGCTGTATAAATATTGAAGCTTTTGGAAACTGGTATTTTGGCAGTGAAAATGCCTCACCCATTTTCATTGCCAAAGGCACCCTTGGCAGTGCCCTCCCCAGAGGTATCATCTCATATCTGTTTTTCTTATGAATTTTCAATTTTTCTTCAAGTATTTTGAAGGTTCATTTCCTGATATTTCCATATCCAGTTTTGGCTTCTTCCCTTATTTCTCCCAAGCTCGGCAGCCCTGGCCTGGGGCTTCTCTCCCCTCGTGGACAAGGACTCTTCCTCGGCCAGGGCAGCTGCTGAGTGGCCTCCCCTTCCTCCTCAGCCCACAATTACAAAATGATGAATATAGCAAGTGAGAAAGGAAGGCTCCCGCTTGCTGTGGTTCCCTGCACTCGCTCCTCTTCCTTCCTTCCTTCTCACCCCGGGGATGAGAGAGGGGGGGGGGGCACGCACTGATAACAACAGCGGCAGCAGCGGATGGCTTGGCCAGAGGGAGAGAGAGAGAGAGAGAGAGAGAGAGAGAGAGAGAGAGAGAGAGGAGCGGGCACTAGGACCGTGCGGACGCCGCTTCCCAGAGCCTTCCCCACTGTTTTTATAAAGGGAACCCGGGCTAAAGGAGTGGGGCGCCTTTGCCTTTGGGAGAAGTGGCTGCAAAAGGAAAGGAAAGGGGTGCCATTGGGGGGCCCTGGGGCCCTTGCAGCCCCCTCTTCCTCCATTTGCATGGAGCCAAACTGAGCACCCAAAGCAGGTCAGTCTCCTTGCAAAAATAAAAATGCAGCATTGGCTCCTTTTTTTGCACTTTGCAAAACCTGGCAAGACTTTCTTGCAAAGCTGGCAAGCAAATCCAACCAAACACCTTCAGCTTTGCTATGGAGCCAATTGCTTTTGCTTGCTCCTGGTTGCCTGGCTTTGACTTTAGGGTTCTGCTCCTGACACGCGTCAAGGCCTCCCATTCTCTCGCTCTTGACACAGGCTCCCCCCCCCTCCTCAGAAGTTTGCCTTCTGGGCCTGGCTCCTGTTTGCCTTGCCTTGGCCTTCCTGGCCTATGGTCGAGTCCCTGCAAAGAGGACCTTCTCCTTCTTTAAGTAGAGACTGGAGGCGCCAAGTCGGATTTCTCCTCCCAAAAGCGAGCATGAAAGGGCTTGCAGAGCCTCAGCCTGGCCTGCCCGGACTTCGTGCATTTGGGGAGACAGCTGCAAATCGGGTCAGAAGTCCCTTCTTTGCAGGAACTTCAAGGAAAAGCAACACCAGAGAGGCAGGTTGTGCAGTAGTTCCGTTGCATTTAATAATAATAATAATAATATAATAATAATACTTTATTTGTACACCGCTACCATCTCCCCAAGGGACTCGGTGCGGCTTACATGAGGCCGAGCCCACAATACATCAATAATAAAAACAATAACAAGTAATACAAAACAATAAAAATAAAACTAATAACAGAAAATAAGCAATAAATTTGCAGGAGGCAGGGCTGCAAAACTAGGTTTGCTAGGAATGCATTGGCAGTTTGCAAGGAATCAATCTGGGACCTGGGTGTTGGATTTTCCTAGGGACGGAAATGGGTGGTATTTGCAAGGAATCAGCCTGGGATTTGGAGGCTTGGCTCTCCTAGGAACACATTTAGAGTTTTTGGCTTTGCAGAAAGTCACAGAAAGTCCAAGCTCGGCAGGGCTTGCAAGTGAAGCCATCCGCTGCTGCCGCTGTTGTTATCAGTGCGTGCCCCCCCCTCTCTCTCTCATCCCCGGGGTGAGAAGGAAGGAAGAGGAGCGAGTGCAGGGAACCACAGCAAGCGGGAGCCTTCCTTTCTCAATTGCTATATTCATCATTTTGTAATTGTGGGCTGAGGAGGAAGGGGAGGCCACTCAGCAGCTGCCCTGGCCGAGGAAGAGTCCTTGTCCACGAGGGGAGAGAAGCCCCAGGCCAGGGCTGCCGAGTTTGGGAGAAATAAGGGAAGAAGAAGAAGAAGGCAAAGCTGCCTCCAGAACTGGATATGGAAAGATCAGTCAATGAACCGGCCATCCCTTGGGCGCACGAGCCTTAACACATGGTGTACCTTCACCCTAGTGCGCCTTTGCCTCCGAGCTCCTCCTCCTGACTCCCTGCAGCCCTGAGGGAACAGGAGGGGGAGGGGCTGGCCTGCAATGCCTGGCTCTTTCGCTGGCACAGGGGCCGGCAGCCATTTTGAGGAAGCGGAGGGGGCGGGGCCAACTGAGGCACCTTCGCGACCCCCAGAAAATGGCCCAGCCACCCCCCTGGGGGTCGCGACCCCCAGGTTGAGAACCGCTGTTCTAGAGGCATTTCTCCTGACGTTTCGCCTGCATCTATGGCAAGCATCTTCAGAGGTGAGGTCTGCTGGGACTGGGAAAAAAAGGGGTTTATATATCTGTGGAATGACCAGGGTGAGACAAAGGGTTTTTGTAAGTTGGGCTGGGTGTACCAGCTTTGTTTCCATGTGTTAGCATCTTTAAGTCATCTCTTGGCTACAGCTATTCAAACACTTGAGGAAGTCTATAATGTGCATATTAAACGTTAAGTGTTTGTATGGACATGTGTCTTCAAGTCACCCGTTGACTAGCATCTTTATTAACGACTTAGATGAAGGGCTAGAAGGCATGATCATCAAGTTTGCAGACGACACCAAATTGGGAGGGATAGCCAATACTCCAGAGGACAGGAGCAGGATTCAAAACGATCTTGACAGATTAGAGAGATGAATGGCCAAAACTAACAAAATGAAGTTCAACAGGGACAAATGCAAGATACTGCACTTTGGCAGAAAAAAATGAAATGCAAAGATATACAATGGGGGACAATGCCTGGCTCGAGAGCAGGACGTGTGAAAAAGATCTTGGAGTCCTCGTGGACAACAAGTTAAACATGAGCCAACAATGTGATGTGGCGGCAAAAAAAGCCAATGGGATTTTGGCCTGCATCAATAGAAGCATAGTGTCTAGATCTAAGGAAGTAATGCTACCCCTCTATTCTGCTTTGGTTAGACCACATCTGGAATATTGTGTCCAATTCTGGGCACCACAATTCAAGAGAGATATTGACAAGCTGGAATGTTTCCAGAGGAGGGCGACTAAAATGATCAAGGGTCTGGAGAACAAGCCCTATGAGGAGCGGCTTAGGGAACTGGGCATGTTTAGCCTGAAGAAGAGAAGGCTGAGAAGAGATAAGAGGTAAGATCAGCCCCCTCTTACCATAGAGGTAAGATCAGCACCCTCGCTGGTGGCGTTTCGAAAAAGACTGAAGACGTGGATGTTCGAACAAGCATTCGGTTAACACGGTGCAACGAATCTAACGATCAAGGACTGGTAATCACAGACGATGAAATTGGACTGCGTTTTTAACTAAGAGATGCATTGGTTCGATATTGGTGGCCCAATATTGTATATTATGTATGTGTTTTTATGCTTTTTTATGCTTTTTATCTTGAATATTGTTGATTATTGTAATGTTGTAAACCGCGTTGAGTCGCCAATGTAGGCTGAGAAACGGCGGTATACAAGCGCAGTAATAAATGAATAAATAAATAAATATGATAGCCATGTATAAATATGTGAGAGGAAGCCACAGGGAGGAGGGAGCAAGCTTGTTTTCTGCTTCCTTGGAGACTAGGACACGGAACAATGGCTTCAAACTACAAGAGAGGAGATTCCATCTGAACATGAGGAAGAACTTCCTGACTGTGAGAGCCGTTCAGCAGTGGAACTCTCTGCCCCGGAGTGTGGTGGAGGCTCCTTCTTTGGAAGCTTTTAAGCAGAGGCTGGATGGCCATTTGTCAGGGGTGATTTGAATGCAATATTCCTGCTTCTTGGCAGAATGGGGTTGGACTGGATGGTCCATGAGGTCTCTTCCAACTCTTTGATTCTATGATTCTATGATCTACACAAACTAGAGACATCTATAAGTGTACAGTGTTCATATTAAGAATTAAATTGGTGTTATCACGGCTCGAACATCAATGGGGAGGTGAAACTGTTTTAGTTTGAATATTAGCATTACTCTCAAAATAGGTTCTGTACCTTGGATACATTCAATTAAAGCAGTGGTTCCCATCCTTTTTTTGACCAGGGACCACTTTGACGAGGAACCACTCTCCAACATTAGTACCAAAAGGGTTATGAATCAGTTTTTGGTCAACTTTAGATTCGGTTTGGTTATTTGGGGTGCTGATTCAGAAAATTGCACTGGATAGACCACATCAACTCTAGTTCTGATACAGAACATATGCTATTCAGTAGTTGCCATCTGTTCATCCACAGAAAACCATATTTAATAATTTAGAGCTGATGTGGTAGTAGTAATCTTTTGTCGGTAGTCAGCCTCTCCCCTCCTGACATCCCAGTTGCCTTGGCACTTTAAGAGGGTTTTGCAAAACCAGTCGTTCTTGTTGCTGTGTGGTTTCGAAGCAACAGTGTAGTAATGGTGAGGCCACAGACTATATTTTCATTCTTGTGGACTGCTGGTGGTCCATGGACCACTGGTTGAGAACCATTGCTTTAAAGCTTGGACTAAATCCCAGGGTTGATTCAAAATCCCACTAACATTGGATATGCCAGTTATCACTAGATGCATGTGATCATTAGGGTTGCAGCTCTCAGGGTCTATTTTCAAGTCTCCAGTTTGAGGCCCTGCCCAGGCACAAAACAAAGAGCCCAAATTCTCCACTTTGGTCGGTTCATTTTGGGCAACAGAAAACTTCAGGATGCGGAACAGCTTTGAATTACTAACCTTAGTGATCAGACTTTATAAAGACTGTGCATTTAAATATGTTTCAGGAACAAACAAGGAGGTGATTCACATCCAGAGCAAAGTGGCCTAGTTAAGCAATTTTTGTTTTGTTAGGGGGAAGCTAGAACAGATGAGTCATATATCACATTTGGTACATGAGCTAAACTTTGGTTCATGAACTAAAGAAAACAAAGTCTTTTTTGCTGACCATGTGGGGATAACCAGAGGTCAGTAAAAGAACTGGCAATGTGGTTTAGCTAGTAATGACAGCAATCACACTTGTTCAATGTTAAAACATCATTTTCTGACTAAATTCATCACACTTACTAAATTCCACTGAGTCCTCCACTTAAAAAGTGATAACCTACTGTGTTCATCACATTAGGTAGGGTTCAAGTGTACGGTAGAGCATTCTTTACATGTCTAAAGTGTTGGAAACAGCTTTATTTTCATGTTTCAGGAGCTGGTTGGGAAGCTGAGTGTTGGTAATGATCCGGATATAGATGGGAAAAATAGCCAGTTCTGTAATGTGATGGCATTCATTGCTCTCAGGTTTAGAATGAGATGTTTCCCCAATTTGTGAGAGGGGAAATTGTGGGAGGAGCCAACATACGCTGGTTAGGAAAAGTTCTTCCATTTCCTTTTGCTCACCAAGCTTTTACTTGGATGAAACAATTTCTTTTTTAAAAAAAGACTTTCCGTGTCCTTTCTTTTTCTTCCCTTTTCTTTTCTTCCATGATATGTCTGTGCCTTGTGTTATATGGGCAAGCTGAGAGAGAGGGAGAAAAGTGTTGTATGTCTGCCTATTCAGACTGTGATTGTGTCTGATGCTCACGATGATGTTCATGTTGGGAATGATGTTCATGTTGATGTGCATAATGGGAAAGGGAATGATGTTCCTGATGATGGGCTTGAGGATGCGGGTTAGCCTGAGCTGGAGTTAAGTTCAGAAGAGAGGCCCGAGCAAGTTCACATTCCTGGGAAAGACCTTTCACCGCTTGTCTCAGAGCAGCAGCCTGAAAATGATGATGAGATTGCTTTGCCAGGTGCAAAATGAGATGATAGTGAAATCTTGGACAGAAAACAGTGGCAGAACTTTCAGAATCTCAGGCGTTCTGCTCGTCTGCAACAAAAGAAAGATAACCAACCGTTGTCTAGTGGGAAAGTGAGAAAGAACACTTTCCTATCAGTTCTGGCCTTTGGAAAGAATGTATAATGATTCATGGAAGACTGTTGTCTCAGTCAAGTCAGCACCTTTAATTCATATTGGTTTCATTTTCAAGTGCTCTATGTTTCATGTATCAAATTGTTGCCATGTCTAAGTCTTTGCCTGAGAGTTCCTGCTGTTTTGTTCCATGTTTTCAAGTGCCTAGGAGCCGCATGCTTAGGAATGTATGGCAACAGACTACTATGTTTTATGTATTTCATTGTGTTGTCGTTTGTGTTTTTGGTTTTATTTTATTGTAATTTGCGGTTTGGGCTTGGCCTCATGTAAGCCGGCCCGAGTCCCCATTGGGGGAGATGGTGGCGGGGTATAAATAAATAATAATAATAATAATAATTATTATTATTATTATTATTATTATTATTATTATTATTGAACACAAAAGCACACTATGTCGCAGCAAACGAGATCTATATGCTGGATTTTGTATCACAAAATCACAAGTCGAACACTTCCCAAGCGTCTAGGACTGTGTGATATATTTTCGAATGCTGCGTGCAGATCCAAGTAAGGTGGATTATTATTATTATTATTATTATTATTATTATTATTATTATTCCCTGAAAAGTTCCTCTCAATCCGTGGCTTTTTTTGTCCTGTGGGTGAAAAATTATGCAGCTTACCTTCCATGCAATGATACTGAATAGACAGATAACTTCCCAAAGATGAACAGGGGTCTCCAAAGAAAGTCCCATCAGCGGCTACCTGGCAAGCTTGGAGCCCGTGGCACTGCCCTGCAAGGATAGATATGAAACTATCTCATTTGGTACCTGAATGATGACAGTGGCAAATGGTAAGAACCCTAAACATCTTGACATTTAAAGCTGAATTTTGTGCCACCATCAAAGTGTCAAGCGTATAATTGCTTTGAAAGGAGGAAGGCAAGCAACAAGGACCTGCTGAACTTAAATCCTGTTCTACCATACCTTATATATGGTGTCTTAATTAAATTGTAAGCTTGGGAACAGGGAATTGTCAGTTGTAACTGTCAATTGGGAACTTTTGTGATCGAAGGGTGGACATTGCTACAAAGGAAAGCAAGACTAACCTTCTTCTGCGTGTTTATCCACACCTGTGTTCATATTTAGAAACTCTTTTTAAGGTTAGAGAGAAGTCTAAACTGAGTGTGATAATGTAAATATACTTATTTCTTTATTGCATTTCTATACTACTCACGCCCGGGGGGACTCAGAGGAGTGTATAAAATGATAAATCGGCAAAGATTCAATGCCGAACATACATATAAAAGCAACACATAATATTACTAAATCAATAACATATAAATATGAGTGAAAACCATTAAAATACAAAGGCACATCATAACATGAACATAAACATATTAGACATTGCACCAGCCTCATGGTTATCATTTAACTGCTTCATTAATACTATCATTCATCGAACGCCTGCTTGCATAGCCAGGTTTTAAGTGAAAAAGTCATTTCACTGTTTCATTTATGGCTATATCATGATAGGTATTATACTGCAATATTATCACTTGCCAAATGCCTGCGTGCACAACCAAGTTTTAAGGGTTTTTTTCCCTGAAGATCAGGAGGGAGGGGGCTGATCTAATTTTGCTGGGGACGGATTTCCACAGCCAAGGGGCCACCACCAAGAAGGCCCTGTCTCTCATCCCCACAAATCGCACCAGTGAAGGCAACGGAACTGAGAGCAGGATCTCTCCGGCTGATCTTAGCGCTCAAACTGATTCATAAAGGAAGATACGTTTGAACAGGTAACCTGGACTGGAATTGTTTAGGGTTTTATAGGCTAAAGGCAGCACTTTGAATTGTGCTTGGAAGCGGATTGGCAGCCAGTGGAACTGACGCAGTAGGGGGCGTTGTATGCTCCCTGTACGCTGCTCCAGTGGGGAACCTGGCTGCCACGTGTTGGACTACTTGAAGCTTCCGAACAGTCTTCAAAGACAAACCCATGTACAGCGCATTGCAGTAGTCTGTTTGAGATGTAACGAGAGCATGGACCACCATGGTCAAGTCTGGCTTCTCAAGGTATGGGTGCAGCTGGTGCACAAGTTTTAATTGTGCAAAAGCTCCCCTGGCCACTACCGAGACCTGAGGTTCCAGGCTCGGCAATTAGTCCAGGAGAACTCCCAAGCTGCGAATCTGCATCTTTAGGAGAAGTGTAACCCTGTCCAACACAAGCTGTAACCCTATGTCCTGTTGACCAGAAATGTCTCTGTCTTGTCTCGGTTCAATTTCAATTTGTTTGCCCTCATCCAGACCATCACAGCTGCCAAGCAACGGTTCAGGACCTGGACAGCCTCCTTAGCAGAAGATGGAAAGGAGTGACAGAGTTGGATGTCATCTGCGTACAGGTGGCATCGAGCTCCAAAACTCCAGGTGATCTCCCCCTACAGCTTCATGTAGATGTTAAACAACATGGGGGACAGTAGTTAACCCTGCAAGACCCCACAAGACAATGGCTGTGGGGTCAAGCAGGTGTCCCCCCCAAAACACCTTCTGGGAACGGTCCTCTAGGAAGGATGGGAGCCACTGCAACACAGTATCTCCAAGTCCCATTCCCATGAGTTGTTCCAGAAGGATACCGTGGTCTACAGTATCGAAAGCTGCTGAGAGGTCCAAGAGAACCAACAGGGACACACCTCCCCTGTCCAGTTCCTTATGTAGAGCATCTACTAAGGAGACCAAGGCTGTTTCAGTTCCATGGCTAGACTGTGACTGATCCAGATAACCAGTTTCTTCCAAGAACACGTATTAAATATTTTACAGTTGTAATTCATGTTGATTATTTTCCCCATTATTCACCAAATGATAACCAAAGTTACTTCCTTCTGATGTGTTTCACAAACCTTGAAACACCTGTGCTTTACTTGCAACAATGAAATGTTTTAGAATCTATTGAATTTATCCCAGATCGAAATTTGTAAGACTTGAGGGTGCCACAAGATTCTTTGTTGCCTTTGCTGCCACAGGTGAACATGGCTGCTTTGCCCCTGTACAATTCTCACCTGCCACCTCATCCTTCACGCTGACCCAGCTACATTCTTCTTCAACATCAAACTCCAGGCGAGTCTCGATTACACAATAGTGAGGTGTTTTCCGTCCATAGAAGCTGTCTCCAATTTGAATCACTTCTCCAGATCCACACTGCACTGTGGCATTGAAGTTGTCACAGGCAATGCTGTGGCCAGATTCTAAACGATAAAGAATAATGTTTCTTATAATAGGGTGGATTACTCAAATGTCTCTTGGGGTGTTATCCCATGTGTGCATGTGTGTGTGTCATATATTGTTGGAAATAGCAACCCTCTCACGCCTCCACTATTTAATTGTTATGTTTATAATTGCTTACTGTATTGTATATGTGTATAGTGGTTTGCAATTTTAGCTTAACTCTTTGTTGTGGGAGGGCCTGCAGACCATGTGATCAGAACTGGGATTGTTCAGGGCTCTGACTCCATTTTAGAAAGGCAGAAGCCATTAGACTTTCAATGTAGAGACAGAGTGCTTTTAAGAAGACAGTAGGAACTATATGTTTAGAGATTTCAGTAGGAACTCTAGGCTTACAGACTCCATCGGACCAAACAGAGACTCTATTAGACTCTCAGAACAGAGAGATGCTTTAGATTATGGACTGTTGATTATAAGAAAGATACCATGTGTTACCAACACAGAGAAAGTACTTCAAATCTATTTGATATGCAAAGTACCTGTATCCTGAATACATGACGTTTGTGAGTAAACTGACTATGTTACTTTTAAAGAAGTTTGATTATTTTTGTTTCTTAAAGCATGATTTAAAGGTAAATATACTTTAAGGGAGAGTAGATGTTTTTGGGCAACTAAAAAGAACACTTCTGACACACACACACACACACACACACAGAATGTTCCCTCACTTATTGCAGGGGTTACTTTCCAGGACCTCCTACAATAAGTGAAGAACCGCAATGTAGGGACGCTATATTATTTTAATATTTATATATTATTTAGTAGTTATACACTATTTTAAGTCTTTATAAACTTAAAGTGAAGGAAAGGAAGGAAAGGCCCTTCAAAGCTGGAGGGAGGGAGGACTGAGGAGGAAAAGTGTGTTAGAAAGCGGCGGCAGCAAAAACCCACGAAACAGCGAAAATACCGCAATATATATTTTAAATTAATATTTTTTTAAAACCACGAAATGGCGAGTCTGCTAAAAGTGAATTGCGAAGTAGCGAGGGAACACTGTGTGTGTGTGTGTTTTGTGCATTGGAATATCTTTGTCTCTAACTGTTCAAAGACATATTAGTTTAACAGCTGAGAAACTTAGTTGTTTTGCATGAATGCTGGTGAATGCCATTTTCCCCAATGGTTATGACTCTAACAGATCATGCTTTTTACCAAGAAGTTATGGCATAATTTTCTAAAAGGTTATGACTTCTAACATGGTTGCCCTTTCCAAAGATCATAAACTCTCCAAAAGTTTATGGAGATTTCCATTTTCCTTTTTTTTTCATGTCAGGAGACTTGAGAAACTGCAAGTCTTGTAGTTGTACTGACCTCTGATATCTTGTATCAGAGGTCACTGTATCACAACTATTAGGAGTCGTTTTGATTCTATCTAATGAAACAAATAAGATATATAAATACACATAGAATGAAATGAGCTTAGGATCTCTTACCAAACTCACAAATGAATTCAAACTCCTGGCTGCAGTTCTCTGTTACACCCCATTCATAGCCAGAGTTTTTCAGGATATAGCCACATGAAGATGAGAGGACTGATGGTGCATCTTGGTGCCATTTGCTATAGGTGATATTTGAGGTATCCAACCAAATCAGGGACCCTGAAAGAAATTTGCATGAAGGGCAATACACACCAGCAAATTCTAGGATTCCACTAAGATCTTACTGATGCCAGGTCCATCATTGGGAAGACTGAAGACACAACTTTAGTGAGTGAGTTCTAGGAAATGACAACTAGATGTTAGAGAAGAGAACTGAATGCAAAACAGCCAGCCCTGTACTTCCGGCTAGCTTGCTTTTTCCAAATGTGATGGGACATGCCACCCCATCACTCGGCATTGAACAACATTTTCACTTCTCTTATGGGAATGCCCCAAGCTAAGGCCATCAATGGAAACCGTACTGACCAACGAATATCAAAACTTTCTCGGGCATTTAAACCTGATGTCTGTGCACCTCATTCTGCCAACAGCTATATTTGCCTGAAACTTTTCAAAGAGGACCTTTTGCAACCCAGGGCTCCATATATACATAGCTCTTGCCCATCAAGAACCTTGTGTTGTTAGGGATTATACTAATATGGAAAGTCCTTCCTGTCAAACACAAGGAACCTTTAACTTTCTAGATGTTTTGGATTACAAGATTCACAATTAGGTACTCGCTGCCAATTTCATACGGCTTTGGGAAGCTAAAGTCCAAAACATTCAGAAGACCCTACCCATGGTCTATCTTAATTTTTGCTGTGCTCTTCACCGTAGCCATGCTTACACAGAACAAGGAATTATTTCTTCCTACCTTCAGATGTTTCATTTGGAGAAGAGCTGTAGGTTATTCCAATCCACCATTCTTTGTCCTCAGAAATGTGCTCCTCTAAGAACATCTGGGTCTCTTCATCCTCAATAAAGACCAGGTGGCCCCCTCCTCTCTCACACCAGCTCTGAGCACTTGTGAATGTGCGCTGGAGTTTCACGAACTCATAGCATGACCGATTGAAAGCGACTTGATACTTGGAACAGGGTATCCCGTCTGCAAAGGATACATCCTCCGTAATCAGACAAGGGACAAGAAATGCAAGAATGATGATGAGATGCTGCATGCTCACTCCAATGCTTCACTGAGTCTCGCAATATACTGGAGAAGCTCACCACCAAGACAGGACTTTTGTTGACCTGTTCTGGAGGGATCTGAGAGCTGTTGTGCTACTCTACCACCTATTTCCATCCCTTTTACATTTCCCGGATGATGTCAGCAATAGCCTGGGCTCAATAAACAAAAAATATTGCATCTGTGAATGGCCAGGGAAAGGTCACGAGGCTAAGATGTACCAGTAGATATGAAAAACCCATTGTGCACCTGCCCAGCTCCGCATCAAGACGGTATACACAGTGGGCTGTAATTTATACCTTTTAATGTGCTTAGTTTGATATCTGCAGTCATTGGCCATGTGGCAGCCAGAGATAAAAGACCCTGTAAAAGAAGCCATTGTTCATTTTGTGGCTGGGCATTCAACTGCAAAATAAAAATTTGGAAACTCAGAATGGTGGATCACCATAACAATTACCCAGAACTTCTGCAATCACAGTGAGGCAACAGGGTTGGTATATTTTCAGATGTATATTGTAAAAAATGAACCAAGATGTGAGTGCATGACTTCATGCCACCACCATACACCAGGCATGGGCAAACTTTGGCCCTCCAGGTGTTTTGGACTCCAACTCCCACAATTCCTAACAGCCTACCAGCTGTTAGGAATTGTGGGAGTTGAAGTCCAAAACACCTGGAGAGGCAAAGTTTGCCCATGCCTGCCATAGACTCGGTCTCATCTGATTTCAGAATCCAAGCAGGTTTGGATCTGATCAGTACTTGGATAGTGTGATAGGAAAGTGATTCCCCTAGCAATGAATGGCCCTGAAAGGTCATTCAGACCAAGCTCAAATCCTTCACAACAATCTATGTAGTCTCTTGGCTTGGGATATGCAGACCAATGTGGAAGGACTGTCTCACGTCTTCTGTTTCTAGCAGGCCAGCTCAAGAGGGCATGAGAGGACGGAGGCACTTTAAGGTAAAGCATTATAGTGTAAGTTACATCTCAGTACACAGGCCGGCTTTGTTTAGTTTGGGTATAGGCTTTTCCCCTCTCTTTCTTTCATTATATTCCTTTGTCCCAGAGGTGCCAAAGTGTGGTAGAATGCACACTTTGTGTGCATAGACATTGCTGGTACAGCTCCCAGCATCACACGTCGCCAAAGCAGAAAAAATATCCCTACCTGAGACTCTGAAAAGCTGCTGCCAGTCAGGATAAGTGATACTGCACTGTATGATACAGTACTATATTGTTCAGCTGGTTAATTCTTTTAGGAATTGGCAGACCTATCCATTGCAGCATATCTTGATTTCTGATTTTTTCTAATCCTCTGTTTATTTCATGCTGTTTCTGTTTTAGTTTGCCATATTTTAAAAAAATAAAAACCACACAAAAACTCATGGATATGGTTAGGCAAAGCTTGACTTGAACCAGGAACAAGAGAACTCAGGCTTAGATTCTCACTCTAATGCAGTGTTGCCTTTAAGGTAAACAACTTGTTTACCTTAAAGCATTATGTCTCCATGAAAGCATTATGTCTCCCATGAATTTTCTCCACAACTTTACTACATAATCTTTCTGACCAATGCAATCTATTTTCAGCTCTGATTTGTAAACAAAGACTACAGGTGGTTTTTCCTGGAAACCCTCCTTATCATTCAGCTCTTCACTCAATTCCGTATCTGCTCTTGCTACTTCTGGCTTCTCTGACTGGCCTTGAGTCCTTGTAATTTCTGAGCCAGTTTTATCAGACAGAAACATCATTTCCCAGACTGAATTTCCCAGACTTGAGGGCTAATCTGCAACATCACTTTCCTAGTAAAAAAATAAAACAGAAAATGGGAGAAAGTGCTTATATATGCAGGATGAGATATGTCAGATTCACAAGTATCATTTCATGTCAATGAGGTGGAGCAATGGGTTTTCCTATGGGAGGTCTTCTGGAGAGCATGGGTGCTTCAGTTCTTGCCCTAAATCCTTCAGTTTGAGCGTGGATCCTTATTATTATTATTATTATTATTATTATTATTATTATTAAATATCACTAGAAGAAATTGCATATTTGAAAGATATGACCACTGTGATATAGCTGTATTTTCTCCTTCATTAGTATACTGTGCTTTCACAATTGCAGTATTTAAAACTTTTTAATAAAAAAATAGCCACTGCTGTCACTTCAAAGTTCAGCAATCATTACTTACAATTTTATATTCCTTCCTCACATTTAATCATGAAAATTAGGAGGGCTCTTTTTGCCTAGCTGCTTAAAAGTATTATTCTAAAATACATACTTATGTCTTTTTCATGTATTTGAAATCTAATGTGTGCATTCCTTGTATTGGAAAACATTATCATTAGATTCTTGTGGGTTTTTTCGGGCTATAGAGCCATGTTCTAGAGGCATTTCACCTGACGTTTCGCCTGCATCTATGGCAAGCATCCTCAGAGGTAGTGAGGTCTGTTGGAATTAGGACAATGGGTTTATATATCTGTGGAATGGCTGGGGTGGGGCAAGGAGTTCTTCCCTGCTGCAGTTAGGTGTGAATGTTTAGCTGATCACCTTCATTAGCATTTGAAGGCCTGCCTGAGCCTGGGAAAATCTCTTGCTGGGAGGTGTTAATCTGTGCCTGGTTGTTTCCTCTCTGTTGTTTTGCTGTTGTAATTTTAGAAAATTTATGAAAGCCTTCGACAATACATTATCATTAGATATTACTGTTATAATGGCGTCCTCACTTGAATAGGAAAGTTCTTCATTTTTTCCACTTTTAAATGTTGCTGTTGTTGTGAGGCCAACTGTATTTAGAAGTAGAAATGAAACACCACACTTTTGTTATGCATTTGATAGAAATTCAAAACCGAAATGTTTGGAAAATGAGATTTTATCATCTTTGGAAAGACATGACCTTGTTAGAAGTCATAACCTTTTTGATAATAATGCCATAACCTTTTGGGAAAATGGCATTCATGCAAGGCAATTAGGTTTCTCAGATGTTAAACAGATGTACGGTATGTCTTTGAACTGTCAGGGACAAAGATATGCCAATGCACAAAAAGCACACATATCGTATAGCAGAGTTTCAGAAGTGTTTTTTTCGTTGCCCAAAAAACATCTACTCTCCCTTAAAATATTTTTGCCTTTAAATCATGCTCTCAAGAGAAAAAATAAGCAGATTTCTTTAAAAGTAACATAGCTGGTTTACTCACAAACCTCATGTATTCAGCATACAGGTACTTTGCATATCAATCCAGTTACAGATAGGATTTGAAGTAGTTTCTCTGTGTAGGTAACACATGGCATTTTTCTTAGAAAGTTTAATGGCTTCTGTACAGCATTCTGTTTCTATTAACTTCTAAAAGCATACATCTGTTTCTACTGAAGTCTCTAAACATACTGTTCTACTGGCATCTGAAAGCAAACTGTTTCTAAAATGGAATCTGAGTCCTGAACAAGCCCAGATTTGATCACTTGGTCTGCAGCCCCCCCACAACAAAGAGTTAAAGTAAAATTGCAAACCAATATCCACATATACAATACAGTAAGCAATTATATACATAACAAATAACTAGTGGAGGCTTGCGAAGGTTGCTATTTCCAACGAAAATGACCTGCTTTGGAATGGAACACTATGAGATGCTGTGATAAAACAATTCCCCCTGCTTCCCACTGCTTATCTGATGAGGTCCAAGGTTTAAAAAAGTTGTAAACACACACAAACATACATCACCATGTCACACTTGACATATACTCTGACATGTGCCCAGTTAAAAGCCATGCATCTATCGGCGACCTCTAAAATAAACCAAATTCCAAATGCAGTTTACAACCAACAATCTAAATAGGGTAAAAATGTGTCAACTTCAAATTTGTAATGGATAAAGAAAATGAACTACCAAATATGATGTTGTGATTTGATATTTAATTCAACGTTACTGCGGGCTTTCTTGGACACAGTGGGGAAAAAACACAACCAGCTAAAAGAAAATGAGATTATAATATTGGATGCCTTCGTTTGCAAGACAAGGTCATAATGCAGCGTGGCCTGAACCTGTATCATTGCTTTGACTGTTTGAAACAGTCTCTTTTTGTTTTTTCCAGCTTGAAACCAAGAGCGTTGTTGTTTCTGAGTCATGTTGTTGAATTCTGTCAGCATAGTCTGTAGCCATGGCCTAGGTCTAGGTCCTTTGACTCCAGTAAAATATCACAGAGAAAAAGACAACGGCACCCAAATGGCATTTTCTAGGACATTGTTGATTTTACAGAACAAACAAGTATTGATTCTGACAGAGGAGGATCTGGCTGAAAACCTCACCTTTGAGACTAATCCACCCTCTACATAGCATATGGTGCTGAAGGAGAGTTCTGCAGATACAGTGAGACCCCCTTATCCACAGGATCACTTTCTGTGGCTTCATTATCTGTGGCTGCCACTTCCAAAAGTATTTGTGGGCACTTTTTGGTCCTTCAGTGTGACTCTATGATATGCTTTGGCAGTCTTCAAGCATCTGTATAAACATCTGAGGAAGTGATGAGAGGAAAGTTGGGATAAGATTGGCAGGAGAGAAGGGAAGGGACTCCTCCCAGTCACAGGAAGCATTGTTTCCAAGCCCTCTTTACCTCTGCACTGAACCCTATATCCATCAGTGCTGCCTCCGGAAAATCCTGCAAATCTCTTGGAAGACAAGCGGACAAATGTCAGCGTGCTGGAAGAAGCAAAGACCACCAGCATTGAAGCAATGGCCCTCCGCCATCAACTCTGCTGGACCGGCCATGTTGTCCGGATGCCCGACCACCATCTCCCAAAGCAGTTGCTCTATTCCGAACTCAAGAACAGAAAACAGAATGTTGGTGGACAGGAAAAGAGATTTAAAGATAGGCTCAAAGCCAACCTTAAAAACTGTGGCATAGACACTGAGAACTGGGAAGCCCTGGCCCTTGAGCGCTCCAGCTGGAGGTCAGCTGTGACCAGCAGTGCTGTAGAATTTGAAGAAGCATGAATGGAGAGTGAAAGAGAGAAATGTGCCAAGAGGAAGGCACATCAAGCCAACCCCAACCAGGACCACCTTCAACTTGGAAACCAATGCCTTCACTGTGGGAGAAGTGAGGGCATTGGAGTATAGGGCTCCACAG